GTTGAGTGGTTGGGGCGACATGCAAATTGAAGTGGGTCCAGTGAAGAGAGGAGCTGGTCTTTGATGTGCCTCATGACGCGCCTCTCGAAGCACTTCATGAGGATAGGGGTGAGTGCAACGGGACGGTAGTCATTGAGGCAGGACACTGGAGACTTCTACGGCACAGGGATGATGGTGGTGGACTTGAAGCTTGAAGAAATAACATGACACTCTAAAACGGGGGGCAGGTCAAGTTTGTAAGTCACTTCATTAATATGTTTAAGCACTTTAAATGGGCCGATATACTTCGGCTGCAGTTTCCTACTTCCTTCACTGGCCCTGAAGTCTCTCGTCGAGAGCCACACGCGATCTCCTGGGTGGTAGGTGGATGTATCTCCTTGGTGACAGTCTGCTTGCTCTTTGTTGCATTGCAGAGCGACTTCGATCCTCTGATGGGTTTTATCCCAGACTCTCTTGCTCAGTTGCATCCAGGTGTCCACAGCAGGAACATCTGTCATCGTGCCAGTCCATGGCGCTATAGGGGGTTGATACCCCAAAACACACTGGAAAGGGGTTAATCCTGTGGCAGAGCAAATAAGTGAATTTTGAGTGATTTCAGCCCACAAAAGGAATCGTGACCAGTCTGTTGGATTATTGTAACAGAACATTCTAAGGAATTTACCTAATTCCTGATCAACATGTTCACATTGACCACTGGTTTGAGGTTGGTATCCAGATGCAAGCTGATAGATACCTGCACATGTTCAAAGGATGCAGACCAGACCTGAGATGTAAACTGTGGGCCTCTATTGGATAAAATGTCCTCAGGGATACAGAAATAACGAAACACCTGATTGAAAAAAGTCTCAGCAGTTTGAAATGCAGTAGGGTGTGAAATAAATGGAATGAACCTGACGCTACACAAAAATCTGTCTGTAACTGTAAGAATTGTGGTAAACCCTTGTGATTCAGGCAGATCAAATCTATTGCAATGTGAGACCAGGGTCGGTTAGGTTCTGGTAATGGAACTAGTTTTCCAGCTGGCAAAGTCTTGAGAGTCTTACATTGGAAACATATGGAACAGGACGCAGAATGAATGTCTTTGTTTATGGTCTCCCACCAGTATCGACTGGACAAAAGCTGCCGCATACATGTGTCCCCTGGGTGACCAGATGTGAGAGAGGAGTGGGCCCATGTAATCAACCTGTCACGAAACTGGTTGGGGACATAAAGCTTTTCAGGGGGGACACTGGCTAGGAATTTGGGTACCTTCTAATGCCTTTTCAATCTCTGCATCAACCTCCCAGTGAATAGAGGAAATAGTGATGTTAGGGGGGAAGAATGGTTTCCTGTTCGGACTGATCTATATTCTTATTTACACATTCTCGGAGGGCATCAGGTTTAGTATTCCTAGAACTTGGACGGTAAGTATGCTAAACTGGAACCGAGAAAAGAAAAGGGACCATTGAGCTTGATGGGCATTGAGACATTTGGTACTTTTTTTAATTTTTACCCGATTTTCTCCCCAATTTAGTCGTCTCCAATTCCACCCGCTAGTTAGGACTCCCCCAATCACACGATGCTATCAACGCTAGGAGGGTGAAGGCTAACACAGGCTTCCTCCGAGACCTGTGAAGCCAACCACCGCTTCTTTTCGAGCTGCCGCTCACGCAACGTCATTGGACAGCCGAACGCGCTCGGAGGAAAGCGCCAACCGCCAGATCTGTTACGTCAGCTAACAGATGCCTGCGCTGACTAGCATCGCTAGCATCGCTAGCAATGCCTGCGCTGAGTGATGGGGGGAGAAGGAGGGGCCATCCTACCCACCCAGGGAGAGCGAGGCCAATTGTGCTCTCTTGGACTCCCGGCTACGGATGGCTATAGCATCACCGGGGTTCGAACTCGCGATCTCCTGATGATAGGGCCAACACTTAGACACTTATTTTAATGCACTAATAACTCACAATCTCTGATTCCGTAGTTTTTTTTTCTGTAGGAGTGAGTTTATGGGCATAAAAGGCGACAGGATGAAGTTTTTGGGGGTCTCCAGAACGTTGGGAAAGGACTGCCCCTATCCCCGTCTCTGATGCCTCTACTCCCATGACAAAAGGTTGAGAGGGATCAGGATGTTTTAAAACTGGGGCTGTGGTAAAAGCTTCCTTAAGTGCTAGAAAGGCTCTCTCAGCCTGTTTAGTCCAAGTAAGTTTTTTCGAGTTACCTTTCAGTAGGGCAGTAAGGGGAGCAGCAATTCTGCTAAAATCTCTAATTAAACATCTATAGAAATTTGCACACCCCAAGAATCTTTGAAGCTCCTGAACAGAAGTCGGTGTGGGCAAGTTTACTATGGCATCTACTTTTTGGCCGCCCATAACCACCCAATTAGCACTAATGACATATCCCAGAAACCTGTTGTTCAACATGTGTGTCAAAGTCAGGGGAGTAAACCAGAATATCATCAATATATGCAATAACAAATGTCCCTATCATGTCCCTTAGGATGTCGTTAATGAAGGCCTGGAAAACAGAGGGGACATTAGAAAGATCGAAAGGCATCACTAAGTATTCTTAGTGCCCCCTAGTGGTCACAAAGGCAGTTATCCATTCATCTCCCTCTTTGGAGATCTAGTTTGGTGAATTATTTAGCTACCTTCAACTCTTCTAGCACTACAGGGATCAGTGGAAGAGGATAAGAGTATGTTTTGGTGATTTGATTGAGTCCTCTATAATCTATATATGGGTGTAGACGTTTATCCTTTTTCTTGACGAAAAAGAATCCAAAAACTGCAAGTGAAGTGGAGGGTCTAATGACTCCCTGATCTAAGGCCTCCTGGATATACATATCCATAGTATGTTCTTCTTGTGTTAAAGAGTAAACTCTAGACTTGGGAAGGACAGGGTTATCAATCAGGTCTATGGCACTGTCATGGGGCAATGAGGAGGTAATTTAATGGCATTGCCTTTGTTGAAAACCTCCTTGAAGTCTGTGTATTCAGGGGGAATTTCTATAGCAGCTTCAGCATTAGGGCTTTCTATAGTGGTGGACCTGACCTCTACTGAAGGGGGTGTTATACAAGTTTGAAAACAGGTTTCTGACCACTTTAACAGCTCATGCTCAGGCCAAAATATTGTGGGATTATGTTTTTCAAGCCAGGGTAGAGCCAAGATGATTTTGAACTCAGTGTCAGGAAGGAAAGACGTTTCTGACGTCTCTAGAATCAGGAAGGAAAGACGTCTCTGATGAAGTGCACTGGTTTCCAGTTGCACTGGAGCAGTTTTCTAGGTGATGGTTCCAGCAGATGACCAGCACCACCACAGTACAAACTCTTATTCGTCGAGTACAATTACACAGTACAATTCTCTTATACATCGGAACCTCTCCTCCTTAGGCAGACGTGATGAATCGCACCGCATGGGTTCTTCTATGTCTTTGTGCTGAACGGGATCACAGGATGTCTTCGCTCTTGATATGATTCTTTTAACTTGATCAGTCCTTCATCTACCACGGTCATGAATGAGCTGATCCAAGCAGATCGATAGAGTGATCAATTGGTCTAAAGTCAGCTCATCATCCTTACAAGCCAGGGTAGTCAGGACTTCCTTGTTAAGTTCCTGGTGAAACATCACAAGCAAAGCTGCCTCATTCCATCCGCTGCTTGCTGTCAGCATGCGGAATTGGCCACAGAGCGATTACCTTGACGTAGTTTGATTGAAGTAGTTCACCACTTATTTTGCCTTCACGGGGATGATCAAAAACAAATTCTTTCAAAAACAGAGCAAGATAAACTGTGGACACGTGACCTTAGTTAAACTCTGTGAGTTAAAAACTGTGAGCAAAGTTAGCTAACTTTTAAGAACAAACGTATGACACCATTAGAAAGCTTTAATTTTTGATAAATACAATTGAAATCTGATGTTATATTAACTGAAACTTGGTGTGCTAACAAGCAGGGCATTTTAGCTCATGCAGGCAGGAATGGGAATGGGGAAGGTAATGTTAATGTTAACAAGTCAGAACTGAGCAGACAAGACAAATGTAAAACACTACAATTTTAAGTAAACTCTTTTATACTATCCCACTAACTTCCCTTTACAAAGGCAAAAGCATTTTTATTAAAACATTTCCTCAGTAGCCTGGAACAAACTAGTTATGATGTTTTCATCACCAACATTTTGTAAAACTGAATGTTAGCTAGCATTAGCAAACTGGCTAGCTGAATTATTTTGTTGGTGCCAAATGCAACAGTATCACTCCTCACCTCACAAACATGAACTAACAGTAACTTATGAATGTGGTACTTAGTATACTAACATTAGTTAATGTCAAAGTGTTAATGTTACTTGCACAAAGAAAAAGCTCAGTAACCTTAGCTTACATTATCTAAAATGAGCCAGTGTCCTTAGATAGCTAGCAAGCTAATTATCTAAATTCACTATTTCTTTATCTAAATTCTTACTTCCGAAATTATAAAACACTATGAAATAACTTTAATAATCAAAACCTTTAATATGGTTACATTAGCATCACAAACACCACACAAAATCCACTCACCTTTGAATTTTTTCACCTCCTCATAAATCACATCTATGCCAGACTGGATTAGCTCCTTAATAAGGTCCATTTCCAGAATACGCAGAAATGACGATTGATGAGATCTTGGGGCAACAATGCTATCCTTTATCCTATTATATCCTGTATAGACACTTACTGAAAAATGACTTGCAGCTGATGGCAGTTCAGTAAAGTGAGTTTGCCTACTTTTGTTCCAACAATGTCTTTTTCCATAAGGCCCAGCTTTGTGGAGTGTTCTTTGGATCTGTCCAGCACATTTTGCCATTGCCCTCCTTATCCAGTTTCTGACTTTGGTGGTGGCCTCCTCTAGACAGAGTCACAGCTGTGCTATATTGTTGCCAATTTTAATAATAGATTTTATGACTTATGTGTTCATTTCTGCAATTATAGAAAATACCTTTGAAAACCACTGTAGATATACATTTGCTAAAAGAGATTCAATTTTTAACAGTCTGACAGGTTTGCTGTTCCAGTATGGGCACACAGGCAAGAGTTCTATTCTGCTGGCTTTGTCTTCAAGGTACAGATCTAACTTTAAATTTATGTAATAATTCATCTATTTTAAAGAGTAAACTGCATATATAAATTCAATATTATTTATCTTTACTTTCCAGTGATGTTCGCCACTGTATTGTCTGATGTGTGGAAGGCAGAGGTTGTCTCTGAATTGAAAACGCTGGTCTCTTCTTGTGTTGTGGTGCCCTGCAAGTTCCAGTACCCTGGAAGACAACTTCCAGACTCGCGTATTAGGGGAATCTGGCACAAAAAGGATAAAAAAGAAAACATCTATCATGAAGACCATATTGAAATTGCAGACAGCTTCAAGGGTCGCACAAGACTGCTTGGCCACTTGGGTGAAAAAAACTGCACTTTAGAGATAGATGAGGTCAAAAATCATGACAACGGCCCATTTTGTTTCAGGGCTGAAATCCCAGACATAGATAAGTATTCTTTTGTGGAAAGCTGTGTGACCCTCTCCACGATGCGCAAGTATGACTGTAGTTTGCTCTGTTGACTATATCTCTGTTAATATTTGGTCTGTTAACTGTAACTATCAGGTATCACAAATTGTGGTTTATCTAGAAGTAACCAAAGTCAGGGTCTGATCCCAGTGTTAAACAATGATAGTTCATATGAATGGCCAGCAGTAAATTCATTTTGCTTTGGTCATGGTCAAGATATGCATGTTTAGATATTTATGTGAGCCTGTATCTTTTATTAATATGTTTATAGCCTGTATCTTTTATTAATAAGTTTATTTTTCATTTTAGAGGAAGAAATATTAGAAATAGAAATAAATTCCATATGTGAGCTCCTCTTTTTTATAAGTTAGGAGTTGTTTGGAACTAGAAAACTTTCAGTTGATTCATTACACAAATACACGTTTCAGAGTCCATCATTGTTCTCCTTCTAATCTTTAAAATGGGCATTCCAAGGCACTGTATCTCTTAGTCTCAATGACCTCACAGAATGTCATACTCAGCATGTATGACACAAATAAGTCATAGACATCATAGAGAACACTGGGAGACCATTGTGAAACTTTTTTTTTCATACTAACCAACTGTTTATGACAGCACATCTGTGTGATGCTGTGTCCTTGTATTCCTCTTGTTTGAAAATAGCATGCAAAGGTTTCCTGGTTAATTCCATTCTTACCATCCCCAGTCTAGAGGCCATAGTTTTAAAATCATAAAGAAAGAGATTAAACTCTTTAATATTAGTAATAATAGCCACACTGTTGTATTTGCTGTTTAGCGGCGGCAGAGAAACCAAGGCTAGAGCAAATGAAAACCTTGGAAGATGGAGTTTCTACTACGTTCAAGTGTTCTATCAGACATACCTGTCCCTCCCGTCCCCCCACCATCACCTGGAGCCGTTCAAATACTGAAGCCACTTTGAACAACAGGGACATTCTTCATGGAAACTGGGAAGTGGAATCCTTGCTGACTTTCATCCCAACAGAGAAGGACGATTTCACAGACCTCACCTGCAACGTCAGTTTCCACGGCGGCCTGCAGTCTTCAGTTTCTTCTGTCTTACACGTGAAACGTAAGTCATGTTCTCTGTCTACCATAGTTGCCCATATGTTACTAAGGAACAGATGACATAAAAAATCTTTGTCGTGCTTATTTTAGACTAAGTGAGAATGAAAGGGAACACATAAAATATAGTGATTAAATACAAAAAAGCAAAACACTCTTTGGCTGTTTACATGATAGTTTTCTCAAAAGGCTAACATAAACATGAGTGTTATTACCTGACTGTTAGCAGGCATATCAAACTGGAGAAGTTCTAATGCTCTGAATTCAGTTCACAGTCAGGTGTGTTTAATGAGGCAGTGTGCTGAAGTCTGCAGTGATTTTGCCAGCAAGGACTGGAGCTTGACACATGCGTTTTAATGGGACAAAACTATGCAAATCTCTTTTCTGCAAAAAGCTAAAATTTTTGCATTAGAGTATTTATACACAGATTATATATATATATATATATATATAATATATATATATATATATATGTAATATATTGCACATTGTTCTCAGTGATGGTCTTATTGCACAGTGTAACAGGATAACAGGAAATGTAAACCTGACACTGGTGTATAGTGATAATGTGCTCAAGTGATGACAGCCCTGAAAATATTTCAAAGAGAATAGCTGCATTTAAAGACAGAAGATTATAATTCAGACAGTCTGTATGTTTGTACCGGAGTTGAGTATTCTGATGGCCTGTGAAAAGAAACTTTTGCTGAGTCTGGCAGTCTTGCACCACATGCTGCAGCAGCATTTGCCAGACGGCAGAAGGCTGAACAGTCCATGTGCAGGGTAGGTGAGGTCTCTGGCTTGATGGCCCTGCTGAGGCAGCATGACAGGTATAGATCTTGTATGGATGGATAGAAGTGGGGATCTGATGATTTTATCTGTCCTCTGCACTCTCTGGAGGGACTTCTGGTCTGTGGCGGTGCAGCTACCATACCAGACTGGGAGATTGCTGGTCAGGACGTTCCCTATAGTGCCTCTGTAGGATAGCAGGGGGGATGTTTGCTCTCCTCATCCTTCGTAGGAAGTGAAGACGCTGTTATGCTTTCTTGACAAGGGAGGTGGTGTGTGTAGTCCATGGTTGGTTCACTTCCTCTCTATAGGCTGAGTCGTTATCATTGCCCACCACTGTTGTATCATCTGCAAACTAAATAATGTGGTTCTAGTTGTACTTGGCATAACAGTCATGAGCCATCAGAGTGAACAACAGAGGGCTCAGCACACAACCCTGGGGAACTCCAGTGCTCATGATGATGGTTTTACAGGTGTTTATTCCAACTCATACTGTCTGGGGTTTGTCTGTGAGGAAGTCCAGTAACCAGTTGCACAGTGGGGTGTTGATGCCTAATGTATAATAGTCTACCCTTACAGTACATTTCCAATGCACGCTGGCTTTAAGTAGCTTAAGTGAAGTTTTTCAGGTAATGCTAAATAGCTTTAAATAATAACGTCTTTTTCAGGTAAAACAAACTTCTTTCACATCATAATTCCAGTTGTGGCTGTACTTGGAACCTCTCTTTTATTTGGAGTGGTGTGCTACATCATGCGCGAGAAATATAGGTGAGTCTAAGAACCATATATATATATATATATATATATATATATATCAATATATAATATATATAAATATATTAATAATTTAAATTCTGTAGGTTGTTGTAACATACAGTAGTTTGTCAGTGCATTAATGCTGCCGTTTCTCATGCAATCAAAGTGTCTTTTCAAATCTAATGTCCACTTTTAAATGTTAGCTTTTAGCAGTAACATGTGGTCTTTTTTCATCAGGAGACAGATTCAAGATCTCCAGTCTAGACTCGAACGGGTAAGTAAATACCATTTAACCATTCTGTCTTTCATAATGCACTACTCTTTTGTGGGTCACAAAACAGATAATGGGGTTAATAAGTAGGATTGCACTGTTACCATATCAGTATCAGCTCCAATATTGCCATTAAATGCAGTAACGCTATTGGCTATGGGGATATGTATACACATGACAAAAAAATGCTCATGGCAAAATCCATAATGCCAGTATTTTGTGGGGAGAACACTAGTGAGACATATGGAAGGATTGCCAGTGTCCTGGGATAATTTCAAAAGAAAAAGAACATTTGATTGATGATAAATTGCTATTAAGAATATTATTCCACTGAGCTGAAATGTCTCAGATAACCAGAATGAAGAAAGTTGTGAAACAGGTGTGCAGGAGATATACAAATATTTTAAGTCCAATTTACACCTGGAAGGGAAGGTTTGTTGTAATAAAATGCAGAACCTACTGGAAATGTTTGCAGACAGGTTACATGTGTCTGATGAGCTCACATAAACTTACAATTACCATTTTGAAATTATTATAAAATAGTAATCTTGTCTGAGGTAGATTTGAGAGGATACAGATTCTGTCTTAAGAGTTTGTTGTACATAAAATGTATGTTCCTTAGCTTACCGGTCAAATGTATTGCATCTTATCAGATATAGTGCTCATTACAGAAATAAAAGGACTACACTTCAATGCATCTAAAATATTTTTTCCTTCATGTACACAGAATTTGGAGTCGAATGTCCAGAATGTCCCAACGGTAATCAAGGCCTATTTCCATCCAGTTAAAATGACTTTTTGAAACATTTATCATTTATTTGATTTGCAACATCTATATTTAAAGCACAGCAGACAAAAATACAGTTGTAATATTTTATATGGCTTAGTATTTTATATATTGGACTTAAATGTTGTTATTCATGTGGCTGAATGGATATTTAACTCACATCCTGTCAGCATTTCTGATTGTATTGTATCACTTTGTGATCAACAGGTTCAGGTCAGTGGATTGGAGGGAACTAGAAGCAGCAGGGCACTGAATGTTCACAAATGGTCTAAGCAGACATTTGAACTATATGCCATTACCGTGGTAAGGGGTGAGAGTAAATTATGAATATATTTAGAGTTAGGACCAGAGTTTGTACTTCACCCATTAAAAGGCCAAGCAATAGCTAATATGAAAAACACTAAGAGCAAAAGATGAGTTCATAACTTTTGATTATCAATAGTAATTTTTTTTTATTATTATTTACAAAAATAAACTCAAGGAATAAGATTAAAAACTATTGTTTTGCCCTGTCCACTGTTACATACAGACTTTGTAATTTGTCATATACATCATGCATGTTATGTAATGTTTTATAACATGTTAGAATTTTGATGGTGGTTCATTCTATTGCTTCCCAGCTGGCCACCAACGACATTGATATCTGGTTGAATGTAGGTTATGATGTTGGGTGAGCCAAATTCAATGTCAAGACGGCATCTAAAGCCAAGGTCATTTTGATGTAGAATAATGGCGACAGCTTATATTTTGTTGGTTTAAAGTTGTGATGTTGAGTAACCAAAATCCAACATCTTCCAAACGTCTTATGTCAGCGTTAACAGGACATGTAATACCGACATAAAGTTCGTAAGGTATGCAGACCAAAACTTAACGTCTGTCATAATGTCCAGACAACATGAAATTCTAACATCATTAGATGCTGATATGTAGCTGGCTTTAAGTCATGGTGTTAAGTAACCAAAATCCAGCATCTCCTAAATGTCTCATGCCAACATACTATAGACATATAAAGTGACCAAAACTCAACATCTGGTCAACATCATCATTTTAACATCCACTCTGTGTGACAATCTATCATTAGACTTTGATATTTTGTTGGCTAAAAATTGTGGTATCAGGTAACCAAAATCCAGTGTCTTTCAAACATCTCATGCCAACATCATGTTGATGGAAAATACCAACATTTAGCAGTGAGGTATGGTGACCAACACCTGCTGAACGCTATAATGTTAATTCTAACTTTGTTAGACGTTGATACATTGTTGGTATTAAGTTGTTGTAACCAAAATCCAGTTCAAATGAAAAAAAATCAACTCTGTGTTCATATTACAGTATATATGTCATGTGTACTAATATTTCTCTAAGCTACCACTATTTTCACTGTATGTAACAGTTCATATATTCTGTTTAGATTAATCTGCCAGCTTTACACCACTGAACTTGGTGAAGCGCAACATGCATGAAGCATTCTGTTAACTGTGAACACAGTTTTACTGACGTTTTCTTTCTCTATAGGACTATGATGGAGATCCCAAACGAGAATGAATGATGATGGAAGACAGAACAATATTAGATCATAGATTTGTGGGTTTTCTTTATTTTTATTTTCCATGAAAGTTTTCACTTGCATAAAAATATACATTCTGCGTAGCTTTATTCTATAGCTTCTGCATTGCATAGCTTCTGCATAATACTGTATGGACCATTCTACCCACGTAGTTCAAACTGCAGTCCCAGAGTAAAAACATTTTAAAAATGAAATATTCAGATCTTAGATCTTTCTCCAAGACCTTGTTCAGATTGCCAGCACAAATTCGATTTTGGCATATCTAGATTATATCCAGATTGATTTTTGATAGTCAGGACAGCAAAAACCTGATGAAATGTTTGCAAATCGGATCCAAATCACATTTGGAGGTGGTTTGAAATGTGATTCCAATCCAATCTAGATTCTCTGGCCACTCTAACTGGATTTAAAAGTGTGTTTTGTGTCACTTTGCGACACAACAAGCAACAACATCAAATCCAGAGTGACAGAAGTGATGGGATTCAAGAAGAGCCCAAAGATTTGTGCTTATATTGTTAGTTACCACAGCAACCCATGCAGATAGGCTGGTGATGTCTGGACATACAAATCTGATCTGATCACTTGCAAATAATAGTATGGACAGATGTCTCAAAAAACCTGATTTGAGAAACAAATCCACTTTGCCTGCAGTCTGAACATAACCTAAATTTCAACTTTTCATTTTTTTTCAATGTTGTTTTTTTTAAAAGATCTTTTTAAAAATTCTTTTAAAGTGAAGTTGAAAGATTTAAACTAATTTTTTAAATAATAATAAAAAAATTGCAGTCCCATGTTTTCATGACACTGCTGAAACAAACAGTTTCAGTCCATAGGAGGAGCCTTATTTTAGCCACACCCCTGCATTTTAGAGCAGGAAGTGAGACTGCATCCCTGTCCCTCATGGCCACATGGTGAGCAGTGATGCTGTGTTCAAGTCCTACTCGGAAGTTCTTACTTATGACTTCAGAGGTCATAAGTACAACATGATTTGTCTTGAAGTGGTTTTAGTTAGAAACAAGATAAATGTGCTAGAAATAATGTTTTTTGTTTACTTTTGATTTTCTGTTATTAAAGACACACCATTTATTTTGCTTTACTGCAACAAAATGGAGAGCAGAGGAAGCTTAAAAGATGATTTAATGTTTTTCTCCAGTTAGAAACATAACAAAGTACTTATGTTTGTGTTTTTGCATGTGGATGATTTTTGTCTGCGGTGTTCATGTGTGGCTCCTGAATAACTGAAATACAACTGTGAGCTGATGCCATTGCTTTTTTGCTGACATGTAAAATCGGAGTTTCCCAATAGTAAATACTATAATCTCTGACACAATTTGAGGCAGCATCTCATTTCTTTGTAGTAAATCTGTCCCAAAATCTGAAGATCAGTTTAATATTAATTAACATTAAGAACTGTCCCTACCAAAACCAGGGGCGCTAGAATCACAGGGGCAAGCGGGCATTTTGACACACCACTTTTCAAAGTACTTGGGTGACGATCCACTACTTCCTCATGGAGTTCGGGATGCTTACATCAAAACAAAATGAACTATACGGAGAGCTGACCAATAGACATGAACAGAAAGAGAATCGAAATGTTCATTTCTGCTGGGAGGCAGAGCATTTCTTAAACTGTAAAGCCTTCATGAGTTTGTGTTCAGTGAGAGGAGGTGCAGCTCACTGATCCCTGTAACAAATGTTTTCACTGTAATACACTGCGATAATGAACACGGTGGGTCACAGTTCGAATTTACTAACTGTCAAATTTAATATTTTTTATTCCTAATTTGTTCTCCTAAAGTCGCTGTCACACCAACCTTGTTTGGTGTGGACCAACTTTTCCTTTAATTCAGCCCGTTTTGATGTGTAAACAGAGCAGCCTTGTTTAGGTCAGTGCCAAACAACTGAAATATGAACCGGTGACCCAGCTGGTGGGAAAGTATTTTCAAAATTGTGCACACCAAATGAGAGAACTCAACACAAATGTGTGCTTTTCTCAGTGGACATCAGCGCTGTACTGGCCACATAAACTGCCTGTTTTAACATTTTACTCTTTACTCACTCATATCATTGTTGCAACATGAGCTGCTGTTAATTATGGCAGACGAAGATACACATTTCTTTTGACATATGGGTCGCACAACAAATTTTTGGCTAAGCATCAGAGATCTGACTGGTTAAATTCAAATTGGTTAACCAATCATTAAGAAGCTTTGTGTTGTGATAGACATTAAGCATCTCTATTTTATATCTATTACTATTTTTAAATTTTCATGGATGTAATAGTAAGAGTGATCGCATCCCTGCAAAATTTCTAACCATCAAATAAACGCTCCAGTGTGTAATTTGGTCCACTTTAGCCAATGCGGTGTGAAAATAACCACACCAAATGAAAAATACGCAATATCACAAAGACTCTCATGAATAGGGAGACATGTTATTAGCATGTTATTTATTCTTTTTAACAAGTTTTGCCTCCCCTGAGCAAAACCATATTTTCCATATTTTCTGAAATTAAGTAAACCTTTTTGTCTTTTAATAAAAATATTATTACTTATGTGTAGTAGTTTTGGGCGGCACGGTGGCGCAGTGGGTAGCGCTGTCGCCTCACAGCAAGAATGGCCTGGGTTCGATTCCCGGCTGGGTGACCAGGGTCGTTTCTGTGTGGAGTTTGCATGTTCTCCCCGTGTCTGTGTGGGTTTCCTCCGGGTACTCCGGTTTCCTCCCACAGTCCAAAAACATGCAGTCAGGTCAATTGGACGTGCTAAATTGCCCCTAGGTGTGAGTGTGTGTGTGGATGTATATGTCTGTTTGTCTGCCCTGCGATGGACTGGCGACCTGTCCAGGGTGTATCCTGCCTTCCGCCCGATGACAGCTGGGATAGGCTCCAGCACCCCACCGCGACCCAGAAGGATAAGCGGTTTAGATGATGGATGGATGGATGTAGTAGGTTTTAGCAATGTAATCAGATATTGTTGATGATTTACAAGTAACCTGATGACAATGTTTAAAAGATGTTGGGAACTAACAGAACTAGAAAGAACCAATTTACCTTTAAAGAGACTCCTAAATATTGTGATGGCTTGCTGAAGAAGGGTCACACGAGGTCATAATATCTGCTTATAAAATGCTCTTCATTGAATTAGCAAAGGCAAAAAGGCCACTTGAAAAAGAATTGAAACAAGAGGTCCATCCCAGCCTTACTCTTTCTCTTATGGTTACAAACAGGAACCCACTCTAACTAGCCCCCAAACCTGGCATGGGATGACAAATAAACATGCACACTTTAACCAAAGAACATCATCATACAGCATGAAATAACAACATAAAGAGTCACTGGAGGCGCCTTCCCATGAGCCACTTTGAATGGCATTTTACATAGCAAAACTACTACACACATGAGAGGCAGCCCGTGGCAGCTGCTATATTATGTTGGGAAATTAGGGTTCATGTTCCTTTAAGTGTGCTGGCACATGGCCCAGTGGTCGTTTTTCCTGTTGTGGTGAGAAAGAAACTGAAAGAGAAAATTTGTTAACCCTTTAATGCACAAGCTATGCAAACAACTCTGAGTTAAAAGGACCTGTATTAATTTCCTATTTTCTTCATGACTGAATTTTTCTTTGCTATATCTTTCGAAATCAATTTATTTTATCAATTAATAGTCCAAGTGTTCATTAAATTTGCTTTTGATGACCGCAAATTGTTGTCGTCAGTCTTCTTTTGTTAATTTATGAACAAATTGTTTCTGTATCATTACATCCACTTAACACAAATACACAAAATAAATAGACATAATAATATTTTGTTAAAATAAGCATTTTAGCAGTTATTTAATCAAAAAATAATACATTTAATTTTTAAATATGTTAATTTGTCACTTTGACACACATAACATACATGTATCACTGATAAATTCTAACTGATACTGAACTGTAGTGTAACTGTAGTGAACTGTGGTGAATGTGACTGAATAAATGACTAGAAACTACATGTTTGTGCTCCTTGCATACAGGCCTGGTGCACTGGGAACACCAGCTGCTGACTGTATTTGGCAGCTGGGCTGATCTTGCACTCCCTCCTCTTTACTTGGCCTTCCTGTCTGAGGTCCTCCTGTGGCTGGGTGATGCCAGTGTTTGTTTGTTTTTTATCCCACATCTTTCTAATATCCTTTTGGAGGTACAGCATGCCCTCTTTTTTATATGTGACATGGCAAGCTCTTTGACCAGATCCTTGATGAATAGCCAGCATTCATTGTTCATATTACCCATGTAATCAGGGTGTTGTACAGTGAAGTTGGTATAGGCCAAGGGTCAGCAACCCAAATGTTAAGAAGAGCCATTTTGTCCTTTTAACAAAAATCAGACCACCGTGGGGGCCACAACATTTTATGTACATTTTACATCATGGCTGTAAATATGTCTCAGTATGTGCTGATGTAATAGTGTGGGCTAAAAATATATAAACAAAAACGCAGACTTACTTTGCTCTGCTTTAAGCTTTAGCTCAGATAGATAGAGTAGTTTTCTTGTAAAATGTCCCTCAACACTTTACTTTTTACAAAGCTGAAGTCAGCTTCTCATCCACCAGCTTCTTGTTTGAATTTTCCCATTCCACCTTAAATAGTACCTGTGGCACCAGAATGTAACTGCTGCACCTTTTAAGGTGGAATGGGAAAATTCAAACAAGAAGCTGCAGAATGAGAAGCTGACTTCAGCTTTGTGACTTTTTAGTGACAGTTTCTCATTGCAGATTAAACCTATCAGGAAACCAGCTGGAGTGATTATAAATGCAAATAGGTCTGTTTGTCTTCAAGTTATCAATGTTTGTCTTAAGTCTTTCTCTTTGCATTTTTGTTAGCTACTTGCTAACAGTGTTTAAGACCATTTATTGTTAAACCTGCGTTAGAACGATCAGTGGAGCTTTACTTTACTGCAAAGGAGGATTATTTTATTTTTACCCACAAATCTAGTTCTGCTGTGGAGCCACAACAGGGCAGTAAAAGAGCCACATGTGGCTCCAGAGCTGCATGTTGCCGACCCCTGGTATAAGCATTAAGCAGGGCAGCATCCAGTATATTGTAGCAGAGCACCATTTGTGTGCCTGGGTTGTAAATCATCTGATCCTTTTTGTCCGCTTTGCCTTTTGTTTTGTTATATTACTGTATCACTGCTGTTTTTTTTTCACAGTATTGTCATCCACTGCTTTGTCATCAGACATGGTGCTTCAGAGGACAACAACCTTTCCCTTTATTGGCACATAGCTCACCATGGTCATGCTGCCACTGAACCCGAAATCTGAGCTATTTATCTCTGTTGATTTTGATATCATCAAGACAGGTGGTATGTGGAGCTTGTTCCCCACAAATTTCAAAGCAAACAAAGCCACCACCCAGCCACAGGAGGACATCAGACAGGAAGGCCAAGTGAAGAGGACGAGCACAGTAGCTGGTGTTCCCAGTGCATCAGGTCTGTGTGCGAGGAGCAGAAACATGTAGTTGTAATTTGAGAGGCATGTGACCACTGAGATAGCAGTTATATGATAACTAGATGGTAGTAATCAAAAATGAAATATTTAATGAATACCTGAAATATGAAATGCTAAAAAAGGGACAGAGAGCTCGTTGCTCCGCCTTCCCGTCACCGACCCTGCTCCCCAGCTCAGCCACCTGGATTGAACGTGAAGCGAAGTAAAGTGACCTCGCCGGGGAAACGGAAGCAGTGCCCAGGTACCCGCGCACCGTTCACAACTCCCTTGCAGATCTCATCCTTTCCCTGTCCTTGCAGGGTTTCATCTGCACTCAGAATTTGGGCCCCGCCTTCCCGCCAGCTTTCGCGGCTGTCATCAGGCCCACGGGACGGGCACCTGGCACAACTGATCCCATCTACAGCCGGGAACCAGGAACAGACAAAAGGTAACACATCATGTTAAAATGATACATACACAATGTTTTATTCACATTCACTATCAAAACATTGGGTTATTATGGGGCGTTAAAAGGCTGTTAGGCTACAGTGGAGTAAAAATGAAATGGAATAATGTATTTAAAGGAAAAACATGAGGTCAATCAAAGCAAAATGATTTTAGTCTAAAGTCTAAATCAGTTAAAAGTCAGAAATGCTTTCTGAACTCTGACTTTGAACCAATTTACTAGAATGATTTATATAATGTTACTAATGTTACTACAAAATACTAATAATCATAAAAAAGTATAAGATCGTTTCTAGATAATGTTATCAAATAAAGATAGAATGTAATATTTTTTAATAAACTACAAATAATGTACTTTTTTAAGTCTTCTTTGGTGGGCCAAATAGATTCATTTCTTTCTTCTGAGTTATTTGTAAAAACAAACAACACATTTTAAAATAATAGATAATACCCACATTTTTAAATGAATGGTATTCAAATATCACAATGAGAAACTATTTCCTATCTTAAAGTGTTTCCCACACTTTTATATACAATTTTGGTAGCTGTAGCTTGAACACTGACATTTGCACATCTTTGTATGTGGGTTCATGCCCAGGATTTATTAATCTGTCCCTTGGAAATAGTTATGTTGTAACTTTTGTTTATTGTTTATTACCCCCTCTGGTGGCCTGAAGAAAACAAGTACCCAAGAAGATGACTTCAGGCCCAAGTATTAGGGTTACCTGTCAAATTAGACCAGGTGTGGCTGACTGGAGACAACAGCTTTCTTTAATCGCCTTGCTGTGCTGCCGTAACAGCTTTGCTTAAGTATTGACCTTTTTACATGTTAAGGATCTGATTTATTAGGACTACATTTATGTGCTGTACTTTGGTTGACAGATATTTTGAGCCTGGAAGAAGTTGTCAAGTTCTGAGTTCACCATATTTGTGGAAAGTCTGGCAAATACTTTCAAATCAAACAGACAAAAGGTCAATACAAGGTATATTTTAATAATTCTGTTCGGACACCACACCATAGCAGCAGTGTGTGATGTCTTAGGACAGCACAATAATTTGATCTTTCCTCCACTTCACATGGCAACTCAAACGAATTAGCTATGAGTAAAGAAAAGGCGTAACCTGTGTGGTCCTGTGGAACCCCTTAATTTTAAAACCCCCACTTTGCATTTTTAAAGTCAGTCATCTGTGTTCAGTATTTGCATCAGACACAAAGTCAGCATTTAGATTGGAATTCTGTCTATGACATTTTCAGCATTGATTTTCACATTAGATGGTTGTGTGTGACCAGACTGAGCCAAGAGTGACTAGTCAGGAGACCCCTTAAGTGAGAGAAGACCTATTAAGTTGGGTCACAGTTACAACTGATTGATTCAGGAACCACAGTGGCCAAAGAGAAAGAGAAATGTGTTTGGGTGTGATGTTTCCTTGTAATGAAAGTTTTTCTAGGCACATCACAGATGTGCCATACTAAAAGTAGTTAAATTAGGAAGGGAGGGGCTTGGTCTAAGAGCATATTCTAAGTACTGCAGAGCTCTGTTGTTGCAGTCCTGTGATCTCTGTCATCATGCTGGGTACTGTATAACTTTTTCACTGACTAATCAAAAAAACAAATCTAAGCAGCGAGAGTTTATGGATGTTAATCGTGCTGTTTTTGCTGTGAGTTGCTGTTTGTGTCTGATTTTCTAAGGAGGAAGGTAAGATATTTAAAAATACGTTATTTTTTTGTTAATACCAGATGATTTTTTAATTTTGTCTAAATCAGTTATTGAACTACTTTAAAACAATACAGAATAGATTGTTCAGTATTGCCAGAAGAATTACTAGTAATTTGAAACTTTGTTGTTTTACATTATTAACCTAATGAAGTGAATTTAACAGCATTGCACTGCATTTGTCTCCACTGCAGTTGTGGCCTTGTAAGTTGAAATTTCAGTTACAAAGAGATTATGGCCTTTGAAAATTGTTGATTTCAGCTGGATAAATGTATAATAATAAAAATAAGAACTGGTAGTATACAGTGTATTTATTGTGGTGTCATCACAATATAATGAAGCTCTGAATGAAGTACAGTTATCCATAGTTATCCAAAAAATTAACCAGTGGAATATCTATCCTATTGTCAGAATTTCAATTTGTCTGCAGTCGAGAACATGGCAAGACTTCTGCTGCTGCAAGTGATTTTTCATGGTACAGTTTGTTTTTATTTGTACTCTTTATGCAAATAAAAATTGTTACTCACAGGATTTGTCTGTAATTGTATTGAATTATTAGACTATTATCAGAACCTTTTTTAGTCTCAACAGCAGCTTGTAGAGGAAAAAAATTAAACATATAAAATATAGGGGAAAAGATGTAAAGTATAGAATGTTTAGTTTAGTAATAATTCACTCTTAAAACTTTTATTTTTTCTGGCACACAGGCATCCTGTTTAGTGGTACCTGGACATGGTCAGTAACAATGCCAGGGAGCATTAAAGGCCTATACGGTTCCTGCTTGGTTATACCATGTAGGTTCTCCTACGACTCATATCCACCTACAAACCCTTATCGAGTAGTGTGGTATCAGTATGTTAGTCGTGGATACCCTTTAGTGTATGATAGTTGGAACCCTGGATCAGTGATTGACAAGTGTTTGATCTTCTCACTTTGCTTTTCATAAATCACTGTTGTACTTTTTTCAACAGAATTAAACTGTGTTGTAACAACATCTTAGATATCATTTCTATCTTTTTCCTAATTCACTGCTGATATTCTCTGATGTTCATTTTGCCTGTGCAGCATCAGCACCAGCGCCCAGCATTGACATTTTTGGAGGAAACCAAATTGGGCAACACATCACTGTTCAGTGCAGCACATACCACACCTGCCCTTACAGAAAACCCTCTCTGACTCTGAGTGGGATAGAAGGAACACAAGACAGATTGGAACACACTGACATTGGAAGTGGCACCTGGAAAATCACACTAAAACGTGAAGGGATTGTTAAGTCTGATAACCAGAGAGTTGACTGTGTGGTCAGACATCCCGTTGGTCTTTCGGCTTCAGCTACTAAAACACACACTGTGACGTTTAAGTGACACTTCTGTTTCATACATTTCTGAATTATCGAAAAATTAATTGTGTTGACCCTGGAAACAAGAAACATCTAGACACACTTTCTCATGTCCTTTTTAACATTCAGTGGCACATGAGTCAGGAAATCAGATTTGTAGCATTGCATTGTGGTTGTTTGATGCCAGATTTTATCTTTATTATCAACAGGTCCCATTTACAGTCCCCAGATTACACCTGATTCCAGCACAGAGTTTCTTGAGGGAGTGAAAACAGACATCATTTGCTCAGTTACATACAAGTGCCCCAGAGACCGACCTCACATCACTTGGAATGGTGGACAGTTATCTGGCAGCATGTCTCTTGTATCTTGAACACAACAGGAAGCTAGATCAACATTAAAGTTCACTGCAAGTGCTACTGACCATGGTAAAGTCATTACCTGCCAAATAGATTTTAAAGGATGTGTTCAAACAGAGAAAATTACTTTAAAAGTGAAAAGTGAGTAAAAACCCTTCTTAAGTTTTCTGTTTTTACTGATTGTCCTGTATTTTTTTTTCATGTATTTAAGCTACATGTGTTGTTTATTATACAGTACTTTGCTTAAATAGATAAATTGCCAACGGCTGCAATTCTAAAATGTACCACTATACTTATATACCTATATAGTACTTATAAGTACAGCATACTTATAAAAGAGCTTGTAAGTGCACGTCTGAAAATGAGGGTCTGAAGTTTATGCTTTTGAATGCTACTGGTGACATTCATTGCCAAAAATCTGTGCATACTCACTCTGAGGAGTGTAAAAATTAAGTGGCACTGGCACCAGCTGGAAAAGTATTTTTAAATCAAACGCTCCATGTTTTTCATAGTTACATGAACTAACTCCATTTCCCTACCTTTTTTCCGAGAAAACGACTGCCCACCTGTCCGGCCGGACACTGCTGGATGATTGTCTGTAGAGCTCTCCGGCTACCCGCTTCAGACCAGTTGCCCACACCCTAGTCACCGCCACTTGCCCAGCTACCGCAACCTGCCTTGGACTGGCTGCCCACCCTACACTGAAGTGGACTCCTAACTATTACTACTACTACTACTATTAATATTAGTAGTATAATAATTTTGTAGGTAGTTTGACCAGAGGAGGATTATTCATAGCTTAAATAAATGCTATATTTATTTTGCATAAAGCCTCATGTAAGCCTCAAAAAAGCATCAAGTTGTAGTCAGTCATGGTGCTTATAAGAATCTGTCCATTCTGGGGCTGAAAGGTATACACTTACTGCATCATAAACATTATTGTACCATGTTCTTTAAAGGGTCAATGTTCTTCCGTGACTGGACATTCTCCATGCCCAATGCGATCAGAGGGGTCCGGGGCTCATGCGTGGTCATTCCCTGCAATTTTGACTTCAAAACCACACCGCCTCCCAATGTCAATGTGAAATGGTACAAATTCTCTGATACACAGTATCCTTTAGTGTACGATCAATCAGCACAGAATGTTATCACCAAGTTCAGAGGGAAGACGAGCTTGTATGGATCTCCAAATGAGGGAAACTGTAGTTTGAAGATCCAGCCTCTTGAAATGCAGCATAACCAGGAGAGACTGTATCCATGGATGGACCCAAAGCCTATTGAAACGTACCACAGAGAAAATTACCTTGATGTAACCATTGCCCTTGAAGTAACAGGTAAGACCCAAGCCTTTACTGGTTGTTTTTATTATATACTGTTATAGTCATTACAAATTTTGGCATTTTTTAATTTTATTTTAGTTGTTATGTTAGAGTACTATACAGAGTGTACATCAAACATTTAGCCACACAAACTTTGGCATGGTTACACTATTACCAGCAAAAATGGATGTTTATCAGAGGCAGGAGGCAGGAGGATGCAAGAACTATTTTTACACATACTTGAATGTATGCAGTTTTATGATTGCAGGATGTGGTTGCTAGGGGATTGTTTCCATGGTATCCAAGGTATATGCTAGGGTGTTACTAGGTGTTCAGATAGCAAGAGGATAGGGTCCTATTATTGGCCTATTGACGGCAAAGCTGGTGGCCCACTGGCTTTTTGCTCAGCATTTTCCAGGCGGCCCACCGTGGTTAAGTATGGTGTTAGACAAAATGTCACTTTTCATCACTTTTTCCACTCACAGTCCAATTGACTTATTTTTCTTTCCTTTCTTTCTTTTGCTATAGGTTGGGTGTACACATTTTTGGCCACAGATAATTTCCTATAAATATCATTAGTAATTTATAACAACAAACATAACTATGTAATTAGGTTGTCATGTTTTATTATGCTGTTTCTGCTGCAAGTGTAAAATCCTCAGTGACAAAGTGATCACTTGACACAGGCTGATTACAAAAAAGCGTATACCTTTAGAAATTATTACTTTTATTTCATTTTTTGGATTCAGTGTCTCTTAGTGTGAAATTTGCAATAAAGCTGTCATAGAATGCATTTATTCTGCATTTTACATTGTTCTCCAATGTCTATATAGAAGAAAGATGCCCAGGTCAGTGCGAAAAATGCCCAAATGCAGTTTTTACATGCCGATTCACAACCTTATGATTTGGCTCTAAAATGAAATAAGCTGTTTTCCCTTTTTGGTGGGCTCATGAATAATTTAATGAGTTTTGTTCTGATTTGTTGGTTTACAGTGAGCCACCACAAAGGCTCACACAGAAGCTATATATCAAAATAGATACAGGCAGGAAAATAAAATGAACCTCTGTGTAAACAAAGATTGTATGTCAGGCTTCTTGTATCTTCTCTGGTGTAAATTAGCTAAGGTTGTCATAATATTTAGTTAGCTACAGGAGCTAACTGCTAGTGGCTAACATTACCTATACTAGCTACTTGCCTTTGATCTCGACAACAATACAAAGTAAATTAAAGTTTAGCTCAGTATGAAACTTTCCAAGTAAGATGATCTGGATTCAACTGTCAAAAAGTGGATAAAATCACACTTACAGGTTGCTGTTGTGGTTGTGATGCTAATGAAGTTGGAACTGACCCTTCCTCTCTTCAGTGTGAAACACTGAGTGAAGCTGCTCAATATTGTCCAAGGTTTAAGAAACCTTTTGTTTGGAGTGAAATGTGCAGAGCAAACTAGAACTTTGAATTAAAGTTGTCTGGGATCCTGTTAAAGATGAGGAAGCTCATTCATCAGCTTGTTTTACTCTTCCACTTTAAATGGTGCCATAGTTACATTCTGGTGCCTGTACAAGCTGTACCATTTAAGGTGGAACAGAACATCTGATTATTAAGCTGGCGAATATTAAGCCAACTTCAGCCTCATTTAAAGATGAACATCACCCATGCCTGCTGACAGTTCAGTTTCTTGGGAAAGGTGTGAAAAGAGCCAACATCCCTTCACAGCCTGGATCGGTACATTTCTGCACATAGTCTGCCATTTTCTGTAAATATTAATGAGTCACAACTCTTACGTTTGGCTTGTTTTACTGCTCTTTTTTGCAATTGTGGGATTTGCATTTGAAGGAGGAGACAACAGTGTTGGAGGTTCACTGTACTTTCATGTTAAAATAATATGAATAACAATATTCAATGACTCTAATAAGAATATTTACCTTTTCTATACAATATTGAGAAACCGAAAGTGGATATTATTGGCAGTGAGCAGGTCAGTGAGCCGATCACCTTGTCCTGCATTGTTATTCATTACAAAAAAGAAGGGGGGAAATCTAAAATAAAAAATAGCAAAACAATATTTACATTAGCATTCACAAGTTTGGAATAACTATTTTTAATAATATAAAACCTGTTTGGCTGCAGACACATATAAAATTATTATAATATGAAGCTATTATTTTATAGGTTTTAATTTGTAGCAATATATAAAAGCTGTGTGAAGCTGAAAATATTAAGAAATTTTTGATGATAAATGGAGCTGTAGAAAACAATAATTGATAATGACTGAAAAAATCGTATAGCATCCAGAAAGAATTTACAATAAAATGAAAATTTGGAATGCCTTATTTGAAAAGCAGCAAGCAAATGCCACTGTTTAAAAAGTTATTTATAGTTATTTTGTGACAAAAAATGACTAAAATAGAAATATTTTTAATATATGCCTTCTATTAAACATAGAAAATAGTTCTTTTCAGGGTTATGGTAAGAACATTTTAATGTGATAGATTTCAACAGAAAGAATTTAGTAATTGCTTTTTATGCTTTTGAAGACTAAAATGTGGGGAATAAACAAGACTGGCAGTTGACATGAAATATGCTTATAAATTGAATGAACTCATTAATGATCATTTTGTATGTAAATTGGCAGTAAATAAACTATTTTCTGTGCTTCTTGCTTAATAATGTATCATATATCTAAAACTCCACAGCTGAGGCTGCCTGTAATTGTAGAAATACCCATATATCATTGGGTTTTTTATTTATTTTGCCTTAGTCTGCTTGCTTATTAGTGATGGGCATTCTGGCTCTTTTCAGTGAGTCAGATCAATTGACTCAGTTTTTATCTAGAGGGCCGGCTCTATCATTTCCCCAATGGCCTTTCATGTAGTAGCACTTTCAGTTTTTTGTTTGCAAAATCAGCCAATCCTTTAATTTCCACTTAAAATTTAGTCAAAATTTGAATTAATAAAATAAAAATATAATAATAATAATAAATAAATAAATAAATAAATAAATAAATAAATAAATACATAAAATACAAAATTTACCATTTTCACAAATATAATTGGTCAGTCTCTTTCTTTAACTTTGCACTGGAGCTACAAAACTAATGTAGGAAAAAACTGCATGGACAAAAATATGCTGAAAATTCAGACTTCAAATCGTATTTGGCGCTGCAATATACCTTGTCCATTTTTATACATAACAATATGTGTCACAATATCAGAAATCATGGCAAACAATTTTTGGCTGATTGATATCATTTGGAATGAATTGTTTGAAATTGTATGAACAATATAACTCTAAAACAAACCTTCATACTGCTTATAAGTTTTTAGTCTTGTTGGAAACATTACAGTCTATTTTGTGTCCCAGCATGAGATGAAAACTTATAGGGCCAGGCTTAGACATGGACTATTACTCAGACTGAAACTAAATTGCAATGCCAGTAGTGAATCACCATTGGAATGTTTTTAGTCTAGGCTTTGGCTTGATAAAGGATGTGAAAATTTTGTATGTAAATGGCTTTTGTTCTTACAGTTGCCTCATATAAAGGCAATTCCAGAATAATTATACAATTGTGCAGTTAAATTAGCCAAATAAATGAATGTTTCTTTAATATATGTAGTTGGGTTTCAACTTGATAAATATCATCATCATCGTTAACCGCTTAGTCCAGATAGGGTCGCGGTAGCAGTTGGGAGAGCAGAGAATCCCAGATGACCCTGTCCCCCGCAACTTCCTCCAGCTCATTCCCGGGGACCCCAAGCCGCTCCCAGGCCAACTTGGAGATATAATCCCTCCAGCGGGTCCTAGGACGACCCCGGGGTCTTATTCCGGTAGGCCGTGCCTGGTACACCCCCACCGGGAGGCGTCCAGGGGGCATCCAGATCAGATGCCCGAACCACCTCAGCTGGCTCCTCTCAATGCGGAGGAGTAGCGGCTCTACTCTGAGCTCCTCCCGGATGGCCAAGCTCCTCACCCTATCAAATAGAGTGTAGCCCGCCACCCTGCGAAGAAAGCTCATTTCCGCCGCTTGTATTCGCGATCTCATTCTTTCGGTCATTACCCACAGCTCATGACCATAGGTGAGGGTCGGGATGTAGACTGCTGCCGCTTGTCCCAGCCTGCGGTCGATCTCACGATCCTTCTTCCCATCACTCGTGAACAAGACCCCGAGATACTTAAACTCCTCCACCTGGGGCAAGTCCTTTCCCCTTACCTGGAGTGGGCATACCATCCTTTTCCGGGCTAAGGCCATGGACTCAGACTTGGAGGTGCTGATCCGCATACCAACCGCTTCACACTCAGCTGCAAACTGCTCCAGTGCACGCTGGAGGCATCCATGTGATCCAGCCAAAAGAACAACATCATCTGCAAATAGCAGAGACGCCACCCTCCGGCCTCCACACATAATGCCCTCCTGACCCCGGCTACGCCTTGACACCCTGTCCATGAGTAACCCCGGCACCCCATACTCCCGGAGGACCTCCCACAAGATATCTCGGGGAACACGGTCGTAAGTCTTCTCCAAATCCACAAAACACATGTAGACTGGGTTGGGCAAACTCCCATGCCCCCTCAACAATCCGTGAGAGGGTGAAAAGCTGGTCCATTGTTCCACAGCCAGGACGGAATCCGCATTGTTCCTCCTCAATCTGAGGTTCAACTATCGGTCGAAGTCTCCTTTCCAGCACCTTGGCATAGACTTTCCCAGGGAGGCTGAGCAGTGTGATACCCCGATAGTTGACACACACCCTCCAGTCCCCTTTCTTGAAAATAGGGACCACCACCCCGGTCTGCCAGTCCAAGGGTACTGTTCCCGAGGTCCATGCACTATTGCAGAGGCGTGTCAGCCACGACAGCCCCACAATATCCAGAGCCTTAAGCATCTCCAGACGAATCTCATCCACCCCCGGTGCCTTGCCACTGAAGAGCTTGCCAACTACCTCAGTGACCTCCACCAGGGAAATGGAGCTTGACACACCAGAGGCCTCTGGCCCTGACTCCCGTGAGGGAGGCATGTCTCCCGGATTAAGGAGTTCCTCAAAGTGCTCTTTCCACTGACCGACAATATCCTCATTTGAAGTCAGAGTTTCTCCACCCCTGCTGAATACAGCCTGGGCGCAGCCACCCCGACCGCTCCTGAGTCGCCGGACAGTTGTCCAGAACCTCCTCGAGGCCGACCAAAAGTCTTTTTCCATGGCCTCACCAAACTCCTCCCACGCCCCGGATTTTGCTTCTGCCACCGTTGCAGCTGCCACCTGAATCGGGAGTCCTTCGGACCGTCCAGTCCCTAAAGGCCTCTTTCTTCAGCTTGACGGCCTCCCTCACCACCGGTGTCCACCAGGGGGTTCTTGGGTTACCGCCATGACAGGCACCAACAAGCTTTTGGCCACAGCTATGCCTGGCAGCTTCCACAATGCAGGTTTTGAACAGGGTCTATTCAGACTCTATGTCCCCTACCTCCTCCGGGACATGAGAACAGCTCTCCCGGAGGTGGGAGTTAAAATCATTCTGAACAGGGGCCTCCGACAGTCGTTCCCAGCACACCCTCACTATTTGCTTGGGCCTACTGGGTCTAACCCTCAGTCTTTCCTGCCATCTGATCCAACTCACCACCAGATGGTGATCAGTTGACAGCTCAGCACCTCTCTTCACCCGAGTGTCCAGAACATATGGTCCCAAGTCAGATGAAACGACAACAAAGTCAATCATTGACCTTTGACCCAAGGAGCTCTGGTACCATGTACACTTATGAACATCCTTCTGTTCGAACTTGGTGTTCGTTATGGACAATCCATGCCTGGCACAGAAGTCCAATAACAATTCACCATTCGGGTTTAGATCGGGCAGGCCGTTCTTCCCAATCACGCCTCTCCAGGTCTCCCAGTCATTGCCAACATGAGCATTGAAGTCTCCCAGTAAGACTATGGAGTCTGTAGGCGGGACCCTTTCCAGAACCCCGCCCACTTGCTCCAAGAAGGCCGAATACTCCGACCTGTTGTTTGGTGCATAAGCACACACAACAGTCAGAGTTTTCCTCTCTGCGATTTTAATACACATTGAGGCGACCCTCTCATCCACCGGGACAAACTCCAACTGCACTGCCGCCAGCCGGGGGCTTGTGAGTATCCCCACATCCGCCCGGCGCCTCTCACCTTGTGCAACCCCGGAGTAGGAGAGGGACCAACCCCTATCCAGGAGTTTGGTTCCAGAGCCGATACTGTGGGTGGAGGTGAGCCCAACTATATCTAGTTGGTACCTCTCAACCTCCCCACAAGCTCCGGCTCCTTCCCCCCCAGTGAGGTTACATTCCACGTACCAAGAGCCAGTTTCTGCCGCAGGGGCCTAGGCCACCAAGGGCCCCCCTGCAATCTCCCACTGCCTGTACGGCACTGCACCACTCCCCCATGCTGGACCTTATGGGTGGTAGGCCCACATGGTCCCCCCACGTTGCCTCTTCGGGCTGAGCCCAGCCGGGTTACGTGCCCGGCCACCAGGTGCTCGCCGAGGGATGCTACCCCCAGGCCTGGCTCCAGGGGTAGGTCCCGGTGACCCTCTCCCGGGCAGGGTACACGATGTTCTGTGTCCGTTTATCATGGAGGTTTTCGGATCAAGTTAGTCTGGGTCTTCACTCCAGACCTGTTCGCCCTGGGAGACCCTACCAGGAGCATGTTGCTCCCAACGACTTAGCTCTGAAGATCCCTAGACCACACAAGCCCTTCTGCCACGACAAGGCCCCGATCCAGGATAAATATGCTCTGTCTAAAATCACCAGCTTATTCACATAATGTACACTGTAGAAGAAGAGCAAACATGACATGGAAATAACAAAACAACATGTCCCTGTTGTTGGAAGAAAATCTTGTATCTCCAAAATGATCATTTTACAGGAGAAGGAAAAAACATACTTTACTTTTAATGTAAGTCAATGGAATCAGAATTTTTTACAAGTCATTTTGGGCCATTTCTTTTGGTCCATTCATCATGAAAGTTATGTACAATGTAAAGGGTCACAGGTATTTTCAAATTAAATTAAATGTCAAAAATTGAAAAATGTCAGAAGTGGAGGAACAAGGTTTTCTTCCGACAACAGTGATATGTTCGTTCATTCACTATTGGGAGAGGTGGTCAGTGGTGCACCCCCCAATCTTGCAGATTTTCCCTATAAGCATTTAGTCATCCTTCAGTGGTTTAGGAACATAATAATAATAATAATAATAATATAATAATAATAATAATAATAGCCTTCCTGCATCTCCGCAATATTGTTAAATTAAGATGCATTGTCTCTACAGGATGCAGAAAAGCTAGTTCATGCATTCATTACCTCAAGTCTAGATTACTGTAATGCCCTGCTGTCTGGATGTTCCAGCAAAAACCTTAAGTTTCAGTTAGTCCAGAACGCTGCAGCCAGAGTCTCACAAGAACCAGAAAGTTTGACTATATCAGTCCAGTTTTTATCAATCTTGCACTCATTGCCAGTTAAATTCCACAATGAGTACAAAATTCTTTCACTGATGTATAAAGCTCTAAATGGCCTCACCCCTCAGTACCTGAGTGAACTTCTCTGTTATTATGAACCATCGCGCCTACTTAGATCACATGGTGCTGGCTTACTATTAGTACCTAGAATTAATGAAGTTATATTATACATAGAGAATTATGGTAAACTGGGAGTGTTGGTGCTGTTGTCCTGTTGCTCTCACGTGCTCAGTCAGGTTTGTTGACGGTGGAGCGAAGGGGCGCTGACATCTCAGGGAGCCCTAATGTCTCTGTTACCTTCTGGCTCTCCCTCTTAGTTAGGCTGTTATAGCTAGATCTGCCGGAGTCTCTGCTGCCCTCTGTTAACCCTGTAAATTATAATCAGTCACTTTTTACAGAACTAACTCTCTGTGTGTTTTCTTTTTCTTTGCCGAGTTGAACAGCTGCCTGCCCTGTGTGGTCAGTGCTTCTTCGTCCTTGATCGGGTGCCCACTGCTCGCCAGCCTTCTGGACCAGCTTAGGACAGTGTGTGAAATGCTAATGAAAACAGAAAGTCATGAATAGGAAATTTTGTATTAAATTAAAAACTTTTTTTGTGTGTGTTTAATGAGTTTATGAGCTTGGACACAGAGAGGTTGGCAGCGTTTATGGACATTGTTAACATATGGCTTCGTATGTGCACAGTACGGTCTTAATTTGCATTTGTGGATGCAGCGATGAACAGAGTTTAATAAAAACAGTGTATTAAAGTATTCCTGGGCCCATATTCCCATTACAGAAACATGCCGGTTTTTAATGTAGTACCATCTGAGGTCATGCTCATGGGCATTCAGTTATGGGTTTTGGCCTTGCCCTTTACATGCAGGGATTTTTCTGAATTCTCTGAATGTTTTGAGGGTATTATATTGCTCAGTGAGTAACATTGTTTTTAAACTGCTGGATTTTTTTGCGGATGGCAAGCTTCAACTCATCCTTGCTCATAAAGGACCTTTCTTGGATGTTCCTTTTATATAATTTCAGAATAAGCGTATTTTTGTCATTTTTATATAAGAAAAAAAGTCAGTGGGCGGAGCAACACTGTAGCTGTAAGCTGAGAAGGTGAATATATGTGAACACATTGTGAACCCAAACAGTGAAATCAAAGCAGCTTGGCTTCCATGTATAGACTGCATGGGCAGAGGAATGAACAATATGCTTTCTTTTAACCCCTTAAAATTGCAGGCTTATTACTTAAGACTTATTATTCAGTAACTACAGGGACTTCACCATAAACTGGCTAATCTATTCTTAGGTTATAGAAGTGTAAATATAACTTGGCCATTTAAGATTTTACATTTTTGGTCTAAACTGAAGAATCAAGGTTTGCCAGTGCTATAGACAAAACAAGCAACAAAAACAACGAGCATTGCTTTGATGAATGTCCTCACTTTTTGAATGCAGAAACTCCTGACAAACCTGTGATTTCGGATCTTCCTGAAGAGCTGGAGCCAGACAAGCAAATCACAATTAACTGTTCTGTCACCCACACGTGCCCCTCACAACCCCCAACTATAACCTGGAGTATTCCAACTGCCAAGAAAGTGGTGAGCCACACGGAGACAAGTGCAGGCCAGTGGAAAACAATCTCAACAGTTACTTACGTACCAACTGGCTATGAAGAGGAAGAAGACCTCATTTGCACAGCTTCATTCTGGAGAGGAAAGAAACAAGAGAGTTCAGTCGAGCTTCCTGTGAAAAGTGAGTATGTAAAAGAACAGTGAGATGCTGTGATGGTTCATTGCATAACTGAAGACTAATGAGTGCACTGTTTTTAGGTTATGAGGGGCTGAGAATGGAGACCATAGGACCTTACATCCTCGCACCTTTGTTTCTGGTTTTACTTCTTGGCGTAGCTATAGCTGGAGCTATCATTTATAGGCGGTAAGTTTATGTGTATGACTGTATAAATGAGAAAGAGTTACCTTATGGGTTGCAGAATTATCATTTTGCTTTTTGTTACTCAACTTTTTAATTCATGATATTCTTTGCTGCATTATAGAATGCCTTTTGAGACATTGAGATAGATTTGAGGAAAGGCAATCAATGCCTTTATTTGTATTTATACATATGGTTATTGATCAGCTATTGATTTTCAGTTGTTTTTAAACATCAATATTATATTGTTCTACACAGTTCTATCTATTTAATTAGTTTGATTTGTTCTTTGTACCTTTTAAAAGAGATCAATATTGGCCCAATTTTCCAAGTTACATAAAATTGTTCTTTATGCAACTCTATAAGTGTGAATAAAAAAACTAGAAGTGATAAATTACAAAAAGTGACTGGAACAGCTTTAGCAAAGCTGCTTCAGAACATTAATATTATACTGCAAAAATCATCTACAGTGCACCCCAAAGGCCACTAAAACCTGAGAAAAAGACAAGCTTTGAATTAATCTAAAACAATTTAAAGAATTGCAGTGTTTCTTTTTTTTGGGAGTAGGCGCAGCATCTGGAGCCACTTTTCCAGGTGATTATCTTTAATATTCATATGTGTTTGATACACTTTTTCTTGCACATGTTTATCTGGATTTATATCAAACAAATTACAATACTAATAAATTTAATATCATTTTATATTCACAGACTCCCAGATCAGATGGTGCGGTACAAGTAAGGAATGCATCAGTTAAGCACTTGACCAATGTGGGATGTGTTTTTAACTAATAGTACTTTAGCATGTTAACATCTGTGGCAAGATCAGTGATGAGGAAATAACAATACTATTAGCAGATTTATGAATTGATTTTAAGTTGTGAGTGGACCTGTGTTGTCTCTCTCAGGCTGATGAACTGTGGACTGTTCCAACGACACAATCTCACAATCTACAACCATGAAATATTTCTCCTACATCCTCCTCAGTCACGAGACAAAACACATTAAAATCAAACAGTATATATTAATTAGTATATATACAAATATATATATATATATTTATATATATATATATATATATATATATATATATATATATATATATTAATTTTGGAGAACATGTTTCATAATAAAAATATGTTTCATAACAAAACACTTTGATTTAAATGTTTTTTACACACACATATATATATAAATGAACTAGCTCAGTGTTGTTACCCCAATGATAATAAATATGTTCAGATTTAATGTGCCTAATTTAAATGTCCAGCATACTGGACAGTGAAATCTATTAAAATCACTAAAAAACAATATTGTCCCCAAATTCATAGATCTTCTACTGTCACTCCTAAATACATATATCATTCTACTTTAACAGAATAAAGAAAAATCTTGAATGACTTGTATTGCACGAGTCTGTTATATGATTCAAAGCTTGATTTACTATACTCCAAATGTCCAGATTACTGGACAATATTCTTTATCTCAAAATTTGTGGACCTTCTAGAAAGACAAACATACAAAAACACTTCTGAAATAATTACAGGATCATTCAGAAACAATGTTTCATTTGATCTAGAAGGCAGTGAGCATCTTGCTCACCAGATGCTTTATTTGTTTTTATTTATGACAAGATAAAAAAGAAACTAAGAACTAAGAAGAACTAAGAAGACTAAGTTCTGTAGAAACATATAAAAGTGAGTGAGGTGACATACCTGCTTCTATAGAGCTTAAATACCTGGGAAACAAAGATCCATAAGGAGCACTTAAGTGATACACTATTTGAGTAAATGTTGAAATATATTTCTGCTGTTGGAACAAAACCTCATATCTCCATTTTTGTCATTTTTCAGTTTATGGCATAATTTGAAAATGCCTGTTGTCCTTCACATTGTGTATGAATTTCATGATGAATGGACCAAAAGAAATGGACTCAAAATTACTTGGAAAAAGGTCTGGTTCTGTTGACTTTAAATTAAAAGTAAAGTAGGTTTTACCTTCTCCTGTAAAGTTATAATTTTGGAGATACAAGGTTTTCTTTCAACAACAGTGAAATTGTAGGGGCTCATCCTGTGCTGAATTCAAATTCCCAGAAGACCTTGGGCTGATTAGGCCCAACATGGCACACCTGTGGACTCCTCTACTCTAAGCAGCCCTTTGTCACACCTTTGTAGAGGGGTGACCGGCACGGTAATTACCCCAGGTGGGTATATAAACAAAAAGATAAGAAAAAGAAAAGAAAAGAGGGTTTAAATAAAACAAAAGAGAGAAATTGCTCCAAAACTACTTAAAAGCCCAAAAAGAAGGCTTAAACAAGGAACAGCTCCAAGCCACACAAAAGTGTTTGCTCCACAAAGAGTAAATAGGTGAAACATAAAGTCTACCTTCCTCCCATAATCACAGAGGAAGTGTCTTTTGTTTTCTTTTATTTCACTTTTTCTATCTCAGCCTTTGTTTGAGCATGCTTCTTTCAGCGTCCCCTTTGTTTACCTTTTTCCCACCGTTTTAATTCTGATTCATTAAGGTGTACATCGACGGTTCGAGCCTGGCTCTGAGCCACCTCAACCCCAACATGCACAAGCACTCAATTCACACTCCATCACCTCATTAAATTCAGACCCTTTCTGACGGGTTTTCCTCTCTGCACTTGGGTCTGCCTCCCTGCTGTCCTGTAACAGATATATACTATGCTTACAAGTGATTTTGTGTTCTAAACTTTGTGTTCTAAATATGCTTACAAGTGATTTTGTGTTCTAAATCAACTACACTTGAAATATATTTTAGATGTTTACTCTGGGGTGTACTGATACCCACATTACTGTTTAGCAACTAAAATCCTATAAGCATCATCACTTTAAAATACACTCACATAGCACACTTTAGTTGATGATAATTAAATGCACATTTGTTGAAATAGGTTTCAGTAAGAAATACATTGATTAAAGTGTATTTGCTTACAGCATACCTTTCAGAAAAAAGGAAAGACTAAATAAAACTGAACTAAATTGGGGAGAAAAAAATATTAATGTTTGGAAATCAACCCTATGCTTTTTCTCTGAGATGATACATTTTTAATAAAATATTTTTCTATTCATAGTGAAATGTCTACATCTACAGAATTAATAAAACCCAATTTTTCAACACCAGAGAGGTAAACTTCATATCCCATATTTTTGTATATTTTATTTGAAAATGAAATGAAAACAATCTTAGTGTACTTTCTGAAGTCCTGCATTTTGAATGTTTTTATTAATATGGTTCAATACTTGAAGTTATACATTTGGTAAAACTTGATTTGGAGTGGTCCTTTGTAGATGAGTAATAAACTCTTAACAGATTATCAGTAACACATCAACAACACATTAATGAAGTAGCAGTAGTGAAGCACCTGAGTACATTGAAGTAAATATCTTGTAGATGTTCTGTTGATGCATTACTTACATTAACTAGCTGTGTTGTTAATGTTACTTTCATTACGCGAAACCTAACCTTACCAACCTTACGTAAAACTTAACCCTAGCCCTAACCCTAATCTTAACCCTAACCTTATTTTTATTTAGTGATGTTATCACCTTCACATTTACATCAGTATTTGATATTAATATGTGTACCAAGTACCACGACTACTACTAATAGCCATATACGCACATCATAAACACCATAAACATTGAAGTACTGTTTTTGTTTCTTTGTTCACTACAGCGTTGCGATGAAGATTTCAGCTTATATGGAAATGAGTGATGATGGATGTGAGGATTCTGTGAAGGACAAAGCTTGTTATATTTCTAATTATTTGTAAGATCCATTTAATAATACTTAACTGAGATTGATTTGCTAAATGTCAAAGTTTGTAGACACTTGCTCATCCAGCATTTTTTTCTGGGTATTAATTGAAAGTATGTTCCCCTTTGGCTGCAGTAATGTCTTCTACTTATCTGGACAGGCTTTCTGGAGGGGCTTTATACCCCTATAGCTGATACTATGCATTGGGCATTCTGACCTTAAGTTCATATTCAGCTGTTCCAGAGTCTCCTATGGAATTGTAAATGGGAAATGGTTTTCTATGGAGATTATAAAAGTTATGTTTGTGTAATTGATCACCTCTGTCAGCAACGAGTGCATCTTACAGTATTCAGCGTCCATTAGAGGGGGTGTCTGGATACTTTTGCACATTGATTGTAGCTTATTTTTCTGTATGATTTCATTTGAGAATTGCAGACATGCAGACAATTTCAGCTGTTCCAGAGATGATCTTTAATTAAATTTATGTGTATGTACCTTATTTACTTTGTTTGGGTAGAATCAGCAGATTGATTTGTATTTTTAAACAATGGCAGTATTCTAAATAATAATAATAAACACCTTGTCATATCACTTGCAGAGGTGGGGGGTGTAGTCTAAGCCCATTCTCAAGTAAAAATATTGAGACTTGAGTAAAGAAGTGACACAAGTAAAAGTAAAAATACCTTCCCAAAAACCACTTGTGTAGAAGTACAAAAGTATTGCGAAAAAATACTTAAGTACTGAGTGGCTCATAATTTGAATAAAACAAACAAAAAAAAAAACTCAGGAGTACAAATCCAACAATATTTTACTTAAGTGTATGTACCTGAGTAAATGTTTGCATATTACTACTGTATAAGCCAACCATATCTAAAACCTCACTCCTAATATTTACTGTACTGTATTTTTATTAGTTAACCAAGTCAACAATGTAACACCTTACTTATTAATGTTATTTAGTTGGAAACAGATAGTTTGACTCCTTATTTCAACCTTGCTACATAACAATGATATAATCATGCCATAAGATGTCATGACAGATTATGTCCAGTAATGTAACAGATGTCTTGTGACCAATATTGGTAATTGTCATAACAGATGTCATAATGTTTGATGTCATTACAGCTTTGTCAGATGCTGTTTTTTATTTATATAATCTACTTCATAATACAAAATTGAGATTTGCTTCATTACCTGTCCAAAAGTCCATCCAGTACTTTTCCTGAAGTCAAGGGTAGTAATTTGGGCAAACATGTCATGCCATATGACATCTGCCATGACCTGTTTGTGGTATGGTTATGTCACTGTTATATAGCAGGGTTTAAGTAAAATGTGAACCTTTGTTTTTATCTGTTGTGATGTGTGCTTTAGAACATAAGTTTCCTTTTATGTTAGCCTTAAGAAGACTTACAGATAAATTAAAGATACACGTAAAATGTTTGTTAAGCAAATAAACTCCTGCATCTCAGAGTCAGTTTGAGCCAAGTGCATCTTTCAACATGGAACACACAAACATGTTTGAGTATATTGTTTTATTTAACATAGATTTAGTTAGTGAATCCCACCTGAAACCATCAGACCATCTAATTTCCAGTGATTACACAGTACAATATCAGCTATAAACATCATTACAATATCACACACAGCACTTTTGCTACACAGTTGTTTTGAAAAAAAAAGCAATGAAAGCAATTTTTCCCTCAGATCCTCTCTTCCCCTAATTCTGCTGACCAGCACCTTCAAAACTGTGTTTGTGCACCTCAGGAATCGTGTGCATACTATACAAAAGGTTGAGACATAAACAGGATTACTGGTCATTTAATATTACATTTTGACTTGAGAATATTCAGTCCGATCTTCCTCATCAGAACTGGAATCCCCTCCAGTGTGCTGGGGTTTATGCTGTGGTGTTCCAGTGACAGTGACATGGGTGTAATTCAGTTCCTCTTCCTCTTCACTACTGCTTGAGTCCCAGATAATGTTGGAAAAATCAGGCCGTGCAGCATTAGCACCAGATATGTTTTCATAATCTTCATTATCACCCTGCATCACCTGGAAGAAATGATTGATTATTTGATTGGTTGGTTGGTTAGTTGATTGATTCTTATTAAGAAAGATTCATACACCATTGACTCTCTCTAGATTTTCATGGTGAATAGAATAAAGCAGTAATATTGCTTTTAGGAACGTTAGGGTTCTGCTAATGCAGCAACACAATATCCTTTAACAATGCTATTAGTTCAGTGCAATGGTTACATTGCAATACACACTCACTTTCCACTTTCCTTCCATTCAGGACCAGAAACACAGCAAACTGAATCAACTACAGCCAAAATATCTAGCTAATAAATAAATAACTTTTTTGCACTAAATTCATGTTCACACTCATTCATAATTCACAGTTAACCTGAGAACATGATTTTGATTAATTAATTAATTTATTTATTTATTTATGCTTATACAAGGCTATTTTCAACTCTAAACTAGAGACAGGTCTATGCCATGTGTTAGCCTGATGGTGCCAGCTTTGTGCTGTATCTACTTTAGTAACATCCATTTTATGTTGCAGCTTACTTTATAGGCTAAATAAATATATACAATGAAACTGAAAAAAGTGCACATTTATAGGGTGTAATTTTCATGCAACTAATTGCATGTTGTAAGTTACATGCAATTTCATTGCCCTGCAATGTGACAGAGCAAAAAAACAACAAAACTTGCATGCAACACATTAGCAGCTGCCAAATTAGCAGCTCATATTTTTTAATGCATGGTATCTTTCTTGCTATATAAAGTATTTTGTCTTTGTATTTTGTCGTCATTGATGTTCTTTTGTCCACATATCTGTTTATAGTTATTTATTATTTATTCTGACTTTAACCTGTTGTGCATGTGTTAAATTAATTTTTTAATCATGAGAATGGTTATGCCTCAATCTTTCTTCCCAGAAGCACCGCAAGAAATAATAGCTTTGAGAAACTTGTTTGTTGTCATGGCTGACAAACTGATAAAATTAACAATCTGCCATCTTCTATTTGGTTTTCTTGTCCATTATATCCAGTGAAGTCAGTTGTTTGAAACAATGATATCAACATGATCTCGTAATGCGCCTTGGCTGGCCTCGCCCCAGCTGTTTCATGAAACTTGTTTTACAACGTTAAGATTGTTGCAACTGTTGCAGCTGTATCAAGTGGGTTGCAGGACCCTTTACATTATGCAGTTGTCAGTTTCAAACAATGAAAGTTGCATGTAAGTTTCACTGTGTAAAGCCAGCCTAAGGTTAACTGTGATGAAGCAGTTTTCAGGGAAGGATAGTGTTTAAGTCCACAGGCTAATATTTCCTCACTGTGTGTGATATATTTTTTCTCTGTATGCAAAATATTTCATCATTGTGTCTTTAGCTTTTAAGCTACATTTGACTAAATTCTTTCACAAACACAAAAATTGTGTGGTAGAACTTACCTTTGTCTTTTGCTTATTTTTTGAAACTACAGCATACACAGCTCCACCTCCATCACTGCTGCATACACTAGAACAAAAACAATAATGTCAGTTTATGAAATAAAAACCTAAATATATATACAGTAGTCTGCAAAAGTTTTGGGTACCTGAGAAAATTATTTATCTGGGCAGCAAAGAAATTGGCTGAGAAAAACACTAATATTAGAATAAATAAACATTATCATTAATAGAATAATGAGTGATTTTATTTATTTGTTCACTTAACTGTATTATTATAATAATATGGTTATAATAACCATATTATTTGTTTTTATCATCCAACACATAGACATTTCAGTCTCCTCCCATTTCTCTTTCTTACTTCCACCTTGTTATTAGTTTCTACACCTGTTTAATCCTGTCTCCCAGCTGTGTCTTGTTCTGGTCTCTCATATAAATACCCATTGTGTGTTTGTGTGTCTTTGACTGGTCTTGTGTTGAGTTGGACAGTGGACTGTGTTCACTTGTGGTTTTACTGCTTTGTGTTTTCCCCAATGTTCTGTTTTATTTAAGCAGACTTTAACACTTGTGCTTACTTCCTGCCTCAACTCAGTCATCAATGTAAAAGAACCACAGTAGGATCACCACTGATGGGATATTATTTGGATCACATTCAGCACAGCAGTGATACCAACACTGTGGCATGGTAGTATGCATTCGCTCATACAAAGGCATCAGATCAGATCAGTGTTGCGTTTTTACACACCTCAGTAGCTGTGTTTCTATTGACTTTCTGTGCAAATTACAAGTGATAAAATAAAGCATCTAAAAGTTTACATTTTTTTCTGAATAGTAGCTTGTTTCCATAAAAGTGACTTTTACCAAAGAAAATAAAAATGCCTTATGTAAAGAGGTGATGTCCTGCAAAAAAACTGCTGTCACATAAATTTTGGTTGTTGTGGCTTCTTCATAACCTAGTGATAAGGATTTTTTCTTTCTTTCTTTTTTTTTTTACCATCTGAACTGTTCTGGGAAAATCGTGTTTCTAGCCATATAGAGCTGTTTCAGCACTTTTTATTCACAGAGGCTTTTCTGTACATCTCTCTCTGCATGAACTGTGAAGTGGCACCATTCTGTCTCATGACACTAAATTTGTGAACAAAAGCAGTATTTTTCTCTACTGAAAAAAGACATTTCTATATATTTTTATATGTAGTATATTTTTACATTATTTTCCATTATAAGTTATACTTTTTTCCTCCTTCTGAAAAGTTACCATTTTGTAAATATGCTTTTTCTTCTGACGAAAATACGCGCATAAAAGTTATTATGATGCACATATTGTCGTTTTCTAGCCTCACATGGTGCTACTTGTGAATGACTGTTCTTTTTGTCCGTTATCTTTATGACCTTACCTTTTAGTTGGATCCTTGATCTGCAGATTAGCATAGTTCACAGCGGATGTGGTTGAATCCTTCTGTTTGTGATGACCATCCTAAAAAAAGTGCAAAAGCATTATATTTATAACATCATTATTATTACAAATGTAGTATAATGTATTAACACAGACTCAGTCTTGTACTGAATTACATTAGAAATGGGTACATTTAGTGAATTATTCAATGCAGTATTTATCACCATACAGTAATTGTGCCACCTAGTGACTCATTTCATACCTGTATGGTTTGTGGAAGCTTTATAGCATCATACACTGTGTGAATGTTGACAACTGGCCTTGAAATTCAAGAAGAAGAGAAAATATGAGGTTATAAAGGTTTGTCCACTCATGTATACAAACTCCTGCTGCAAATCCCAGAAGTAGCAAGAGCTAAGAACCTTTCTGCTAGGTTGTGTCTGTTGGTTGAGCTATCAGTGTGTGTTGTAGTAGCTGACTGGTTGCCTGAGTTGCGCCAAGAATCCATCTCGTCCGCCATCATCAAGTTCTCTCTAGTGTTGTTCCATGAGCCCTGCAAGACGGTTGTAGTTTGTTAATCCAAATAGTCACTAATTCAAATGATCACTGAAATGATAATTTACTTTACTAGGTTTATTTTCTTATCAGTATTTATCACGAACCAATATGTATAAATGGAGCTGTTAGTGACTTTAAAGCTATCATTTTTAGATATTGCTTTAATGCCTTTATGTATGCTTTAATTTTATGTAATTAAAATATGAACTCAATGGTACAAACACTGCTGTTCAAAAGTTTGGAATCACCTGTTATTTTAATAATTGTATATTAGTAATGCATTATACATTACATAGTGAAATGTTATAAACTGGACACAAAAACATTTTGTTTATTAATATATTTGAATAAAAATTGGAAAAATGCTGGAACAAAAAGTTATGGTACGAATTAGCAAATGTTATGAAATAATAAACTGTAATTATGCATTCATAATAGTTTCTAGTGACAAAATTACTGTGAATAGCTAATAAGCTAATAAGCAAGATTTGTTCACAATGCATTGTAGACATTTATTTTTTACAAGTTCACTCTTTGATGCTATACAGCTTTCTCAGTTATTGCTATAAAGCTTTCTCAATAATTTCTTCATTTTTCCAACTCAGTTTTTCCAGCTTCCTGCAAACTGTTGAAAACCTAGAGAATATTAGTATCATATTAGAATCACTGATACATGTAAATAAAAATCTGTGTTGTATTATTGAAAACAGTGATTCCTGACTTTTGAACAGTTAAATCTGCACTATATGGCCAAAAGTATGTGGACACCGCCTCCTTATTGCATTAGGGTGTTTTAGCCACACCCAATGTTAATAGGTGCAACAAAAATCAAGCATATAGCCATCTCCATAGGCACACATTGACAGTAGGACTGAAGAGCTCAGTAACTTTAAACATGACGCTGCCATAGGATTGCACCTTTGCCAAGTCAGTTTGTGAAATTTCTGCCATAGTAGATTTGCCCTGGTCAACTGTAAGTACTACTGTTGTGAGATGGAAGTGTCTAAGAGCAACAACAACACAGCCATGAAGCAGCAGACCTCACAAACCTACAGACAGGACCACAGAATGCTGAAGAGTGTAGCGTGTAAGAGTGTAGCGTGTAAAAATCACCCAGCCTCTACTGCATCACTCGCTACTGAGTTCCCAACTGCCTCTAGAAGCAACATCAGCACAAGACCTGTGCATTAGGAGCTTTGTGAAATGGGTTTACAGGCCAAGCAGCTGCACACAAGCCTAAGGTCACTATCAGCAACGCCAGTGTGGTGTTCTCTGGAATGATGAATCATGCTTCATTATCTGACGGTCAGATGGATGAATCTGGATTTGGATGCACTACCTACCAGAATGCATAGTTCCAAAAATAAGTTTGGTTGTCTGGGACTGTTTTCCAGGGTTTGGGCCCCTTAGTTCTAGTGAAGGGTAAGGTTAATGCTACAGCATACAAAGATATATCAGACACTTAAATCCTTCCAACTTTGTGGCAACATTTTGGACAAATCTCTTTCCTGTTCCAGTATAATTATGCCCCTGTACACAAAAGTGAGGTCCATAAAGACACAGTTTGACATGTTTGGTGTGGAGGAACTCCTGTACAAAGCCCTGACCTCAACATAAGCCAGGTCTTCTCGTTCATCAGTGCCTGAACTCTGCTCTTTTGAATGAATGGGCACAAATTCCCACAGACACACTCCAAAACCTTGTGAAAAGACTTCCCTGAAGAGCAGACACTATTATAGCTGCAAAAGTGGGGCCAACTCCATATTAATGCCTATGCTTATGCAATGGGATGTCCAATTAGCTCATAAGCTCAGGGCTGATGGCCACGTGTCCATATACTTTTGGCCATATAGTGTAGTATATGCGCACTTGAATATAAGCAGAAGGACAGAAGGAAATCAACCAATAAGAAGTTTGAGACTCTAGAAGACCGAGCAGGGATAACAGCAAAGAAGCGTGACTGGCTAACTGCTCCATCTGATGATCTCTTTCTCATGAAGATTCTGTGAAATTAAAGAAAAATATGTTAATATATTTGTTTATAAAATAAAAAGTCTAAATGCTACAATAATAGACAATAGCTGTTTTTCTACATACAGTAGATACAGTCTTTTCAGATTGAGGCTCTTAATTTAAAAAAGCTTCATCAGTAATTTTTGGGTATGTTGCTTTTGAGAATCAGTGGAAAATGTTTACCATTTAGCAAAACTGGAGAGAAGATGTTCCTACCTGTGCACTAGAATTATGACACCAATCAGAATGCAGATGATGAATGTAGAAATCAGGATCTGAAGAAGTATTTGATGAAAGAACCCTGAAACAAATGAAAAAATATTAGTGTTATTAGTGTCGCTGTTGAGTTCTGTGCTTTAAAGTAACTGGAACATGTGAAATTGATTTGATATTCAATTAACAGTGAACTCTGAAGAAAACCTAAAATGCTGATATTGATAATGAATGTTTGTCTGCCTGTGCCTATACTACGGTGCATAGTTACCAAATAGTTCAGCTGGCTCAGATGTAGATTCTCCTATTTCATTACTGGCGTAGCAAAAGTAGATTCCTGGGTCTTGTGGTTGAACAGTGTAGTTCTGATCACTTGCCACTAATTTTTCTGTGTTGTCGTCCTTCCTGTACCATTTGTAGGTTGTGGCTGGTGGATAACAGTCTGCTTTACAGGTCAGCTGGACTGGAGCCTTCCCATCCCACAGACCCATGGAGGTCAGGTTATGGATAATTGTAATGTGTGGGCGATCTGAAAAAAAAGTTTATAAGATAAACATCTTTCATAGTATGAACTGCCGTTATCCAGAAAATGGGAAAACACCACTGAGAATCAGTCGCTCAAAAACTGGTAGTAAATGCTAGCAAACGTTCACATTTCAGTTGCAACCGTACTCATACGTGTTAAGTGTTCTGAATTTGTTTGCATGTCCTGTAAACCAAAATCACTGACATTTAATTTTACAATATTTAGTAGGCCACTATGTTTAGAAGTGCATTAATGAATGCACAGCATATTTAAAAGCAAATTATGTGGGCAGAAGACTGAAAAGTACCTTTTAACAATATTAGTTAAACACGTAGTTCACATAGCTAGGAAATGTTTACAAATGACTTACAATAGTCTGCAAATGATAAAATATATTTAAAAAATTGTAAGACCTTAACTAAAGTGGAACTCATTCATTCTTAAACCCTGTCTTGCCCTTAGTAAATAGTTACTAAGTTACTTACTATATTTTAAAAACAGGCCTGTTAATTTAGTTTTAACAATGTATTTATTTTATCTCTCTATGTATTTGTTTAGGTATTTTTAATCGGACAATTGTATTCAAACAGAAGCAAAACAGAATCCTACTAGGAATGAAAAATGAGAAAACGTGTAAATATGTTTGAGTGCTCTAGATGAGTGGATTTTTGTGGATGAGGCATGCAGTTCTGGTATAAACCATTATGTAAGCTCAGTTTAATGGATGTGAAACTCTAACTCTCAAAAAAAAAAAAAGATTTCCCTTATAAAACTGAATTAGAAATGATTTAAAAAATAAACAAAACGTTTACTTTTTTAGGAGCATGTACGTTTATAGTTCTATATGAGAAAAAAATGTATGTCATACTTTTTCTTAATTAAGAGGTTTATGTGCTTCAGCCTTCTCTGGGCACCAAGACATTAGCAGCAGATTCTTTAAGTCCTCTAAACGGTGGAGGTGGAGCCGCCACAGATTGTACTTGTTGTTCCAGCACATCCCACAGATGCGCAAATGAGATCAAGGGAATTTGGAGGCCAGGGCAACAATTTGAACTCTTGTCATGCAACTAATAACACTCCCGAACATTGTGTGCAGTGTGGCAGAGTGCACCATTGCCATGAATGGGTGTACGGTGGTATTAAGGTAGATGGCACATGTCAAATCCAGCTGAATGCCCAGATCCAGGGTTTCCCAGCAGAACTCTGCCCAGAGCAACACGCTCCCTCCACCGGCTTTTCTTCTTCCCACAATGTATCCTGGTGTCATCACTTCCCCAGGTAAATGTCACACATACCTGGCCACCTACCTGGTAAACATCACACATACTCACTTACCCGTCCATCAGATGTAATAGAAACCGGGACTGATCGAACCAGACGAGCTTCTTTCATTGCTCCAACGTCCACAGCAGGATGCATTGCACTTGGTGTTGTGACACATTACTTCTCTATCATTAAAAATGTATGTTACTAGTGCCAACGTAGCCCGTCTCTTGGTTCGGACCATTATAGATAGCCATTATTGCCCTTTCACATCAATGATCATTGGATGCCCAACACTGTGTAAGCAGTTCAAGTGCCCCACAAGCCTTGCTGTTTCAGACCTGCTCTGACCCAGTTGTCTGGCCATAATGGTGTGCCCCTTGTCAGAGTTGCTTAGGTCTCCACACGCTGTCCATTTCTCCCACATCCAATAAGCCATCTGTGAGTGGTCATTATGTTTTGTCTCATTGATAAATATTGTAGCCTACTGGCCAACTCAGGGGTGATTTAATGCATAAGCTTACCTGGGCTAAAGCCTGGGGGCCCAGAGTAATTCAGGGCCTCTGATATCTTTCACTGTATTTTGGCCTGTCTAATCATACAGTCTCAGTCAAACACCACCTTCTTATCTCAGCCCTCCAATCACTGCACAGCAACCATTGCCGTCCCCCAAGCCTTCAGTTTTTAATCAGAGCTCCAGTGTTTGAATTTGAAGCTCCAGTTGGCGTTGAAGAGATGTAACTGTAGACGTTCAAAAGTGAGATTCTCTCCCATAGAGTATGTTGTTTTCTACCCATCCAAAGTAAATAAATGTTGTCATCGTCAGTTTTCTGAAAATGTAATGTTTGCAGTGCTATTTTACTGCAAGGGCTGAAAGAGGCTTTGTGAAAATGTCAAAGCAAACCTCTAAAATCTTTTCAGTTTACTGAATCATTTCCCGTTTCCCCCACCAGCTAATTAACTTTTTCAGAAGTTCTTGATTGGTTGGATAATATCATTCATGTTAGATAAGGAGAGGGGAGCATGTTAATGCAGGTTGTAACTAAACTCTCCAGGAAGAGGGCTGGTTAACACTGCCTTTGTCATTCTATGATCTAGACACCTAGACCCCACGCCCACCAGTGGCCCCAGGGCTCACAAGCAGGTTAAAGTGCCCTGGGCCAACCTATTAGTGGCCAGGGCCACTATTCTTCTTTTCTTCTTTTCCCTACTGCATTTACAATTTCATTTACAGCATTTACATTTGCTAACTGACGGAGGGCAGTTTCAAGGAATTACATCCCTTTAGCTTTGTTATTAACTAAAATTCTAAAATGATTTTTTTTAAATTTTTAACTTTGACTGGAATCACAGCTTTGTGGAAACAGAAGTAACCCTGAAGTTTACACTAAGGGCATTAAGGGCATTTTATGCTCGTGGGTGTATTTTGGTTTTTCCATGACCAAATCGTAAGGCAAATTATTTAGTAACTGCATGAAATAAATGTACATTTTTATTTTATTTATTTATTTATTTTTTGTAAAAGTTCCCCTCAAATTAATAGAAAATGTGTTTTATGATCATACACATATTGCTATATGCTTACAATTTACTGCTGAAAGCTAAAAATCTTAGATGCTCTTTGTATTATTTTATAAAAATAATTTTTACAGAGCAGATCACTGAAGAGACACCATCTGTTTAGTTTATAGCCCAGATTTGTGGGAAAATGGGTGGACTTTCAGTAGACAAAAAAATGTGAGTTCAGCTTCTTTCTTATAAGGGTTTAAAATTACATTACCCATCTATTTGACTGGAAAGAAGACAGAGTTACAGATTTACAGCTCTCATACCACACCCACCTTTTGAATGTAGCTTATGAAATATGAAAGTTATGAAGAATATGACGAAGTGCGTTTTGTAACCACCGGTGGTTCCAAGGAGTTTAAAAGGTAAAGGACACTACTAATGCTGATAGTGTGTGATGTTCATCTTATAGCAATGTTAAATGTTAGTCTAGCAGTCCTAGTTCATATGGTTTACAGTCAAATGAGCTGAACTTTTAAACTTACATTTGACTCTGATCTGTACTGATGCAGACTGATTTGTGCCGAGGTCATTGCTGGCAGTGCAGAAGTAATTTCCAGCGTCAGACACATTAAGTGAACGCACGGTTAGTTTCTGTTCCCGTCCTATTGTCTTTGTGGCCGTCCCGAATGATTTCTCCCATGAATACTTGGACACGCTGGGTTCAGAATGAGCTTCACATTTGAGTGTTAGTTCAGTTCCCTCTTTCAGCCCTTCGCTTGGATGTACCGATGCCTTAACATCCTTAGGAGCATCTGCAAAGACAAGGCAAAGGATTGAAGATGGGTAATTGATCATTCTTTGTCTTGCTTACAGCTGATCATATGCTTATATTCTTTTTGTGCAAATAATTTGAGGAAGGCAGATCTTTACTTACACAAAACCTTCAGCTGTTGTTTTGTGTAGTTTTTTCCCTCTGAGTTTTCTGCTGTGCAGGTGTACTCACCCGCATATGACTCAGACACATTTCCAGAGAAAGTGAGCTTGTTGTATGATTCACTCACTATCACTACTCTCTTTTCGAGTGTGTGAGAAGTTCTGCTCAGTGTAATCTTTGCCTCAGGATAGCTTTCTACAGTACAATAGATGTTAAGCAGTTCAGTCTCTCTTACAACATCTGCCATGCTCAGATTAAGTCGCCTTGGGGGATCTATGAAAAAAAAAAAACATTTGGAAAAAACATTAAGAGAAAAAAAAACAATTTTTTTTTTTACTGCCAATTTTACACAGCTTTCCATGAGACACTACAGTATTTTGTTATAGTGTATTTCTGTATGAACCTAAAGGCAGATTCATGGAGTTGAAAATGAAAATACAGTAATCAGAGAAAGGGCTGAAACGTTAAGTAAACCAAAATCAACTGTGTGATGCATCATTTGGAAATGGAGTAAGATTTGATGACTTTAGCTGTGGAGAAAAATGAGATAGCCAAGCAGAACTATTACAATGAATTGGATATCAAGTTATGAAGAATATGTCTTGGTGTGTGTAAGAGCAGCAGAAATCAATGCCAACCATTGATAAGCGAAATTCAAGACTTTCAGAGCACTTTGAAGGAAGCTACAAAACACAAACAATATGCAAGCAAGTGCTACGTGTGCCTTTATCACCCTTGCCTGTCCAAATTCTTTTGGTCTTTCAAAATAACTTAACAATAAATAAATACATTTAAAATCTCATCTCATATGCTTCAAAACCCACAGAAATCCTCAGTAGTAATAGCTAATTAATAAAATAATAAATACTCGTTTTTAAATAATGGGTTGAGATTAAAATTGCACTGAAAGTTTGCAACTTAAAATGTCTTGATTTGCACAGAAATAAATACAACTTAGACTACACATGGATGTGTATATCATATTGTACATTACATTATCTTCTCTCCAATATGGTAGGTTTATATTAAAAGCCTAATTCTATACTATTTAAATTAGCACTGAACATTAATACAACACCCCCACCCCACCCACCCCCCCACCCCCACATACACACACACAAACATAAACACCAAAATAAAACAAATAAACTTACAAAGTATGTGAACTCTGAATGCAGTGGAGTTTGATCCTGCACCAATAACATTCCTGGAACTGCACATATACCATCTGGAATCTCCAACAGCTACTTTCTCAATCCAAAACTCCTGAGTCGTGTGTGAAAGAACAACATACTCCAGCATGTCTTCTGATTTATAATACCAGGAATAATGATCAGCCTCAGGACTGGCATTAGAGAAACAGCTGAGGCGAAGAGCTGAACCCAGCTTTATTTCAGAAGGGCCTTGAATGGAAGTGTCTTCTGGAGCATCTGTGGAGAGAGAGAGAGCAATACAGAGCACAATAGTGCTCAGGACAATGAATGTAATTCAAATTTGTGTTGGCTTTATTATTATTATTATTATTGTTATTATTATTATTCAAAAAATTAGTCTAACACAAATACATTTGCAAGGATTTATTTATTTATTTATTGACATTTTGCCTCACAAAGTCACCTCCCTACAATGAAAAACCTGTTTCATCAAATGCTCAAAATTAAAATTGTGCAGAACTGTAGTTTGTTCAAGATATATTAACAGAGTACTTACACTTCACAGATATCACAGTTGGAGTAGACGCTGTAGATCCGATGTTATTCCTGGCCTTACAGTGGTACCATCCACTATCCCTTGGTGTTACACTTGGAATATATAATTCATTGCTGTGTTCCTGAAGCTCTTTATTATCTTTGTGCCATCTGTAGGAATATTGTAGAACGTCTGGATTGCTCTTCTGCACTGAGCATGTCAGTCTGACTTCATCTCCTTTTTTAACATCACTGGGTTCCACCTCGACTTGAACACCTTTAGGAGCATCTGAAAAACATAAAGCACAACTGAGTCATTTTGAGTCATTATCTTTTTAAAAATGCATTTTTTATCAGTAGGTCACTTGTTATTGAATCTGCAGACATGCCTTTTTAGTGTATTATTAAAATAATGAAATTTACTGACTGATAAGTGACTCATGGGTTTATTAATATTCTCAAACTTACATTTAACATTGATCATGACAGTAGAATCTACTTTCCCGTGATAGTTTGAGGCCTGACAGCGATATTCTCCACTGTCTTCTGGCTTTACATCATTCAGTGTATACTCTTCAGTAGACTGGGACAATATATTGTTTTTAAACCACATGTAGGAAGCATTAGGATGTGCTTTGCTGGAACAGTAGAGAGTGACAGTTTCTCCTTCTTTCACATCCTCAGGGCTCACTGTTATCTTTGTTTCTTTGGGCGCATCTTGAAATAAACAAATGAACAAGATAAACAATCGTTTTGTAAGCAAGCAACCTGCACATCACTGCTACAAAACAAAAACACTGCTTTGCAATTATGGCTCATGAACAATTCAAATGAAAGTGGCAGAAATGCAAACATTACATCTAACTCCATAGTGGGATTATTTACACAATATTAATGATTAGAAGTCATAATATTTAGCATTTATTTTTCACAGTAAAATAGGTGCAAATGTTTTACTTTTAAATTTAAAATGTTGTTTGAGTTTTGGTCATGATTGTGGAAATTGTGAGCAAAGTTAAACTGTGTGTAAATTGTGTATTTAAAAGAAGGCATACACTGTGTACCTTAAATAAGTTTTTATTTAAATGTACATATTTATACATTTTCATAACCTAATGTTTTAGAATAGAACAATAAAATAAAAAGCCTGGAGGTGAGACGGGGTGTGTGGAGTCAATACAACTGTCGAATTGTAATTGAATATGACACAATTATGTTCTCTAACTAAAGATACTGAAGATGTACACCCAAGTGACAAGAGGGGTAACACCCCAGTTTTCTGAGAGTGTACTGAGATATTCTATGCATATATACTGCACAACAGGGTGAACATTTTTTTGTACAGCATCAGCCTTTGCTCAATTCAGTCTGGCAGTGGCCTATTCTACCACCAAAACATCCATAAAATAGTGATCAATAAATTTGTTCATAATTTTTTTTTTCATTTATTTTAATTTCTTTTTATGTCACTTATACACACACTACATATTTTTGGGCAGGTAAAATAATTTATACATCAGGTAAATGTCACGTTTTATAGTAAATTACATGCTGCATTACGGCATTACTTTTACAGATGTTATGTAAAATACAGGAGGTTACTGTATTTTATACAACAGTTATTTCTGGCCACACAAGCTGATTGGTTGAGAAGCATTCTAACCGTGCTGGTATTTCACCATAACATCACATTTTTTTCACAAACACTGTATCACTCCGCTGTGACGCCGTTGCTAAGCAATGAGTTTGACAGCTGTAGGAGATGCTCAAGCCATTTGAAACATTTTTATTTCTTACTTCTTGCACAGAAACAGAAAATGGATACTTTTAAGGTCACATTGGACCTAAAGCAAAGCTTTTCATTCAGCAGCTGTGACAAAAGAAAATCTAAACAACCTGGAATTAACCAGAAATGAACCGAATACCATTTGCCAAACAAAATGGGCTGTAAGATGCTTTACAGACTGGCTGGAACAAAACAACATTAATCTTGATCTAGCAAAAATTGACAAAACTGAGCTAAACCTAACATTGCAGTAGTTTTATGGCTCAGTCCGTACTTCAAAAGGCGAGGCTGTGGAGCTCGTTACTCTGACGTGGCAACAAACGGCTTGTTAAGGAACTATAATTTGGTGGAGGAACTGCTAACATTAAAACATATTAAATATCACGTTCACAGCCCAATTTATTTATTTCTTACTTTATTTACTTAACTGTTGTATAAAAGCAATAGAACACTCGAGGTTGTGCATTATCGCTATAACATCACAGCTGTCATTTGGTCACAGGCACGAGCCGAAGTCAATCACACACTCCCTCTCATGTTCTATTGCTTAAATAATTCTAGTTTATATTTAGTAAGTGTGATCATGTGTTCCAAGTGATTGTTAAGTCACATTATATAGTTCTGAAGAAGGATATATGCTTCTCTGATCATTTATTTTGGTACCCTTAGGTGTAAAACTGCTAGCTAAATTAAAACAGTAGAGGTGTGTGACCTGTATGCTTAACTCAGTAATCAAAACACACTTATGATGGTACGGAAATAAGACGAATTTCAAGAAATATCTGTCTGATCTGAATGTGAGAGTATGAAAAAATAACTAGAAGTACATTAACCCCATGTTAGTTTGTGCCCCACTCTCCCCTATGTCATAGTTTACCAGCAGACATGGAAAATTAATTCTAACCAATAATATCATGTTTCACCTCCTCCTCCAGCCTCAGATTCTGTAGTGTTTTACTCATAACATGTTACGATATGAAATGAAAATGTGTAATGATTTCTATTTCAAATAGACTTTAAAGGGCGCGTATCATAAATAACAAATTTTCTAGCATGTTTTGAAATAAAAGAGTCCGATATACAATGTCAACACTGCTATAGTTTCAAAACATACCATTCACACCCCAAATTATATAGTCCATATATAGAAACTAGTTTGCAAAAACAGCACATCTTGAATTTCTCTGTTTTTGTAATGTTACAAACACGATTGCATGAACATATATCCACTTATTCGACCTGCAGCCGTAGAAGTCCGCCCATTTACGTTGATGTTAAAAGGAGTAACTTTAATGTAAAGTGATATACTGTGAAATAATCACAGCTCACCAAAGCATAAACTGTGTACAGTCTGTTGTTACTGTACATCTTTACTTACATTCCACTGCCAGAGTGACCTTTGTGGCCTGACAGTCATCTGTGCTTCCTGGTGGACGACATGACAAAGTTCTTCCATCGTCCATCCAGGTCACTTTCAAATGCAGCTCACTGACTTTTTCCTGACCTTCATCTTTATCGTCTCTGGTAGACTCTGAGATCTCAGCTGAGCTGGAACCGTGCCATTCAGGGTAAGACTGACAGTGGGCTGACGTTGAGCACTGCAGAGTCACTGTGTCATGTTCTTTGAAAGTGTCTTTCTGTGACTCTTTTGAAACTTGAAGGTGAACCTTACAAGGATTGGCTACAGAATCAACACAAAAGAGCACAAGATGTAATACAGTAAATCCCCTAACACCCAAACAAGCCCTCATCTATAACCAAGGAATTAAGAATAGGAACATTTTAATAATGGAAAGAAAGAGAGATCAGTGCACTTACGGTTTATTGTGAGATGCATAGGTTTACTCATAAATTTTGTCGTCCCCTTTATGTACCTGAAGCTGTAGTTTCCACTGTCACTCATTTGCAGATGGTTTATTCTTAATGTGCATGAAGCTGAATGTAACCTTTCATAAACCCCCTGGTATTCCACTCTGTTGGAGTACTCAGGACTCTGTGGACGGTCTTCTGTGTTACTATATACGATGATCCCATTAAACTTCTTTTCAGTTTCATTCCACTTAGGATCCTTAAACCAGAGCTGCTGCATGTCTTCCTGAGCTCTGTATCTGCAGTTGATGGTGATGCATGATCCCTCCTCTCTTGTGACAGTCTCCACCGTTATGGTCACGTACTCTTGTGGTGTTGTTAGTGAACTGTGTAAACACAAGGTGACTGAAGGAAGAAAACAGAAGCAATAATGCACAAACAATTGTATTATTATTATTATTATTATTATTATGTGGTTCTATGTGCTATCAGTGCAGTTTTGACATGCTGAGGGTCAAAGATTTCACTGTGTGTTGAGGTGGTTAGGTGAGTTTCCATGTTATTTTTTTCATAGTATTTCTTGCTATTAATCAGAGCAGTAGTACTACTAAATACTGTTAAGAAGAGAGTACAATGAGTCTGATTCATAAAACTCAGCACTACACCAAGCAAAATGTGCGGCACAGTAAATAAGAAATATTCATAAAGTTGCTGTGGCTCAGCAATGTCTTTTAACACTGCTGTATTCTAGTGTCCTAGACAAGAGCCAATCAAAATCCACATGTCTATAAGGTTATACATATTAGTTCTCTGTTTTGCAGAAATGATAATATAGCAAGCTAGAAACAAACTGACCAAGCTACTAAACTTGTCAAACATCAGTCGTCACTAACTTGAAAAACAAGATATATTTTAAATGACTTGCTCAGTTGGAAGTATTGCTACCTTTTCAACTTACGTTTTGCTACTATGATTTCATACTAAATCACTTAAAAAGTCTGAAAGATCATTTAAATAGGTATCACAGCTAAGCTACTAAGCCCTGTAACCAGCTTATTGCTGAGCTTGGCTACAACATGATTTTTAATGGGTTATCCTGCATTTATTGGCCATACTGGGGTGCATTTTCTGAACAATGATGCAAGTCACTGCAGAACCAGATGGGTTGTTGATTGATGATTGTAGCTGAATTGTTAGACTAATGAATATCCAACTAACGACTGTTTCCCAAAACCACCGTAGCTCAGTTGGACCATAGTAGTGTGAACTGTGTTATTCTGAACCACCTTAGTTTGAACTGCAGTGGTGTGACCACTGTCTTTTATGGAATCTACATTGAATAAACAGCCAAAATGCCCATGAACAGAGCAGGAAATTAAGCTTTATTTAAACTCATGAAAAGTAATACTATCTAAAATATGTATGTCAGTGTAGGTTATAGCATTGAGATTGGGCTACATCAATTTCAGTTTTTGTTTAATAACTTAAAATATGTTCATTTTGCAAAGAAATGTGGCACATCATAAAGTTAGATCCAAATGCAGTTATTTCTGACAGCTCAAAGTGTAAACACAGTGCGTTACCTTAGTAATGTGAGAAATGAGAAGTTCACAGTTTGAATCCAACGTGATCTTTTGTATTTTTGGGTGTCTACTACTAGTATAACACAATATACACTGATAGTTCTTAGGATGTTTTAAAAAGAATTTTTGTATATATATTTTGTTCATATTTTTAGACATGAGGCAGAAAATTAAGTTATTTGGAAAAGCTTTGAATCACAAATTTTACTACATCATCATGCTAAGTTTGAGCACTTGCAATGAAAAACATTCTTTGTAAAATCATAAGCATGTTATGGTATTGTTTAATGCCCTATATTTTAGCACAAGTAAGGCATAGTTTGGCTTTGTAATGTGAAATAAAACAGAAAACAAAATAACTAATAATACAAAAAATGTGCAATAGTTAATGTATCATTTTTCATTAGTAATTGATAAGTTAATGTAACCTAATATTAAGCTATGTGAAGCTTATAAGCAATAACCAAGATAATGTAGGCCTGAAATAATTTTTTTATATTATTCTATATTATTTTAATTTCCTTCACCCTACTTATTATACACTTTTTCTTGTATTTCTCTTGGATCTACGTTCATCACTCACTGCTTTAATGATGGTTCCTCTGGTGGAACTTGGGAAACGCACCCCAGATTGGTTGATGCAGATAACGCCTCATTATACACCTTGTCCCCCTTGTAAAACTAACTTAGTATGTCATTTTCAAGGAAGAACCTTTACTTTTCTAAATCACAGACTATATGATGCTTGTTTTAAGTGTTTTAAACACTATTTCCCTTAAGCTCATTTTGGAGAATGAACATTTCACATTGCTCGGTTTCCACAGCCACAAACAGCTCCAAACATTTCCTTTTGCTGTTTAATGTATGTTTTACAGCAAAACATTATACAGAGTGCTTTTTTGGTTGTACAGCTATATTTTTGGCGAAACAAAACCGCAAGCAGAATATTATTATTTTATTGCGTCACAAACGCATCACCAAAAAAATCTTTGTTGCATAATCTAACCTGCAGCATAAGAGTCAGCCATGGATTATTTGCAGCATCTCATGCAGTGTGACATAAAATAAACTAAAATAAGACCTCTGTTATCACACAGCCCACAACAGGCTTTAAATGGAACACAGTCACTGGACTTTACCTCTATCTCTACATGTTGAACTTCCTCACAGCTGTGCTCCCAGCTGTGTTTACATTTTCACTATTAATAATCATATTACTTCATCATTCATCACTGCTCTCTGTGTTCCTAAAGTAAAGTGATGATCCTCACTACTAATATACTATAAGAGCAGCCTGCACACATTTGACTGTAAATCACAGTAAAAACTCAGTGGGAGGCATAAGCAGAATGTGCATGGGAGATATATAACAGCCAAATATGAGAGATATACAGCTCTCTTAAAAAGCACCCCATCTTCATTAAATGGACATACTGGTTAGGCCTGAACACAGATACAGTCCTCTAGGCTACTTATTTGAAGACACAGTAATGCAGAGGGATTGCACAGCTTAAGCTTGTTAAGATGTTGCTAGGTGGTTGCTATGGTATCCCAGATGGTTGTTAGGGTGTTGATAGGCAGTTGCTATAGTATCCCAGGTGGTTACCGGTGGTTGCTATGATTTAACAATGATTGTACAAAAGCTGTACGTTGGATCAAAAAGCTGTATACAAGCACATCATTCCCAATCATATGGAACATTCTGGAGTTGAAACTTGCAGGACAAGATAGCCGACAAAAATCCAGCAGAAAAAAGAAACAAAGTAAAGAACAAAAAGAATAAGAAGAAAAATATACATAAGATAGTGTTGCACATTGCTTTGCATGCATTGCTTTGCACTGCCAGAACTTTATCAAAGGCTCTCTTTGGTCACAAAGGCACTAAATCAGCCACTGTAAACAGTAAATGTTCAAAGATCACTGATTTTAATTCACAACCAAAGAATCTACTTAATTAATGAGACTGTTGCATGAGCATAAGTTAACAAAAGAGAACTTGTTAGTGCTCTATCTGAATAAATACATTTATTAGTTTAACAGTGGTGTGATAAGCAGCAGTTAGTACACAGTTAGTGAATAAATAAGCTTTGAACTATGAATTACTGAGCACTTTATGGGTTACTAAGCAATAACTAATGCATAATAAACAGTTAACCAATATATCAATATTGGATAATCAATGAATCATTAACAACATATGAATGTTGTGTTTGTCACCTGTAGTGTAAAGTGCTCTTCTTCTTTTTCTTTCTCTCATTATTATTATTATTATTATTATTATTATTATTATTATTATTATTTTAAGTGAAATGACTATATGAACGAACAAGGACTTAACGTTTTTTCTGAAATTAGAATGAAATTCAGTACACACCCAGTAGAAGGAGAAGCTTCCAGACAGGACACATTCTTTCGTGGTTCACAAAGTGATCAGCTGCTGGTGAAAAATAAAACAATTCAGCTTGTTTGTTTTGCTTTTGTTTTGTTTCTGAGCCACTTCAACACAACACGAATGCATTGGTTCTGCAGGCTCTGTGTGCGTATGTCTGTGTGTGGGCGTGTGAACACAATCAGCCTTGGCACATCACAGCTGCAAATGACTAATTTTTAAGATGTAAACTTTGTGGGTCTTGCGGAACTGCTCTTAAGGAACTGAGACTCCTCTGCTTGCAGAAAATGATTCTTAACTGTAACCCAATATAACCTGTATTTACAGTTCAGTCTGTTAAAGATAATAACTGAAAATATTTCTCCAAATGATTTGCTTCATCTTTAAATACCATTCATGTTTTCAGCTTCTTACTGCAGCAATCGAGGTTTTCCAAAATGTTCTACTGGTCCTTTCATTTCAGTAATCTGAGCCATTAGCTTTGACATAAAAAGACTTATGATGCTTTGTTGTCACAAAAAAGAACTATTTCAGGTCAACCATGTGAAATAACTGCTATATTGTGTCATTCTTATATGAAGCATTGTTCAGTTTTTCATCTAATTAAAACTATAGTGTAAGCTGAAAACATATTGAATACTATGGAAAAACAAACAAACAAACAACCAAACAAATAAATAAATAAATACAACATTTTTAACAGATGGTTTCATGGACTGTTCATCACAGTAAGTAAAAGCCTGAAACAAGAAAGCACCTTTCAAACAAAAGGAGAACTCCCTGTAAAACAACAGAAGAACTCCCCAGTGTACTGTAGCTATTTTCATAGCCACCCTTACAGAAAACAGAAAGGAAGGAAGTAAGGTTCTTATTTCTGGTAAAGATAAGAAGTTATGCTAAAATTTGACACCTGAACATATGCACAGACACCTACTTTCTGTAGATTTCTTTTAGTGTGCAAAAAAATCCTGTTCAAGATAAATTTACAGTGCACTGTTAAGAAAGTTTACTTACAGTCAATTCATCCATTGTATGTCATATAACCCATAAAACTAACTGTTCCAGTGTAAATTTACTCCTTCAGTCTAAATCAGGCTCACTTCCATAGTGCAAAAGCACGCATTGCATCCTGTGTTCATTTTTTTTCACCTTCAGTTGCGCATTGGAGAAAATGTGGTTGACTCCATCGAAGTCCAAGTCACCTTCGTCATTCCTTCTCACCACACTTTCTCTAGGAAGCATAGTTTCTGTGTTAAAAGTTGCCCGTGAGTAATGAGGGGTGAAAGAGGAGTGGTGAGAATCCCTTGTTGTAAAAACAGTTCACACCTCTCCAGCTTGGCTGACATAAAATGAACAACATCACTGCAGTTTTCTTCATATAAGTCATATACTAACAACCATAAGATTAGTAAACCCGATATTACCTAATGCATACACTAATGAATGAATGTGAAGGTAATAAAGGCTTTCTTCAACATCTGAACTTATCAGGAATTCATGGGTTAATTAAACATGCGAAAAGACAGTTAGTACAAACGGGCCTACTGCTAGAAGCTCTGTTGGTTTCATCCTATTCATACAATTTATATGATGACCTATGTCATACTGCAATGTCATACTGTTACAACATAACCATTTTGTGTTTGTTTAGTTTATTTACTGAAAATTGGCATTTTACTTAAATAAAACTGTGAATTATCTCAATATATACCACCCTTATTATGCAAAATCTATACCACCTTTAAAAAATGAAAATGTGTTTTGCATTATACATCTATTATTCTTTTCAAAAATTTGTTACATCTCAATTTTCTTAGTAATGCAAACAGCATTTTGGAATAAAACTCTTCAACTGTTTCTGCAGCTGGAAATTACAGCTATTTCTCTTTGCCAGTAGGTGGCAGTAATTGCGGTAATTGTTAAATGTCAAGTGGTCATAGTGTCTTGAGTGAATATGTCTATGAAAACATTTCAGACAGGTGAATAAAAAAACATTAAAATTATATTAAAAATTGTCCAGCATAAAAGCATTTGTCTCACATTTACAGGCGAGTTATGTATACGCATACTGGATTATATATGCAATTACATTGTAGATATAATGTTTACACATGGTATTGCCCAGTTGTCTGAGTGTTGCGAGTGTTTGCTAGTGTGTATTTTTGAGCCTCACATCTTTTCAGACTAACGTGTAAAACATGCAGCTGTTATATGTGGCGAAACAGAACGGATTTGCAGTTGCTGTTATTACTGAATTCATTGTAAAGAAGCTATATTAAACATTTGGTTTGATGTTTACTTATTTGCAGTAAACCTTTTTGGTTTTAGGAGTAGTAAGGAGTTTGTGCTCCTCTGCATTGTGTGATTCTAATAATATGTGCCGTCAGGTACGTCTGTTCTGTTTGGTGAAAAATTAGAAAGATGTACCCTTCTAATTTTCCATGAAGGTCACGATAAAAGCATAACAAAGAGGGGGTCCGTAGACACTATGGGCAGGCCCCACAGACGGAAATCTGAATTCTTTGGATTTGGGAATTTATCCAGTGTCTCTGAAGTGGCAGCAAAAGGAACAAAGAGCAGCTCCTTCATCCTCAAGTCTAAGGCCTCTAAGAGCGCTAATAAACGCTGTTTTCTCAGTCTCACTCTCCTCTACAACTGCAATGCTGATCAGGGTTGGGTAGTATCAGAATACATGTAATGGCATTACACAATCAGGCAAAAACAAAAAAAGGTAGCTGTACTTGATTACAGTCACTGAAAAAGACAATCAGATTACAGGGACATTATTTAAAAGTAGGGGTGCTAATTAGCAAGATTACATTAAAATCATGTACACGCAAACTTGTCACCTTTCACTTTTTAGCAAACACAGTACAAATGATGGCCAGTCAGAGTTGGTCTCTATTTATAACTCTTGTTGATGAGGAGTCTCAAAAGAAGAAGAAGTCTTCCAGGTTGATCTTTGAACTTTGGTATGGTAAGCAGCAGCAATATATTTTCAACAAATAAGTCCCAGGAGAGCAGTATATATAACTATATTGCATTTGCATATTTGCTGAACTCAGTGAACTGGATCCTTCTACTGTTTTAATGTCAGAGCTTTCAGTTTAAGTGTACCAAAAATGTTTCTCTGTCAAAATTACCGCCTTGATTTCTGAACTTGTCACCTTTTTCACTGCTCACAAACATACGGTATATGTCTAACCAAAAAAAATTATATTGTACAAATTTATCATCTTTAGGTTTAAAACATTTCAATATACTGCTCAACTTAAGTGTGAGATCACTGATGTGTAAGGCTCAATATCAGCTGCTGATATCCTACCTTCTCTGTGGATCTACATCACACCTTATTTGAATAGCTGATTTTTGAAATGATATAAAATGCGCACACATAAAGCAGGGATAATTAAGTCAACTGTAATTTATCATTTTATTTTATAAAACGGGGCAGTTCTCTTGTTTGCCTTGTGTTGAAGGTGTGGTGTGTAAACTTTATAGGGATCTATTAGCAGAAATGGAATATAGTATATAAACCATGTTTTCATTAGTGTGATTAGTTTACATCACCTGTAACTACGTATCATTGTGTTTTTATTAGCTTAGAGTGATCCATCCATATCTACATAAGGAGCAGGTTCTCTTCCAACAGAGGGCGCCATGTTGTGCTGCCATATTTCTACAGTAGCTCTGAATGGAAAAACAAAACACTGGCTCTAGAGATTTTTTATGTTGAAGTGACAACTTAAGTTTGGTGGTGCTGTAGCACCAGTTAGAGAATGTAGAAAGAAGAAAAATCAACAATTGCTGCTGGTGCTGGCTAACCATTGTATGTTGTGAGAGATTAAGAACCCAAATAATGATAAATGAAGGATCATACTTATTTTTTAGCACATGAAATAAGACTTTAAAAGGACAAGTAATCCAAAAGTAACAGCAAGAAATCAGATTATGTAACTTTAATATAATAATTCTTTGGATTAGGTACACTTGGATTAAAGTATGTTCACTCTAAATACTGATTTGAATATAACATTAGTTGTTGAGGCTTATATGTGTTTTTGTTCTTTCTTGATGCTGCAAAATGTTGTATTTAATGGCCCTTTTGACTGGAAATTCAATACATTTTACTTATTTTCTTATTTCATTTTACTTTTATTTAACCAGTGTAATCACACTGAGATTAAACATCTCTATTACAAGTGAGCCCTGGCCAAGAAGGCAGCACACAAAACAACAAAGAATCACCACCACCACAACCAACAACATCAAATCAGAGTCAAAACCAAATTCAAAAACATGATCAAACAGAATGATATAGTTCTTGATGTAGATCAGACTGTACTGTTGTAACGTCCAACAGAATATATCTATTTAATGTATAAAGTATTGTATGTGATATAGTACATAGATTGATAGGTGATAATTTCCCATTAAAAGTTTCATCTCGTATGCTTCAAGATACTGTTACAAAAGTAAAAAATATACACAGAAGTCTTAGTAATAAGAGTTCATTTATAAAAACACCTGCTTTTTCCCTGCTTCTACTCATCCAGTCCATTAAGATAAAAATGAATACACACAGCTGTTTGCATGCTAATGGCGGCCACTTGAGGAGAAATCTTCACTTGCTAAACCTTTTGACTTAGGCATTTAATAAGCATTGCACACAGTACTATCATGCAAATGAATACAGCTTACATTAAACAAAGTTGTACACACTATATTGCAGAAATGAAAGAGAGCACAATGAGAGTTTTCTTGCCAGTACAGTAGGTTCTGCATAACAAAAACATGTTAAGAACCACCTTTTCAGAGTACATCAACTCTGAATGCAGTTGAGAATGATCCTGCACCAATAACATTCCTAGAACTGCACATATACCATCCGGAATCTCCAACAGCCACCTTCTCAATCCGAAACTCCTGAGTCGTGTGTGAAAGAACAACATACTCCAGCATGTCTTCTGATTTATAATACCAGGAATAATGATCAGCCTCAGGACTGGCATTAGAGAAACAGCTGAGGCGAAGAGCTGAACCCAGCTTTATTTCAGAAGGGCCTTGAATGGAAGTGTCTTCTGGAGCATCTGTGGAGAGAGAGAGCAATACAGAGCACAATAGTGCACAGGGCAATGAATGTAATGTAATGTAATTTATGTTATTATTCAAATTAGTGTTACTAGTGTTACTAAAAACACAATAACATTTAACATAATAATAATAATAATAATAAACATAATACTTACACTTCACAGATATCACAGTTGGAGTAGAGTCTGTAGATCCGATGTCATTCCTGGCCTGACAGTGATACCATCCGTTATCACTTGGTGTTACATTTGGAATATATAATTCATTGCTGTGTTCCTGAAGCTCTTTATTATCTTTGTACCATCTGTAGGAATATTGTAGAACGTCTGGATTGCTCTTCTGCACTGAGCATGTCAGTCTGACTTCATCTCCTTTTTTAACATCACTGGGTTCCACCTCGACTTGAACACCTTTAGGAGCATCTGAGAAACATAAAGTCATTATCTTTTTTAAAATGCATTTTTTATCAGTAGGTCACTTACTATTGAATCTGCAGACATGCCTTTTTGTTAGTGTATCATAAGAATAATGAAATATCAATAGTAATAATACTGGCTGATAAGTGACTCATGGGTTTATTAATACTCTCAATCTTACATTTAACATTGATCATGACAGTAGAATCTTCTTTCCCGTGATAGTTTGAGGCCTGACAGCGATATTCTCCACTGTCTTCTGGCTTTACATCATTCAGTGTATACTCTTCAGTAGACTGGGACAATATATTGTTTTTAAACCACATGTAGGAAGCATTAGGATGTGCTTTGCTGGAACAGTAGAGAGTGACAGTTTCTCCTTCTTTCACATCCTCAGAGCTCACTGTTATCTTTGTTTCTTTGGGTGCATCTTGATAAATGAATGAATAAAAAGAAATAAACAAATGAACAAGATAAACAAGATTAATCATTTTGTAAGCAAACATCTAAAGCATGTTATTTTCATGGCTATGCATAAAATCTTCTAAAAATTGATTATATTGAATTTATATTGGAGGATATGAATTTCTTTCATTGTTTATTTTAAGAAGCTTAGTTAGTTAGCTAGTTAGTAAAACTGTATTAACTAAATGAAAATAATACATGCAAATATTATGTGACTTATGTATAACACAGTAGTCAAAAAACACAGTCTTCAGGTTGAATCTCAAGAAATACTGCCTGATCACTGTAAATATTTGCAGACTTTACTATGAGAAGATGACTAAGAGCACATTCTACACAGAGCATCTATGTTAGATTTTACTCCGTATTAGTTTGTGCCTCAGTCTCCTCTATGTCGTAATGCACCAGTGGACACTGAAAAATGATTCTAACCCATACTGTCATGTTTCACTTCCTCCTTCTGCCTCATATTCTGTAACTGTAAATGTAACTGTATAGAGGAAAAATTCAGAATGAATTATGTTTGACTTTAAAGGGCCCATGTCATGAAAAAACACAATTTCTTTGTGTGTTTTTCTTTTTTTTTTAAATAGAGCTTGATGTAGTCAGCGCCATACTGTCTATATAGTTCATATATACCAACTAAGCCGCAAAAACAAGTCATTTTGTTGTTGTAATATCATAAAAACTAAAGCAGTAATACATATCCACCTGTTCAGCCTATAGCACCATTCACATTGATGTTATGAGGGACATTTCAGCCTGGACTGCTTTTTGAATGAGGAACAATGCAAGACATCCAATCAATAAAGTCCATTAACTTAAATCAGTCTTAAAGTCGCAGTAACAAAAACAATCTGTTTAATTGTGAGGGATGATGAAAATAGGTTGTAAATTTGTCATAAAAAATGAATTAGGATTGTTGTTGGTACATAAACTCACAAAAATATTAAAAGTAAAAAATAAATACATAAATGAATAAATAAAATGCAGGAAAAAATGTAGTATATGGACCCTAAAATAAATAAAATGATGATCATAATTCACAAAAGCATAAACTGTGTACAGTCTGTTGTTACTGTACATCTTTACCTACATTCCACTGCCAGAGTGACCTTTGTGGCCTGACAGTCATCTGTGCTTCCTGGTGGACGACATGACAAAGTTCTTCCATCGTCCATCCAGGTCACTTTCAACTGCAGCTCACTGACTTTTTCCTGACCTTCATCTTTATCTTCTCTGGTAGACTCTGAGATCTCAGCTGAGCTGGAACCGTGCCATTCAGGGTAAGACTGACAGTGGGCTGACGTTGAGCACTGCAGAGTCACTGTGTCATGTTCTTTGAAAGTGTCTTTCTGTGACTCTTTTGAAACTTGAAGGTGAACCTTACAAGGATTGGCTACAGAATCAACACAAAAGAGCACAAGATGTAATACAGTAGATCCCCTAACACCCAAACAAGCCCTCATCTATAACCAAGGAATTAAGAATAGGAACATTTTAATAATGGAAAGAAAGAGAGATCAGTGCACTTACGGTTTATTGTGAGATGCATAGGTTTACTCATAAATTTTGTCGTCCCCTTTATGTACCTGAAGCTGTAGTTTCCACTGTCGCTCATTTGCAGATGGTTTATTCTTAATGTGCATGAAGCTGAATGTAACCTTTCATAAACCCTCTGGTATTCCACTCTGTTGGAGTACTCAGGACTCTGTGGACGGTCTTTTGTGTTACTATATACGATGATCCCATTAAACTTCTTTACAGTTTCATTCCACTGAGGATTCTTAAACCAGAGCTGCTGCATGTCTTCCTGAGCTCTGTATCTGCAGTAGATGGTGATGCATGATCCCTCCTCTCTTGTGACAGTCTCCACCGTTATGGTCACGTACTCTTGTGGTGTTGTTAGTGAACTGTGTAAACACAAGGTGACTGAAGGAAGAAAACAGAAGCAATAATGCACAAACAATTTTATTATTATTATTATTATTATTATTATTATTATTATTATTGTAATATGTCACACAATTACTTATTCAAGGTAAAAATGAATTATGCTGTTAATAAGTCATATGTGATGTTTCAGTTAACTGCTTATTAAGCATCGTTCATCACTTAGTAATAAGTAACTCTGAGTACTCTGCTAGTTTATCTTTAATTAACAGCTTATTGACTTAATTTATAGCTTATTTAGTTATTAACTGTGTACTAACTGCTGCTTTTTACACTCCTGCTGAACTGATTAATGTGTTTACAAAGATAGAGCAGTAACATGATAATTAACTAATATCCATACACTAACTAGTATCTTTTAATAAATTTACAATTTTTTTTGTTACTTTCATTGTGCAGCCATAAAACAGGTTTATATTGTTTTTACAATTTTCCTCAGGATAAAGCTGCCACAAACAAAAATAAAAAAAAATATTTAAAAATTCTTCAATCATGAGTTAAAATCAGTGATGTTTATATGTTTACTGTCATGTGCTCCACAGAGGCTGATGTAGTGCTTTTTTTAACCAAAGACAGCCTGTAATTACGTTCTGGCAGTGTCCAAAATTTTGTCATGTTATATGTTAGCTTACATACATTAGCCTGGCCCAGCATTCAGCTCACATATTGAGTGACCCTCCCTTGAAATGGTAGAGCTAACTAAAATATAATGGACAGCAAAATTTGCCTATTTCAATGGAAGAATCCACATTTCTCTCTTTTCCTCAGCCATGAACAACTCCAGACTTTCCCTCTTTTCTGTTTAATGCATGCCTATTTCAGGCAAAACATCATGCTAAGGTCAAGAAAGCACATTCAGAGTGCCATCATTCATCTATCACAACAAAATCTTTATTAATCTTAATCTTTATTGTATAATCTGACCTGCAGCATAACTGTCTGCCATGGAATTTAGACATTATTATTAAATGCAGCATCTTGTGCAGTGCGACATGAAATAACAGCAGCTTTATATGGAACACAGTCATCAGACTTTACTGACCTCCACATATTCAGAATATTCACATATTCATTCACATATTCAGCACAAATTCTACCGGATATTTGAACAACATCACTTGTATTAGCATGAACACGGTTTTCTAACATTAACAAACTGAAATAACTATAAGTGATTATTTTGCAGACTGTTGGGTTGAGAAGTGTTCCTGCTTGATGACTGGGCAGGGTGGTGGGAGGGGGAGAGAAAACATGCTAAGGTATTATGGGTTAGTGTAATTTCTTCCTGCCGTTGGTACATGGTGATGCAACCAAAGGCATTTAGAGGCAGGCAAGGTCAGGACACCTCAATCAAAAATTACACAGAAACAACAGTTTTGTCATTTGAAGGATGTGACTTAATGGATTGTGCTTAATATGACCAAGGGCATAAAGTAATAAAGGTTCACTTGGATTTCAGCTTGACTTTTAAAAAACATCTCATCTTCATTAAGTGAACATACTGGATAGATCTTAAAATATATAATAATGATAATAATATAATGATAGATCTTGAAAAAATGTAACTTTAAATCAATAGATTTATCAGATAATTGTTACAAATATTTAAGCACTACTTAGTTTTAATGTTACTTTCTTATATGAGTAAACAGTTCATCAGCAGCGTAATAAACAACAGTTAATTAGCAGGTAATAAAAAGCTCTGAACTAATGTCAAACTAAATTATTGACAGAGTGTCAGTTACTAATAACTAATCACTCTATCAGTTACTACGTAATAAATGGTTAATAAAAAAAGTTGACCAGTATGTTTATAATGGATAGTCAATGACTCCTTTACAACATATACGATAATTTGTTTGTTGACTCATAATGTAAAGTGTGTTTCTTCTTCTTCTTCTTATTATTATTATTATTATTATTATTATCATTATTATTATTATTATTTCTCTTTTTTTAAATTCACAAATAATAACAAACCAGGACTTTAAATTTTTTCTGGAATTAAAATGAAAGTTGGTACACACCCAGTAGAAGGAGAAGCTTCCAGAGAGGACACATCCTTTCGCGGTTCACAGTGTGATTTGCTGCTCATGAAAAATAAAACATTTCAGTTTTTCATCCTGTTTGTTTGCATTAGTTTTATTTCTGAGCGAGTTTAACACAACACGAACACATCCGATCTGCTGGCTCTGTTTGTGTGTGTGTGTGTTCATGTGTCTGTGTGTGGGTGTGTGAACACAATCAGCCTTGGCAGACCTGCTCTTATGGAACTGAGACACCTCTGCTTGCAAAAAAAAAACAAACAATATAACCTGTGCTTACAGTTCAGTCTGTTACAGATAATAACTGAAAATATTTCACCAAATGATTTGCTTCATCACAAGTCCACATTAATTCATCTTCTAGAAATGCATGTTTTTTTTTTTCTGTGCTTCAAATATTTAACCCCTTAAGTGGCCAGGGCCCAAAGTTTTATTAAACACTTCTATATAGCTCAAGTTTGTATTGAAGCCCCTGTAGTTACTAAAAAATAAGCCTTAGTATGTAAAAAGACTGTAAGGGGTTAAATATCCTGTATGTTTGTAACTTCTTACTGCAGTACTCTATGATGTTTTCCAAAATATTCTGCTAATCCTTTCCGTTCATTTCTGTAATCTGAGCTGTTAGCCTTACATAAAAAGACTTATCATGCAATGTTATCTGTAAAAAAGAACTATTTCATATCATGCACATCAATGTTTTCATCTATTTGAAATTGTATTGTACCCTGAGTACAATGTACAAAGGATTTCAAATATAAGTTGAAGTAAATAAATACCTGAAACAGGAAAGCAACTTGAAAGCAAAGGGAGATCTCTGTAAAATAAAAAAGAACCCTCAATGTACTGTGGCTATTTGCATGGCCACCTATACAGAAAACAGGAAGGAAGGATATGAAGCCTTTACTAAAGATGACATGCTAATATTTGACACCTGAACATGTGCACAGAGGCCTGTAGCACACTTTCTGTAGCGTAATATCTTTAGTGTGTAATTAAATTTGGTAGATTTATTGTACACACTAAATTTACAGTAATCACTAAGAAAGTTTACTGACAGTATATACTTCATTAGATGTCATCTAACCTATCAAACTACTATTGCAGTATAGATTTACTCCTTCAGGCTAAATCAAGTCCAGATCTATTGTGGTGCAAAAGCATGCATTGTTGCATTTTCAGTTGAGGTTTGGAGAAAATACAGTTGAAATACTTAACACACCTAAACCTACCTCACTCCTGCAGACAAGTGTGGTAGCATACAGATAATCGTAGATGATGCTTACCACAAATTTCTAACTTTGGCTGGCAGTGGCAGGGGTGTGCTAGTCTCGGTACCAGGCACTTGAGCTCTGCATGTCTGGTGACAAGAAATCTTAGCTTTGGAACAGAATGAGTTTAGTGGATGAATTTTAAATGGCCAGCTTTACAAAAGGGAATCATTGAGAACTAAAATCGAAATGTAATTTAAAAACTGTAGTAATTTCTATTATTTAAATAAATTTTATGCTACTATGTAACATTATGAAACATAGACTTGAAACATAGAAAGTTAGCCTTGGTTTTCTCAATGTGTGCATGTTGGGGTCTTCCCTGTTGCACCAGGAATCAACTTTTCAAACTGTTGCAGACAGTAACATCAAAGAACAACACAACGTGTGAACGTGAAGGACAACACAGAGTGCTGTAGCCTCTTCTAAGCCCCCACAGTGGGCAGTCTGCTGGTGGAATAGATCAAATAAAATATGTAACTTATCAGAACAAATTGGACACTGTTGGCTGTCTGTGTGTGTCAAAGTGGAAATCTAAGTCAATTTTATCGCCATTCATTCTCACTACAGATTAGCAGTGTTTAGTGAGAAACAAAACATATTTTCTCCAGGAAGCTATAGTTTCTGTGTGACGTGCTGCGACTCTGTGTTGAGCTACTAGATGTAACTGTCACGGTCATATGATCATGTTTTTCTTTTTTTCCATGCATGTCTGTGTTATATTACTGATAGCATTTCCACCTACAGCCTCGGGGAGCTGTGACCTATACTGACTCTTGGAGGCAGGTCTAGGAAATAAAAGGGTAGTGAAACAGGAAGTAGATGAGAGTTGTTTGGTCAACACAGGCGTCATGGGTGCACACTTAATACGCTTTGAGGGTCTCACTGTATATTTGTGGATGTGTACTCTGTCCTTGGTTCTTATTTTTGCGTTTCTTTTTGACTCCACTGTATACAACCTCATCCAAAGTCTTGTAGGTGCAGGTTACCCTAAATGTCCTTACCTTTTCTGTGTGACCCTATTTTAAGTAGGCAGTGAAAGAGGAGGGATGAGAACACCTACTGTGAAAACAGTTCAAACCTCTCCACAAATATGTCTGTGCTGAGATAAAACTGACAACACACCGCAGCTTTCTTATCAAAAAATTGTGTGCAACTGCCACAGTAACTGCACAATCACATAAAACTACCGCAATAACACAATTGCCTCCAGTTTTGTAAATCACACAAAATTCCATTGAATATATCACAACAAAATTACTGAAGACAAAATGCATGGTGTAAAAACTGTGGGACACTCACCAAAACAAGTGGAAATTGCATTTTATGGCCGCTGTGGGTTTAAAAATTTAGAACACAATTTTAGGAATGATGAGTATGTTTGGGTCTGTAGTTCTCAGAGCAGATAACGTCATTCTGTAATGATGTTACTGACCCAAAAAAAATTTTTAGTTTTAATTTTTCTTCTACATTTGTTCCCCACAACACATTCCATTTGGCAAATAAATGTAATTGTATGAAAATAATTGTACTTCACAATAATACGGGTCAATTGTTTTTATATTAAATGACAGTAACAGGCCACTCCAGCTAGATTAGCCAGTTGCACAATTATTTATTAGCACTTGTAATTTCAAGCTGTGTTCAGTGATAGCAGATATTTACCTTGTGAAGTGTGAATAAACACTTCAGAGACATCTCACTCACAAGAAGTTCTGGTGACAATGCAACTACACAATTGTTCTGTAACTTTTTTCTTCTTTAAAGGGGAATACCACCAATTTCTGCATGATTCGATTGTTTAGATTTAAAAAAGTTTATACAGAAATGGTGCACTGTGAAAACTCGATTTCTTTACAGAGGTGGTGACAACAACCGGGGGTCGCTATGTCTACATAAATATGTTAATATTTTACTTACTATTTAGAATGACCAGTGAGTCTACATATGTCTTCTGAGCCAAATGGGGGGGTGGAATACCATTTTGCTTTACAACTCCCTGCATGTAACTATTTGCTCTGTTTGGCTTTCAAAAGTGCCTCAGGCCAAAATATTTCCAAACAACTGTAAAAAAAAAAAAAGTAATAGGCACCAAGCAGCGTATTCATAACCATTTAATGTAATAGGCTTCAGGCTTGAATCATGCAGAAATTTTGAAAAAATTGACGGAATTCCCCTTTAATAGCTGTACATCTAGTGCACATACACAATCTTAGTTGATATATAGATAGAATGCAAAATCTTACTCTCTTTTCTTTTGCTTCTGTTTTCACTCTATGCTTTTGTCTCTTTAAAGCACTTATATTAAGTCTTAAGTGCTTACATTTCATCAGCACTACACTTATACAAGCATCAGCTGCAAAATCAGAATAATTAAAGGTCGTATTCTTCTATGGTTTACATACAGTATGCATGTCGAGTTGCTGCTGCTTGTAACACAGAAATAAAACACTTTCCTGCACTTGCACTTCCACAGTTTGAAAAGAGAACCATTAGCATGTCCCTTATTTGAACTCCTTCTACAGGCAGCATTGCAACATCAACAGATGTCGCTCTTCACTTTCTGAACCCTGAATGATTCTATCAGCAAAAAACTTGATGTTGCCTTTTTTGTGACAATCATGATTTACTGTGAAACCCCTGTTGCTATCGCTACAATCTTATCTGCATCAGCACTAATGTCATCAATGGCAGAGTTCATGGCCTGCAGCATGACTGTGAAGGAGCGGCTGACGGATCTGGCGTGGCGTGGCATGGCCAGTTCCACTAGCTTTGTGGTGGCTGTGCTGGTGTCTTTCTCGGCCACTGAAAGCCTCCTCTTCACTTCGCTCTTGCTGACCTCCACTGAAAGGAGACAGGTTCGCAGTCCCTTAAGCTTGTTTGGCTCGATGCCCCTCTGCCTCGCCAACCTCTCCACAGACTCATCATCCAGGCAAAGAGAGATTTGGGCTTTCGTTAGAATCCGTACAGCAACACTGGCATCCACCATGGAGGCCACCAGGGGAACAGGAATAGCAGAAACCCCAGCAGAGAGAGAAGCTGCTGCCCAGCCTAGAGCCTTGAAGGCTTCCTTCTTCTGGGCCACCAAGGTGCTGGAAAATGTGGGCAGAGCCAGCAGAAGAGCATGAGCCCTGATCTCTGGAAGATCACCCTGCATCACCTCTAAGAGCTTTAGGAACTCCAGCTTTTCCAAAGCAGAAGGACACACAAGGAATACTTTGGGCTGAGACAGTCCTTCTGCTTTCAGTACCTCCAGACTGGCCTTCTTTTTGGCTTCCAAGGTTTTCTCAGTGTCCTTCTCGGATGCCAATAAAGCAAAATACAACGTGTCTTTCTGCAGCGATCTCGCCTCTCTCCAGACTGCAACCATGTTTGCGCTCGGGCTTTGCGTGAAGGTCATGATAATAGCATTATATCGCAGGATTTTATAGCGGTCCACGTAATTCTCAGGGTCAAAAGAGGGGTCACTTGAGATGGTGGGCAGGTCCCATAGACGGAAATCTGGATGCTTTGGATTTGGGAATACAGCCAATTCCTCTGGAGCCGCAGCAGAGGGACAGAGAGCAGCCCCTTCATCCCCAACACTAAGCCCTCTGAGAGAGTTAATAAACATCGCTTTCTCGGCCCCCCTCTCCCCTACCACAGCGATGTTGATACGGCTTATCAACATGTCTTCAACAGCATCCTTTATGTCTGAAATGTTGTTCTTCTCAATGGACTCTTTCAGGCTCTCCAGGAGGTTAAGACTTTTCAACACATCAGCCATGTCTGTTGACCTACAGAGGGAACATTATCTTAGAAGTAATTAAATTTCTTACTGTATAGTACATTTCTTACTTTATACATACTTACTGTGTACTTCTGAATGTGTTTACACTCAGAGTGATAAATTACAGGGTGTGTGCCCTCATCATGTATCAGAACACAGTACTGAGTAAAGAAAAGAGACCACCCTTTCGTTTATTTAATTTCCAGTCAAAAAAGCCATTAAGTACAAGTTAGTGATTTTCCAATGTCAGAAAAGGCAGGAAACATATTAATCAGTCAAGCATGGTGCAGGATCAGCATAAGTTTGGGGATGAGTTAGTGTTTTGTTTTTTTTTTAATTGAAGGCACCATGAATGCTGATAAGTTTGAGTGGAAAAAGAAAAATGTTTGAATGGAAAGAATTTAATATCACGCCAGGATAACGGCCCCAAGCACACTGCTGAGAAGTTCAAGACGTACTTATCAAACAGAGAAGCTGCTTGTGTTCTCAGAACAACAAACTGGTCACCTCAGAGTCCAGACCTCAGCATCACTGAATGCATTTGGGATTACTTGGATTATGAGAAGCAGAAAATTCAACCAGCTTCTAAGACTAAACTTTGGTGATTTTTACAAGAAGCATGGAAAAATGAAATCTGGGGGAGTGAGTGAAATATGTTTTTAGATTTATACAGCAACGATGGAATTTTTGACATGCGTTTTTCATAATTTTATCATGTTTTATTGTAACAGAAATGCAATTCACTGTTTTTTAATAACATGGCATTTTTAAAAACCTGAAATAATGCTGGAAAGATAAACAAAGACCATTGGACATGGGGCACCATACCATTGCAGAGTGTTGTGTAGCAGATACAGTGTAAAGTGCAGCTACACCACATAGAATGTGTTGCAGTAAGAGTGCTGATAACGTCAAGCTCAAGCTCATTTACACTTGTAAAGATTTAATGAAATGAAACATTTACTATCATTTATGAATTCACCTCATTTGGTATCAGCTAACTAACTCTTCACACATCATTGTTTTTAAGCTGAAAGATAAGATGTGAGAAAAGGCTAGGCTATACTGTTTATCTTAAAAGCATTAGTTTAACTTCCTCCCTAGAGTGTAAATTTCAAGCCACATGTAATCTACTATTGCTATTTGTTTTTTTCTGGGGTTAATTTTATGCAGTAATGGCAAAATGCAGTGTGAGAAATTGAACAGCACTAGGTGTTGGCATGCACTGCTGGTGTTGTGTGTGAACCTGCATAATAAATACAATTGTTACATTACAACTGAAAAAAAAAAAAGTTTAGTTTTTCAGGCTTCTGTAAAATTTATTGTTAAATGTATGTTTTTTACTGATGCTGAAAATACTTTCAAGCAAATAAAAGCATGGTCTCTGACTTTTGCACAGCACTGTATGTGGTACAACACATACACTGATATTTGATAATGTTATTGCATTTCCTACAAGGATATTTCTAAGCAGTTCAAATGACAGAATACATGTAATCAGGAAACATAATTTTAAAATTACATAAATAAAACTGACCTTTTAACTTAATATAACTTATTGAATCAAACAAGTATTTAATATAACGTAATATTGCAATACCATACAATAATGCTGCACTAGTACACCAATACTTTACTCTGAGAGCTATTTACAATAAAGACTAAGTGCAATTTCTATTTGAATGCAGTATTGAACACATACTAATTCAGTCCTTATTAATCATCTTACCTGAAATCTTTCAGTCACTAGTTTGTTTTGGGGTGATAAAGGTAAACACACAGGCTCTTCTTGGGAGTGAGAATGTTCTGAGAGTGAACAGCAGTGTGTGTGTGGAACATTCTAATCCTATAATCTTGGACTTAATCTTCTTACACACACATACAAACACAGCAGCTCTCATCACCACTCAAGTGCAGCAAGGGAGAAGAACATGACTATGTGGGTTATAAAAGCAGATATAACATAAAACAATGAGTGACTGATGGACGCTCTAGTTAGCAGACACCTTAGTGTGTAGCACCACCATGTGGTGAATAAGAAAAGTGTGTCTTCAGTTAATATCATAAAGAGGGAGGGAAAAATAGCTGATTGATTTATATTGATCTAAATGTGTTAATTAGAGAAAGCACATGGTGATTCATATATCTTTTGAACTTAAGGAGAAGCATAAACAAAAAGTAGATTTCCAGAGGAAAGTTCAGAAGTTCAGATGAAGACAGCATGTTTTGTCATTCTACAGAAAGAAGCGTTTACAGAGATATTACACTTAAAAAACATGTTAGCGTTACCATTTATTTATATTTTAAAATAAAAATAAAGTTATTTTAATAATTACAACTTCTTGAGCCATCAATTTAACAATATTGGCTTTTAAATCAATCATATAGAATTCCAAGCACCACAGAAGTGCTCATCCCCACAGTCATGTGTAAAGGGCAAGTGCCATATTTTGAGGTAAAAAACATGATTTTCTGCAATTTTAACTGTAATAATCTATAATCTATATATAATGACATAAAGAAATAAATATTATAAAATATATAATGAAAGTTGTTGCCCCAGGAGTTGTGTCACTGGTGTTACCGCATAACAAAAAAAACCCTATTTTGAAATAACAATCACACTGATGACATCACTTGACTTCCTTTTACTTATTTTCTGAGAATCTATGAAGAAAAGCACATGGTAAGTCCACTGTGTCTTTCAGTTTTAAGAAATTGTCTCATTTAGCTCATGATTTCATATGAAGCTTTTAGCTGAAGTCACTGGCATAACCTACTTTATTCTTAGGTAATTGTGAAAAAAATAGAATATAAATGGATTAAATTACATATTTTAATGGATATTCCTTGATTGACAACATGTGATTTGATGCTCTGTAGCAGTCATTTTTTAAAATGCATTTTTCATTAAAAATGTCTCTGGTGTTACCTTTCTTACGTGTAACACCAATGACGATCAGTAACACCAGTTACACCTATGGATAGATAAAAAAGTGGACGTTTCTGTAGAATGACTCACATTCAGATTTTTTTCTTTATTAATCTTGTTCAACATTCAGAACAAAGAAAGAATAAAAAAGAAAGAAAAATAAGAAAGAATGCCAAGAAAGAACTGAAGGTGGCAGCAGTGATATAGTTTATTATAGCATGGTATTGGTAAATATGGTAAATAAACCACCAGTAGTAGCTTTCATTTATTATCACCAGCGTTAGCTTTGCAATTCAGTATAACAAAACATAAATAATTATAAAATATTGAAATATTTCAGCCATGGTTGAAAGATACATTCTGTGAAATTTGTTTTTATACACTACCACTATGACTTATAGCAGGGATGTCACTGGGCCAGTCTTAGTCTTAGGGAGGCTTTGACCATTGCCTGATGGTGCTATCAGATTTTCTAACAAAACAACATGAGATGGCAATCCTCTGCTGTTTAGACTAGCCAACAGATGTGTGGGCGGGGCTCTGGTGCTACTCGCTCTGCAAAGTAGTCAGTCAGAAGCCGCTGAAGTTGTGACAGAACTTTAGCTAAAAGTGTACTAGAATAAAGACCAGGCCGTATTCAAAGTGTATAATTTGCAGTCTGAATCGGTAAGTAGTTACAAAGTGAAGATATCTTAAGGCAGGTCTGATAAAGGTCAGTGATCAAGAAGAAAGCAAGTGAGTGTTGGTTAAGTTTTCAGATAAAATAAGTACAGAATTTGTAGAAATGTTGTTCACTTAATATATCCTCAATTGTGAGACTAAAAAAAATTAAAAATATAATTTTTGAGTTGTCAAATATCACTATAATAACATCACCCAGACTATTAAACATGTAAGCACAACTGCACAACCAAATCACACTTCGTATGGTTGCACAAACTGAGACTGTACTAATCCATAATCTGTGTTTAAATTACATATTTAGGAGCTACATTTTATCCAAGAGAGACGAGACAGCATTAATATCGACTTTAATACCTTTGTTAGATCTGTGATCCATGTAGGTGGACAGATATAGTATTTTAATTGTAAAAGATCTATGGTTTATGCATTATCAATAAACAGATCTTCTGTGTTCTAACTTGACCAAATATCAATTTTTTGATAAGGTTTTCATCTATTGCTACTAAAGTTAATCTGTGGCTAAAAGTTCATGGGGGAGCATGCGCCCAGACCCCCACCCATAAATCTTGGGTGGGTCTTCATTTCATTTCATTTTATTTACTATTATCCACATTGTAGTATAATAATAAAGACATTTATACTATGAATTAACTATGAAAGTTAATGTGGAATTACTGTGGCTTTCTACCAAAGAAGACAAGAAGTCTATTTAGACTCCACCCTCCCACATCACAACACATCTGATCGGTTGTAATGCATTAGCAAGGATAGACATTTCACTAATTAACTTTTATAATAAAACAGACTAAAAGATAGTTCCAGTCCTAAAATCTGATTGGCTGAGCCGCGCTTGAAGCCGTTGTTAAATCCACCGTATACAAACACTTATGACCACCTCACAACAACTGAATTGTGTATTACTGCGCCATGGCACGAAAAAAACCCTTGTGCTGTTAATGGAATAATCTTTGACTCTCACGCTGCTCACATGGACCACCAAGTGTATAGATGAAGAAGCAGGTTTTTTTGTTTAAACTGAACGTCTGCTCAGCTAGCTAACAGGCTAAACAACTCCATAATTAATATCACTACTATTATATTGCTTACGATATAATTCATTGTAAAACAACAGTATAAAAGCCTAAAAATGTCACTTGAATGGCTGACACGCTTCAAATGTTCATGTTTCAGAAAGAAGTCGCATCAAACCCAGGCAGAATCCCAAACTGCTCCATACTCCCTAAATAGTGTGCTAAGTTTTAAAATTCTATCCTCAACAGCCAAATAGTGCATCATTTTTTGAGTGTGGATGTGGAAGAGTCCCAAAGAACTATTTCTTAGCTGTATTTTGCTCTGTTGGGTGCAGGATCCAGTATTTAATTTCCTATGTAGTGCACTATGTAGGGAGCAGGAAGCCATTTGAGATTCAACCCCAGCACGAGAAGAGGGCGCCGCTGGATTGGAGCTTAATAAGACTCGTGGTGGTAATTTGGTGACCAAAGTACTTACAAAGCGAAAGTTTTTGCTTTGAACAGTAATGCATTATCATACGTTCATTATACGAAATTTAAAACGTTTATGAAATGACCGCAGAATACAGTAACGACTGAACATTTTCATCTGCATTCAGCAGTCCATGGTTACATGGCAACGATTCCATACTTTAATGGAACTACATTTCTTGGTGGAATACTTGTTTATGTCGATTATTATTAATAATACATTATTTTCTGAAAAAAAAATGTGTTTCTTATCACATTTCACATTGGCCACCATTTTATAAAAGCAATAAGTCACTTGAGGCTGGGCATTACTGTGATTTTATCACAGGGAAGGCGAGTTTAAGAACACCATTCCCCGTGATAAAATCACAGTAACCACGGCTTTTTGTAGCTTATTGCTTTAATAAGAAACACAAAGAAGTTACCAATTGGACACTAATGATTGGTTCCAGCTGGTTCAAATATGGTTCCTATTCTGTTTCTCAACTCTAAATTTCACTTACGTTGAAAACTACTTCTAAATCTTTAAAGCTACATCTTTAAGATATGAAAATGTACAATCAAGTGTGTCCAAATGTTTGACTAGTACCATATGAAGACTAACCACTAAATCTTCTGCTTTTACATGATGACAGTCAATTTTGACTACAATGAATTCATTTATGTGTGATTACACCTAAACTCTGAACAGCTTAATTGAGGTTTTTTCCCCAATACATTGTTCTATAAATGTACTTATAAAAATAATCATAATATGTCTTAATGCTTAATATAATGATAAAATGCATTCTTCACTTTAACGCATAACACATTAAACTTCCACCTCTACCTCTACCTCTCCCTCCTGCTCCTGACTCTCTACCCCCTCCTCTAGCCTGGAGGCACTCTGATCCATTCCATCCTGCAAGAGTTCATCTCCCTCTCCTTCAGCCTGCTTCTTTATCTGGATCTCTGCATATTCTGTGTCTTCACTCTTTGGCTTTTGGGCCTCAGCCTGTCTCTTCTGTAGAAGGGAGTAGTCAATACAGGCATAGTCCACTTCTTTTGTTGCTTCTTCTCCTGCTGCCTCGTCCAATCCTAAATTCCTGTCTTCTCTTGGTGTATCCTCCTCTTCCAGTTCACCACTTCCGGTGGACTTCGCCTCTTCAGAACGCCGTTTTTGAAGTGGGGTCTGTTCATTTGCTCCTACATTGTCTGCATCAGCCTCCATAGGTCAAAAACATGAAGCAATTTGTAAGTCAACAAGGTTCCTTTTTTAACATCTTATTTAATTATTAGCTAATTAAGTCACAGCCATGACTTAATGAGGTGTAGGAACAAGATAGTTAAGTCACAGCCATGACTTAGACAGGCAATGGAATGGGATAATTAAAGCAACACTATGTAAGGTTTGGGGATTTGGAGACCTCTCTGGTGCAAATATGTAATTGCAACATTTAGAAGAACATTTAGTAACATTGGTTGTGCTTTGAAACCCCACAAGTGAATGAATCTGACTTTTGCGAGTGCATTGGAAGAGTATTCAAAGAGAACTCAAGTCAAAACTTGGGAAAGGACATGTCCTCCAAGGAAGTAAGCGAACGATCTATTATTGTCATCATATCTTCATCAGTATAAGGTTGATTTTGCATTTGAGGCCTGAACATTGAGTCAGACCTTCTTTTCAAGCCTGTGAGTATTACCTTAATACATAAAGATGTATGACGTGGTCTATAAATCTCCCAGCAAATCTGACTTTTAAATGATAATTTCAGGCTTTACAGGGTGATTCGCAGCAGCACACGCACACCTTATTTTAGTGTTTTCTTTTTTCTCCCTACTCAGTATTGCTAGATAATGCTGCTTTAAGTCTTGGCCAAGACTAAGTGAGACATGGGAACTAGAGATAATTACATTCTGATAATTAAGCTGTGGGCACATCTTGTTCACAGGCCTCTATGAGACGTGGTCATGCTTTAGGATTTCCTTTCTATGCCTTGATAAGTTGTGACTGTGCACTATTTTTGTCATGAAATTATGTCTCCAGCAGAGCTCCTATTCAGAAAATATGTTTATTTCAATAAGATTTAATCACTTCATGTCTACACGTTCTCTGCCTTCATTTAAAAAGCATTTAATATACTGTCGCTGTCCAAAGAATCATCGAAATAGAAATTTTAGAGGAGAAGGCAAAAATGTTGTTAACTTTTAATGTAAATTAATGTGGACATTTTATTATTTATCATGAAATGTTCACACAGGGTAAAGGACAGCTGTCATGGTCAAACAATAAATAGACAAAATAAAAAACAAATAAAATAGACAAAAATGGAGATGGTTTTCTTTGGACAGCAATAATGTTATGGAAGCGGTGGTTACTCTCAGGGTCATTTTTATAGTTCCTAAGTTCATTTTAAAAATTTCCATGAAATGGAAGTCTTACTTGGCTTTGCTGAATTTTAACAGTCTCCAATTTAATGTTTGCGTTTCCATCTGTTGCTTTGAGAGTTCTGCATCTGCAAGAGAACATTTGTGTGGAACTGCTATGAGCATCATTGTGTAAAAACCATATGTGATTTGTGACCCATATTTATTTTCTTTAACATGTACTTTTTTGCTAACATCTTCAATATCAGGGATCATGGTCATGGAGGACTGCTTTATAAATAGCCTATAGTAATATCTTTCATTACACACACACACAAACACACAGACACAAATGTTTGTGTATTGTCAATGTTCAAGAAAAAAAAAAAACTCCAGAGTGGAAGCTTTACAGGAGAAGGCCAAAACCTTTTTACTCTTACTGTAATTTAATTTCATGAGATGTTAGTCCAAGTTCATTTATCATGAAATTTTCACACAGCGTAAAGGGCAGCAGCTGTGGTCAAATGGTGTAGGAAGATGAACAACGTATAATAAAGTAGAGGTCTGCACAGAACCTTTATTAAGTCCCTCCCACAAGATTTCATCCCACTCCTGCAGAAAATCTGCACCATTTGACTCACTCCCACCCATAACCTAAATATGTTGTCCCGCTCCCAATTGCAGTGGTCACAACTGAAAATGACATATTAGACTTGTCTTTAGTTGGCTTTATTGTCTCATACTCCTTATTAAGAGCACTTTCCACAGCTGTGGCTGTCTGACTACCTGAAGGTTCTGCCATTTCTGTAGCCTACAAGAAAGCAGTTGATGTGTTGTTCATGTAATTAGTTGCTTTACAATTATTTAAAACAAGTTTATTAATTTTTGTTGTTTTGCTTTTAGATATTATTTATCCATGCTGAATATTATGTGATTGGTATCATATCATTTAGGTTGTTCATTAGCTTGTGGGATTTCTCCACACGTATGTGCTGTTCTACTCCCACCCCTACTGGGCTGGTAAGCCACCCACTCTGGCACATGCCTCTGAAAATTAACCCCCATTGCAAGATGCTGTAGTGGGTCCTGCAGGAATGCAAACTTTCATAACAAAGTATAATTTCTGAAGTATTTTCCACTCTTCATTATCTCTTTAGCACAAAATGTCACCATGGTGACAACAGTAAACAATCACCTGGCCTGAGGGTCACAGATCAAAATCTATAAAATCTCATCTAAAATCAGTTTTCATTTATAGAAAGTGATTAAAGAAAGTAAATTATACTTTACCTTTGGCACATGCACACACAGCACAGTACAACACAGACAATGATTGCTGTACTAGCTGCTCCTACCAAAAATGCAAGGATTGTCCTTAGGGTCACCTTGTTGTCGTCACTGTGGGCAACTTGAAGAGAAAAATATGTATTTGTTAAGTATTTTCTACTTGTATATCTAGCATTGACAACTACAGACCTTCTTGGCAACATTTAACACTGTTGTAAAAACAAAACTTGGTAGTTCAATTTTTATTGTTTTTCTTTTTTTTTTTTTTAAGAATTTCAAAATGATACCAGTTGCCTTTTTATTGTGGCACAATTTCATAATGAACAGACACATAAAAATGGTGCAAAATCGCTTGGAATAAAATCTTGTAACATTAACTTACACTGAAAGCTATGAATGTCCTTTTCCCATTTTTGGAGATTTTGCTCTGACAGCGACGATGTGCACAGTCAATACTCAGTATGATTATAAAAAAACAAATACTATGGATTCAGGTCAAGGTCAAACCAGGGTATCAGGCTAAATAAACTGCCTCACCACTTGAATAACGTACACCGCAGTTTGGGTTTCATTTACATGGGCTTCTCCTGGGCTCTTAAAAAAGAGACTGAATTATATTGGCCCTTCTTCACTTCTTTCTTTAAGCAAGAAAATGAAGTAAAGGCCACTCCTGTTGAGTATGTCTTCTCTTTGTTCTGCTTCTTTTGGATGGTTTTCTTAGCGAAGTACAGCATGTTTGAATCACAAAAGACTGCTGCTATGGTCACCATGGGGAACCTGAGTTATTCTCAGACTGGTTAAAGTATCTGGTCAGATCAACACCAGTCAGTTTGTCATTCAGTTGCAATTTTATGGTTAAATAATACTGGAATACAGGCTTTAACTAAATTTAAAATCATCTATTTACAAAGCAAGTAGGGAGGTGCTAGTTGTATTTACTCAGTTACATGTACTTAAGCTAAAATGTGTGTACTTTATTTTCTGCTTAAGTATGTTTGTGAATAAAGGAAACTTTAACTGCTTTTGAACACTTTTACTTTTCAGTCATTAACAGTTAGTTTCTAATTCCCTTTATTATGTGTAATGTCATTATGTTATGTTGATGACTTCATCTGTATTGCTTTGCATTTAGATCAGACATCTCACTTTTGAGGTCTACCAGCTTATTTTAGACAAAGAACACATCAGAAAGAGAAGAATAGTGCCTCAGTTCCTCAATAGTGCCTCACATCTCAGTTCCTATGCGCAGTAGAATCCTATGCAGAGTCCTATACCTTGACTTATTTTAACATGACTTTCAGTTTTATATTTTAACTTAAAAAAGTAAATAACCTGGTTGCCTGGAGAGAAACTCATTTGCATGACTGGAACACTACTGAATATGTTGTGGACCTTCTGATCAAACTTAGTGGGCCCTTCAGCTGACATGAAAACATAGCGAGGACATGCCTAAGGACTGTTCCTCTGAGAACTGTTTACATGTCAATTCTTTAATCATTGTAAGCAAATTACAAGTCATGTTTGCATGCTAACTCTTTGTAGCAGCTGAAATCACTTTACTAAACTGAAAATACTTGACCAAATGTCTTACCAAATTACATCAACGATGAGATTTGGAAACTACATTCAAGTATTATGTATTTTCAAGTTTACCTTAATGTCATGAGATTTTGTGTTCAGGTTCAAGTGAAATTAATAAAGTAACAAATACATTCTTATGAAGCTTATTTTGTCCACTCAAATAGCTATAAAAATACACTGCTTTGTAAGTCTTTAGGGTTGCATTAGAACAAATCAGACAAGTGCAGTTCATTGCGATGAATTACACTAATTAATGCAATTATTTGTGATAAATTCTTTGATTATCATTAATTATCATTTACAGCCCTAATGTATATACAATTCAGATACATCAGGGCTTTTTTTAATTCTGAACCTAGAGGTCCCAGTGTCCAACACAGTTTGGTGAGTTCACTGTTTAAACATGTCTGGTTCATCTCATCTGTTATTTATGAGGTTTAATGGATGTGTTTGAACAGAGAACTTATCCATTTTTAATGGACCTTCAGAACCAGAGCTGTTTTATATTATATTTGTGGTTCTTGTGCAACAGTACCTTGGGAGTTTTGATCTTTCTGTCCATCGTTCTTCCCAGTTGGACCTACAGAGTGGGCTAAAAAGAAAGTAAAGTTCTATCACTTTAAAAAGACTCAGAATATTACATTATTTTCATAACATATGAGTTTTAAGTCTAGGGTGCGTAGATGTCAGTAATGGCAATACAATAACACACTCACAGTTCAGGGTGATGTTAATAGAGGTTGTCAGATTCTTATTGAAATGCTGTACTTCACACACGTATTCCCCCACATCTTCACTGCTAACATTGGTTATGATGAGGATTTCTTGCACAGTCTTGTTCTTAGGTTCAACTCTGGTTCTTCCAAAACTCCAGGAGATTTTTAATGATGGTGGGTGACTCTCAGCACTGCAGTTCAGACTTATTGTAGCTCCTTCCTTCACTGTAGCGTTAACTGTGATTCTTGGATTTTTTATATCTTCAAAAGCCAATGTAAGAAAAAGCTTTAGACTCACATAAGGGTTATAAATCATGTTTGGTCAATAAGGACTGGTCTAAACAAATCAACACTGGCAGAACAAAGCCTTTTGTTTCCAAAATGATAACTTTAAAGGAGAAGGAATAAACATTCCTAGCATTAATGCACATTAATGGATTAGTTTAGCAAAAAATCGAACTTTCAGTTTTCCACATACCCAAATATAACTGATCAGCCAAGACATATCTGCAGGGGCAACTCAGTGCAAGAGCTAATGCCCTAGTGATTCAGGGCCTCTAATTTGTGTATTTTTAGTAGTTACATTTTTTTCCCTTCCAGCCATCCACACACATACACTAATGAGTATTTTTATACACATCACTCATCTATGCCTGTTGATTAGCTGAATTTATTCAAGACATTAGCTCTGGTGTTGATTGGTGGCACTAACGGATGTATTTGACTCGAAAGTTAGAACCAGGTACTACTAGAAAATGTATGAAATGAGCTCAAACAAAAGCTGCACACTTTTGTCTTAAAAATTCCCAAAATATTTTTTTGAGTTCACTATCCATGGAATCAACATCAGCAAGCTCACCGGTTAGCACCCATAGTCAGAATTCCATGTTAACATTTGACTGACTGGCGTCTTCTTCTGCAACAGTGTAGTTTGAGAGGGACACTAAGAAATGAGGAATTATTAAAGTTTTATTATTATTAAAGCATGAGCTGACTAACTTCACAAGCTTGCTGTTTCTAAGCTAAAAGAAAAAGTATGAAGCTAAAACTGGCTTCCTATATTTGACAGTTAACTGCTGCAGCGTTTATAGTGGTCTGGTTCAGGGTTTACAATAATGTAATAATGGAAAGATGATGGCAGTGCAGGATGTTGCTGATGGCAGCGGTGGTGGGTGTGTTGACCTTAAAACAAAGGTTTTGAATATTTGGATGCTGTGTATTGTTGGTGTGCGGTTGCCTTGTTCTGCCAACAATGTAGTCATCCAAGTGACTACATCTTTCCATGCTTACTAAATCTGATGTTATTTGTCCACATCAGCCAGGCAGGAACTCGGTTGTGGCTTGTTGAGTTATACTAATTTTATGGATTTTAACAGGCCCATAGGGCCCACGACCACCTGTAGCCCCAGGGCATGAGCAGGTTAAAGTGCCCCTGCTATCGGGTGTCAGAAGTTTGCTTCTTCAGTATAACACTGGAGTTATGTGGCTAACATTGTTATCAAAGACTCAATAGAAAATAGACACTCAAATCTTTTCTGTAAATGCATCCCCAAAACTTCTCTCAAACCTCATCCAGGTCTTCAGTAAGGTTGCACAGGTTTAGGATGGTTTGTTGTGGGTTTGTCGATGTGGTTTAGGACAGAGTATGACCAACTGTGAATTACAAAAATGAATAAAACTTAGCCGTGTGGCTAAACGTAGCCACTTTTGACATCAGACGCTGTGCCATATTCTGACTCCCCTGCAGAATCCGACTCGTTGTGCATGCACCTCACACAGGTACACGGATGCTTGATTACATTTGTTATTTCTATTGTTTTCTGAACTTATTTTTAATGTTTCATTTATAAGTATATATGTGCATTACAGTTACAAACATATAACTGCACCATCCATATGCCTGTGTGATGTGCACACAGGAAGGGGTAACTGGAATTTGGCACAACTATCTAAAGTGGCTGTGCCCAGTTTTCAGCTAGATAGTGAAGTTTTGTTAATTTTTATAGTTCACAGCAAGTCATACTGTGCTCTAAATAACACTGGCAAATCCATGTGACCTTAATGAAGACGTGGATGTGGTTTAAGCAGGCTGAGAGTAGTTTTGGGGATGTATTTAAGAAAAAGATTTGTATTGACTTCTAATGTTTCTTGGCAGCATTAGCCTCATAGCTCTAGCATTAAACTAAAGATTGGGTACCAGGAATGTCTTGGCTGATCAACTTCATCTGGGATAAATGCAAAACTGGGTAAACTGAACTATTGCTTTAATGTAACTGTTGTATTACAAAGTCATTTTTGACTATTTCTGTTAATCTATTCTTCATGAAATGTTCATATAATGTAAAAGGCGACTTTCAGTGAAAACTTCCAAGATTTTGTTCTGATAGTGATCCAAATGGTCCTTCCCTTTGTATACATTCGTAAAATAAAGGTTCCTTGGAGCAGTGCCATAATATTTTTTCATAACGAGCCTTCCAGTGGACGATATCTCATTTGTTTTGGAAAATGAGATGTGTGTGTGAAGAACCCTTTTAGAATTTAAAGAGCCTCCATTGATCCTGCTTGTGTAAAGGTTCGAGGGGTCGGCAACATGCATCTCTGGAGCCACATGCGGCTCTTTTACTGCTCTGTTGCGGCTCCACAGCAGAATTCGATTTTTAGGTAAAAATAAAATAATCCTCCTTTGCAGCAAAATAAAGCTCCACTGATCGTTCAACACAGGTTTAGCAATAAATGGTTTTAAACACTGAAGCTAATATATAACTGCTAATTCACCCTTTAACCCTGAATATTGGCACACAGATTGATGGTCACCATAGCAATGCTGAAAACAATCTCGTCTAGCTAGCAGCTAATGACAAAGCAAAGAGAGACATTTTAGACAAACATCAACAATTTGGAAACGAAATGACTTATTTGCATTCATACTGTCAAACACTAAAAAAATGCAAAAGCTGAAATCAGCTTCTCGTTCAGCAGCTTCTTGTTAGAATTTTCCTGTTCCACTTTAAATGGTGCAGCAGGGACATTCAGGTGAAATGGGAAAATTAGAAAAGGAAGCTGGTGAATGAGAACATGACTTCAGCCTTGTAAAAATTCAGATGTTGAGAAACATTTTACAAGAAATTATTTCACTTCAAAAGTAGCCAGCTGGAGATGTGAGAAAAGAGGCTATAGCTGAGCTAATATTTTTAAATTAAAATAAAAAAATTAGCCCATACTAGGACATTAGGACATAAAGAGACATATTTACAACCAAGACTGTAAAATAGACATAAAATGTTGTGGCTCCCAGGGTGGTTTGATTTTTGTTGAATGGACAAAAAGGCTGTTCTTAACATTTGTTTCGCTGACCCCTGTTCTATACAAATCAAAGTTGTTGATTTTTTCTAGCACTGTACATCTAAAACATTACACCATTTAGGAACCTTTATGTTAAGAGTGTACTTTTGCTAATATTAATAGCCATTAGAAGTAACTGTAACTCACATTGCACTACTAAAGTCTTATTTGTGTTGGTGGTAATATTCCCACAGTTCACAACACACTCGACATCAGCGTCATGCAGCTCAAATGAGGGGGTGAAGGTCAGCATCAAGGTTATGGTACCATTGCCTGGGGTCACAATCATTGTAGCACTGTCAATGCATAGACTAGTGATGTTTCGTCCCATCTTCCTCACCCTCCACGTTATTTGCGACTGAGCCCTGGGACACGGAGCTGGAGCTGAGCAGTTCAGAGTGGCCTGTTCTCCATCAGTTAGAGATGGAACATATATCTCAGGCTTCTCTGCAGAGATAAAGCAGGTCAAATAAATACTAGAAATTATTTCTTTGCATTTTTGTCTTCAAGTTTAATTAAATAAACCTGCAATATTCAGGTTTTGAAAAGTTTGCCTAAAACCATTATTAAGTAGCCCCTTACATGAATAGATCCTAACTCTCAATGACAATATCAGGGAAACAAATGGCACCCGATAAGACTCTAGTGTTTTTGTGTAAGTTACCTGTTTAACAACCCCATGATATTAAATTACATCTACATCCCTATGTTTGTTACTTGCTTGGCAACAGCAAGAGAGCATTTAATGCAGATGGAAATGTACGACATACAGTGTAATACAGGTGGCTCTGTTGAAAATTAGAGGACATTGAGTGAAAAATTAAATGGGAAAGTAATTCCTTTAATTGTGACTTTAATAGGAGGATACTGTGGTTTGTCTTTTGGTCTGAATTGGTAATAGCCTGTGTCATTACTGCTTATCAGATCAGTGATCATCGTGCAATTCTTCTTTAATGGATCTGATTTCAGAAATGTTAGCCGTCTTTTAAATTCCTCATCCTTTATCTCTGTAAATGTTGAATTCTCACAGCTTTTATCAGAACATTTATACCACAGTTCTTTATTGATTTTGTTGGTTCCAGGATCAGTAAAAGCACATGGGATGACAGCACACACACGAGGAACTGCAGTTCCCCAACGGAACTACGGGTGGCATTTAGGTTTTGCTGTTCCTCTGAAAAGAAGAAAAAGTGTAAGGACTTACTGTCAGTGAGAACCAGGGTTAGAATTGTGGAGGTCTTAGGGGTCCCCTGGTGGAAAATCTGGCTGTGAGGTGACCTTTAAATTGTTGAATAGTGTTTTCACAATATATTTTTGTGAAGTTTACCTCTGTAGTTTTTTCACAGGTTTTACTAGACAGGCATGATTTAACTTGGTGCCTGTATCAATATAAACAATATATATGTACTTGGTAGCTGTCAAAAAGACAAGACAAGCAGGTCTAATAGCCTACCTTTTCTCAGTTAATGAATTAAAATATATTCATTATGTAGTGAAAAAATGATTTAGGTTTTCTGGTCCCAAAAAACAGTAAAACTAGATTACAACGAGACAAATGGGTAAATACAGTCACATGAAGAAGTTTGAACGACCCCAGTCGAATGACGTTTTGTAGTAAAAATAAAAAAGTTAACACATCCTCCACAGGGAACAGTCTTAAATATGGCATTGTGCCACACATTTTAGTGCACAATTTCTATTTATTTGCTGAGTTTAACATATTGGGAACACATAAAATGTGCCATAACCATTTCCACAGGCCACATTGTTAAACTCAGCAATTGAACAGTAATAATACATGAAACTGTACAGAATTGTGTTCCCTGTAGAGGATGTGTTAACTTACTGTGACTTAGAGAATCAACAAAACATGTCATTTCACCCGAGGCCGATTATCACGGTCAGCTCATGTGAACATACCCCTCGAATGTTCACAAACAGCAATAAATAAAAACTCTTTGCTAATAAAATCACATCTGTTGGTCATGGCGGCTTACCGCATCTATTTTCCCTGTGTTCATGGCTGCTGCTAACTTCTTTGAATATAAAGTTTCCCAGCAATTTGAGATGAACTCAAGCTTAACTTTCTCCAGTTTTAAACCGGAGTGACGCAGATCAGTGTCCTACATTGTACAGTTACATTAGGAATTGAGCTGGGTGTGTTTACAGTTTATCCAGGGAGAGGAATCTAATGCAACATGATGAAAACTTAGAGAAGAAGACAGTCACCTCATGTGAGGGTCATGTTGTCAAAAAATTCAACTTTTAGTTAAGAAAATCCTTCAATTCAGTCAATTTTGTCTCTCTTTTAGGAGGGCCTGCCCCCCACCCCCAATTCAAACCGTGGTAAGAACAGAGCTCAGAACAACATCTATTGCATTCTCAAAGAAAAAAGTACATTTTGTGCACAGAGTTTACAAACAGCATTATGAAATATAATAAAACAGGTTGTAGTACAGAAGAGCACATACCGTGGCACGTGGCCTTTTGTAATAGCATGAGGAGCAACACGTACACTGTTATCTGTGTCCTCATCTCTCACCATTCAATTCAGCCCAAAGCCTGATCTGCACATATTGCAAATAAACATATACAAACTCATTCCCACACAGTCCATGTGTAGGTTCTACAATTTTCAAGGGTTTCATGAGAAATATTCTTAATATTACATTATAAAGTGTAGTACGTATGCTTCAGAAGAGATTTCGTCACTAGACCAGTTCCTAGAACAATACTTACACAATCTTTAGTTAACTCCATGCAGTATTTTATACACAAGAACTGTTACCTAAAGTTTGAGGCCATGATATAACAGACTAACAACTAGAGATGGCATATGAATATTGATGGTTATTGGCAACAGGCCAAAATTAGCAGAAATATTGGCAACAGAAAAAATGTAATTCAATCCAATCCTGTAACGAATCCTGAAATCCATCCACATCCATCCACATTGTATGATATGATGTTGTTAGCTGTGTGTTTCTTCCCGTGGGGTTGTTTGAGTAATTTGAGCTTGATAGCTTATTTTTTGCTGCCCGTCTTAAGTGAAGTGTGGCATTTAAAAACAGTTCAATTCAAAGCTTAGGAGTTTATAAAAAAGAAAAATCAGATCAACCAGTTTTGGTTTGGATCAGCTTCAATATTCAAGGTTTGAATATTGGCATCAATATCACAAAAGAAAAAGAGGTACCATATCATCCATACTATCAACGCCTATTGCTTCTGTAGTGTTCTGGAAGATGACAGCAGCTAACTAATCAAACACCAATGTTATATGCTATTTGCTTTCTTGTATACAGCATTTCTAGACAACAAAGACAGCCAGCTATTTAAAAAACAAACTTAAAACTTACCACTTTCTTCTTTTCACGTCTTCCTCTCCCAGGGACTCTTTGATTTTGACCACTGGTGTTTTTTGTTTTTTTTTATTATTTTGTCACAGGCTGTTTTGTTTTCACAACCCTCTTCCCACTTCCACTTTTAATGTACTTCGTACCATTTCCTTGCACAAGTTTGCTTACAACATCCTGCACAGAGCGCTCACTAGAGTGTGACACATCAGAATAACTGAACTGGCTCCTCGTTTGTATGCGCATGTTTCAGAACGAGAGCAAATCCTTTATCACCGTGGCCTTTAAGATACATACACTTGTCTCTCAACACAAAGAAGTGTGTACAGAGTCAAAGCTCATGCTTCCCCAAAAGACTAGTTTCTTTCTTACAGTTTAGAAATGGACAATATCAGGTATTAAGTATCAGCAGAACAAATGCACTTTTATTGTTTGTGAGTGACACCACACCTGAATAAGTGGCAATGCATTGAGATAAAGTTACAATATCTCTCCTGATATCGTCATGCTCAGGAATAATGCTATGAAAATGACTGCCTGCTTTATACTTACATTGATCTATATTTTGTATCTTGCATTACTGTATTTGAACAGGTGCACAGCAGTCCACGGAGCAGTGTACAGAATAGCATTATTATTTGGTCTGCGCACATAATTTGTTGAGTTTATACTGTCCATACATTTTCTATTGTGTCTATTGTGTGTAGTTGTAGTAGTTGTGATGCTTCACTTCATCCAATGATTCACACAAGCTGCAACAGGCTGCAACTACAACTAAAGCATTTTTGGATGCCTTTGGGGTTCCAGATACATTGTGTATCAGTGGGCTTAAGAGGTGCCACCAAAAGACACTCATAAACATTGCTCCACCTGACAGCAGAATGAGGAAGTGTGTCTTTTTGATTATACATACTCCAATGTACTTACAGTGTTCTCAGTCACATTCCTCTTCAACTTTTCTTTGTGTTGAAGAGGAATAGTTTTTGATAGAAAATCAAACTTTTTTCCAGTTTTCCACTTAACCCAGATGTAGTCGATCAGCCAAGACATGTTTGGAGTCCAGATTTTGCTTCATTAGTTTAGTTGCTAACAGACACTAGAACTCAATAGTCACACAGGTCACACACACTTGCTAATGTGGTTTATAGCACAGGATGACTAACTGATCTATGAAAATGAGCAAAACCTCAGGCAGCCATTTCAGGCAACACCAGGACTAGTATTCACAAAGCAGGACTGATCTTGGATCAGATTCCTCCGTATTTATGACTGTCACTATCACTAATACTGATTCTAGATCAGCACGCCTACTCCTGAAGTGGCTGGTGAATATGAATCATGTCGTGTGAAGTGACTGCCCACAGCTTAGTTTATTTTTAAAGTCCCACTGTGCTCTAAACCACATCAACAAGTCTGAGTAACCTTAATGAAGACCTGGATGTAGTTTGAGCATGTTAACGGTTTTGGGATTGTATTCTTACAGGAACAATTTGGACTATTTACATGACGATTACATTCTAGTGTTTGTTAGCAATGTTTCCTCACCACTTTAGTTCTAAACTAAAAAAGCAAAATTTAAACTCCAAACATGTCTCTGCCAATTTGATTTTTAGCTGAAAGTTTTCATTAAATTCAACCTGAAATAAGAATTGACCTTTTTTATCTTGTCATATCTTGGACATATTAAGCATGCGTCATCTTATCATACCATTAAAAAACAGGGGTCTCAAACTACCAGGCCCGTAAAGCTCCATCCAGCGCGTCACATTATAATGAATTTTCTACAGCTAAATATTTACTTCTGATAGGTTTGCTTTATCCACCTGACTTTCTGACTGGTTACCTAAGATAAGCTATACAAAATGACCTTAGGCCAATGCTTACATTCTGAAAGGAAAAATAGACCTCTGTCTGCAAGAGAAGCCATTCAGATGAAGACCCGGCACAGCATGAATACTGCACACTGAGCAGACATGGCTGTAATTTAGCTTTAACTAACTTAGCTATTATTTTAATTTAGACCAGTAGTTAATTATATCTGCCTTCATACATTTGTTCATGACAGTATTAGATATAGCACGTCAGAATTAAGAAATAAGTGTAATTATGAAATGAATCCACTGAGAATGCAGATTTAGTTTTAAAACGCTTCACTGGTGTTCAGCAGAAACATAATGGCAGCTGTCAGAAAAAGAGTCCTGTTTAATTTAACTGTTAAATGTATTAATAAATACATTGAAAAATGTTTTTCACCTACATTTTTTTCAACCAGTCCCCTTTGGAAGGTTTTCTCCCTGGTAATTTGAGTTTGAGACCCCTGATTTAAAAGATGAAAATCATGTTTCACCCCCCCACCACCTCCACCCATCATCAAGTGAAAATGCTCAGCTAGCTTAGGGACATGCCTTCCTAATATGGTATTTCACTCTGTACTGTTTTGTTTAAGCTGATAAGGCCGTTGCTGCAGGAAACGAAGAAAGTAGGAACTATTTCATCATGATAGATCACTTCTCTAGTGAACAGTTTTAGCAAAAGAATGGAGCAGCATTATCAGTATCAAAAGCCCAACATAAAATAAAGGAAGCCTTATCATGTTACATTGCTTTATGTCCTCCTAATCTAAATTTCATTCACAAGTTTAGAGACTTTTTTCAATTGACTTATCACTTCATCACTACCTACTAAATGTTTGTTTGCATTCATGATGAGCATTTTGATTGCCACACTGGCCCAGAATGTTGATTACCTGATTAAATACTCAATTAAGTAAACTTGTTTCAAATACCTGATTAAATACTGAGAGTAAGAAGAGTTTAGATATCCATATGTTTGAGAAATCATGCCCATTCCTATCACAGTTAGTGCCACTGTTACATGACACAGTCACATAAAATTGCATGCAGTAATTTTGGGATATGTTTTTATTTCCAAGTGTTAAAGTCATAAAAATGCACATAACATTGGATTCCACAGTGCTGTATATATGCAGTGAATTAGTTTAATTATAATTTATTTTTCCATTTACTATCATGTTGATTTTTTTTAGCATTTTAATATAATGCCAGTGGGGGAATCAGAGTGGGGAGAATTACTGGTGGGCCGGTAGTGTTTTTGTGATCTATGTATAAATTCATGCATGTTATTAGATAATTATAACAATTTAGCCACCTTGCTTATCTCAGTGTAGCATATAAACATCATATAAGAGTAAGAAATAAAGAAGCTGAAAATGCACAGATTTCAGAAAAGGTTATTTTGTCCAAATGCAATGCTGTGCATGTGTGTGTGTGTGTGTAGCAGGGGAAATACAGTTAGAGTTTGGGGTGGGCTGGTCTGCATCATGAAACTCCTGGTCTGAAAACAAGTCCCACTATGGCCCTGTTCTAATATATTGTATTAATGTCTTTAACATAACTTGTACATTTCATTTTAACAAAAACAATCAAAGATATACTTTCCTTCTCATTTCACTTTATTTTTTTGCTTTAAGGAAGATGGCATTGAGGATGAAAAGGTTTTTTAACAAAAAGATAACAAGCAAAACATCAAATACATGATTAGCTCTGAACAATGCTTTTTTTCATACAAAGATTGCAGAGTTCCTGTCTGAATTATTACGTAAATAAAGAAAAAAATATTTTCAACGTTATCATCGTCACACAGTCAGATGCTTACAAATGTCAATACAACAAGAGGAAAAATTAGACTGCACTAACAAAACTGTCTTGTAACGTTTATGTTTACAAATAAATAAAATATTGTGAAGCATTTGTTTGTGTTCTTAAATAAGGACAATCATTGTTACTAATTGCATATTTAATGTCATTTTGTGCTGGAAATCCTGAAAAACATTGAGCAAGTATATCGTCTTTAATGTGTTTTCAAGGATTCACAACAAAAAGCAGATACATATTTACACTTTACAGTATCCCGTTACCAACCAAGGTGCCTTTAATGAATATGAATGTAAGGTAAGTCATTCTATGTGTTACAGTGTTAGTAATATCAAGTTGTATGAGTTTTGAGATTTGAGATATGTACATACATTGTACATCAATATAACTTATTCTAATTAATCTGATACAACCTCAATAGAGTTTTTAAGAATAATAAATATACATTTACTGAAAGCACCATTGGGTAAAGTGATACTTTTCTGCATGATGCTTCTTTTTTTTGTCTAGCAATGTGTGTTTATTTAATGGTTCTCATATGACTCTTTGCTTCAGATATCTACTTCGACCTGTTGAATTGCATTCTGCTATACTGGTTGGTTTGACCTATATTTTGTTACTTCCATATCCAGTCATAGAATGTAAAGTTCTTATAACTTTCTGTCAATGTTATTTTTTTCAGAACTGTGAAAAGTTGAGGGCTGAGTCTGTTCAGCATATGAACGTAGGACAACACGTAATGATATGTCGGCAAAAGAAGGGCCGTAACAGTCCACTTCACTCAAAGTGTTAGTTTTTTCTGCCATTTGTCTTACATTTACAGTCTTAGAAAGGTCCTTGAGCCTATGACTACCTCGCTTTTTTGAAATCGTACTTCAAGCAGTCGAACATTTTCCCTCAAAGGGCCCACCATCTTTTCTAAGGACCTTTTCTAAGAGCGCATGTCATGTGTCATTTTGTCATAAGCGAACTAAAGAAGCTTCTGTTCCACTGTGAAATGGTAAAGAATAAAACAACCCAAAACTTTGACAGCTGTTCTGCTAACCATCTTCCAAGAAATTGGTTCCTGCTCAGTTGCTCACATGGGGAAACAATTTCGTTATCAGTTAATATCTGCAGTGGAAACCCAAAGACACTTAAACAATCACTTTAGGGCACAATGTCAGAGAACCACTCAATGCGTATTGCATTAAGTGTATAATCTGGTACACTTAGGAAGTGGAGGAGAAACCCTCTGGATTAGCAAAAACATTCTGTCTGCAAACCCCCAGTTGGGGGTAGTGCTAGAACATTGAGATATACTGTCTCGTTCCCTGACGCTTCGGCTTGCTGAGGACACAGTGTTGAACCACCAGTGGAAAACACCCTTAAAAATAAAGGTTCCTAAATAGTTCTTGGCTTGGTCATATGGTTAGAACGTTTACATTATGTGGAGGTTCTTCACACTTAAACATCTCATTTCCAAAAAAAAAGGTTCTTTAAATAGCCATCACTTGAAAGATTCTTTACGGAACCAAAAGTGGTTCTTCTATGGCATCACTCCAAAGAACCCTTTCTGGCACCATTTTTTTAGGAGTGTAGATCTGGGCCTTCTCAGACTAGAAGCACTGATCTAGGATCAGATTCCTCTTTTAGTTACTATGTCTTTACAGTCAGGAACAGATCCTATATCAGCACTCCTACTCTGAGAAGCTTTATGAATGTGGGCCCTGGGCTGCAACCAATCAGCATGCTTGTCCCTTGAGTTTTCAATATAATGCACTTCCAAAAAACCTTAATATGTAACTTTCACAATGGGGTCTACCGCTGAAAATCTTATATGGTTGCAGCTAAGGGCTGAAGCAGAAAACATGTCAAAACAAAAAAGGAGGAAATCTGATGAATAGGACATTGCTACAGGCAGCTCCAGCCAAAGGAATTATGGCTATGGTAAATTTGGAGTAAGTAAAAGGGGAGGGAAAAGGCTGATTTGCAAACAAATTGGGAGGAGGAATTGACATGGCCCTAGTGGCCACTATATCCCTTTTGGTCGAGGCTTCAGGGAAGGATCGCGATTCATTTGGCTTTGATCTCTGTGTAGTCACTGCCGTCATCCCCCCTCCTTAAACCTCCCTCGCGAGGGCGCCCTCGTACGAATTCCAGGGCTGCGTAGTTCAGCTCTTGCCTCTCCAGGCCTGCCATCGAGCCAACAGACTGGTAATCACCGTCGTCTCCCTGCAGATAAGCAAGGAAATTCTGCATTAATGGAAATTGACACCTGGTCAGTTTCTCTAATGTGTGCCCTTAAAACAATGATATGAGATGGCAAATTGTTAGTTAACTATAGCAAAGGCAAAGAAAGCAAGCATGATTTCTTGTTACCATAGACAATAGGCAGTCTTACTGAAGCAAGGTTACAAGTGAATGAGGCACAAAGAATCTGCTGTTTAAAGGAACAGTTTCTCACTGTTGTCTTTCTCTATTGTTTAAAGCTAGTACTCGTACTCCAATCATTGATTTGTGAGCTCGTCTTAAGTTGCAGCCTTACCGTGCTCTCCTCTAGGATGGAATTAAACTTAGAGCCCAGCAGCTCAGTCTTAAGCTGTTAAGTTAGGAGGAAGAAAAAGAGACAGAAAATGCAGAAAAGCGATGAAGGAGGAGAGAACAGTCAGGAAATGCTTTGAAGCTAAGGCCACACTATGACTCTTCATCATAAACCACCGCCCATACTTGGCATGCAAGAAAGTCTGTGATGATCTTGCGTAGATGGCAAGAACTATGTATGCTTTACCATATACAGCTGGACAAATAATTATTTACAGACAGATAAAAACCCACTGTTATTGCCTTTTCAAACTGTTAGCGAACAGCAAAATCCCAATCCTGCCATTTCGGGGCTAGATCTTAAACCACCAACACAGACAACAAACACATCTTTTCCTAGTGATATTCTCTTTGCTCCTAGTATTATTACATGTAGGGTTTGGATTTGTAGATTTCTGTAAGTACAATAATAATGTATGGTATTCCGTAGTCTATTCACAATGGGAGCTGGATCACTACACAGTCCTCTTTCGGTGTATGTAATAGAGGTTTAATGGTGGTGATTGGTAGAATGTGATTATCTTTACGCAGTGATTGCATAGCATCTAACAACCCCAAGACATCAGCAAAAACCACTGTAATCACAACCGCACATGTGAAAATGGTATTATAATAGTATATATGTCATTCATTAGCATAATATCTCACCACTTTTTTCCTGAGACTTTGTTTGTCCTTCTTGACTGCGCTGTAGAACATGGAGGGATTCTCCACTTTAGATCCCACGTCCTGCCCAGGGTTGCCATTCTCTCTGGAGGGTGGAGTCAGAGGATCAGACTCTGTCTCACACGGAATGACGCTACTGACTAGCTCAGGGCAACACTGTAAGCCTGGGCATCCATTTTAATAAAAAGGGATCGCTTTCGCCTCCCTAACCAAGAGGCTATTGCGATATAATTGCTTTTTCGATGGATCTGTAATTTTCTCCATTGGGAAAAACAAAATAGTGGTTGGATGTTTGCTGAAACACTTGAGGTTAATTGGCTTTGCTTTGCATAGCTTAGCGGTTTGAGGCTAGAAAGCAATGGAGGGGCAATAGAGTCTGTCTTGTTAGTCTGGTCATCTGGAATCCACATGTCATATTGTTTCCCTATTCATTGCATGGATACCATCTTACCATTTGATCCAATTGTTTCATCTGTGGATGGGTTATGGCTTTTATAGCAAATGCCAAAAGAAACACATTTGAGAATGGATGACTAGGCTTGGGTGTTTCCTTGTTTTCCCTCTTTCCCCAGCTCTGTCCCATAGGTATCACAGGTTACTCACTTTTTGTTGTTTTGGCCCACGTATCTTACAGCTGCAATGATAAAAGCGATGACTGCCACTCCTCCAATGGTTCCCACTATCACAGCCATCATGTACTTTTCTGAAACATGACATAAACTTCTCTGAATTAGAAGAATTTCAATATCTTCAATTTTCCACATATCAAAGATTTGAGCACTAAAGTTTATGTCAGTAGTGTAGTGGATTTCTTGATTTGGATAATTTGAGTAGAACATTTTAGTAGTAAACTTGTACATACTACCAATTGCAGTTTTCTTTTTAACTATAGGTTAGACACATATCACATTAAAAGAACTTACATAGAGTGTTTTGTCAATAAAATGAAGTAAATCTCCCTAATTCATGTTATATTATTCAATAACAGTAACCCCCAAGCTGGCCTTAAACATATCATCTTAAAAAAAACATTTTCCATTTATCTAATAGTCAATAGTCACCCAAATGTTTTCTGTGAATACATGCTCAAAACTTCTCTCATCTCACTTAAACCACATTCAGGTCTACGTTAATGCCTTGTGGACTTGCGATGTGGTTTAGGACAGGGTTTTTCAACCTGTGGACTGCGGACCACCAGCGGGCTGTGAAGCACCTTCTAATGGTCCGTGGGCCTGTACTCAGGAGGAGTAGTTCATATTGGGCTGGTAATGTCACTTTAAGTGATAAAACCAAAAGTGGAAAAAAATTAACTTAATAATTAAAATCTAAGCATCAAATTATGACTGATATAAATGTTAATAAAACATCACAGTAGCAGGCTGATTAAATGTCATCATTTTGAGACAGACAGCTAGCCAGAGATGGAGAAGTTTCTCAGGGTGCTTTTACACTTTCCTTGTTTGGTGTGGACTTATCACACCTTTTTTCTTTAGCTCACTCTATTTTGATATGTGTAAACACTCCACTCGTATTCAGGGCTACAACAGACAGCTGAACTGTGTTCTGGCAAAATCCGCGGGTCTCGGTCCAAACGAACACTGTTTAGTTCAGTGCTGGTGGGAAGGCATTCTTTGAATTCAACAGAGCTGGCTTTCCTTTTCTAGCAGCACGTCGGTGTGTACTGTCACCATAATCTGCCTGTCTCCATGTCTGACTTTTTACAGACTCCCAGCACAAGCTGCTGTTAAAAACGACAGACAAGCCATACGATAATTGTGAAGAGATGCGTTTGATTCCAACGCACGGATCATAGGCCACATCTACCTCATACATTTCTATTCTTACCCCCCTCCCCTTTTAATATCACTACAGCCATTTGTTTATTTAACATGTTATTTTTTTTTAACATATCTGCAAATTTTTCCAGTGTTAAGAAAAGAAAAAAGAAAATTGTATTAAAAGAGTTGATTTTAGTTTTCCTATGCTTTGTAGTTATGAACAAGTGGGCCTTGGGGTGGAAACGGTTGAGAACCGCTGGTTTAGGACTCAGAATGACTGACTGTGAACTATTAAAATTAACAAAACTTTTCTGTGTAGCAGAATGCAGCAGGTTGCAACTTTTGACAACAAATGTTTTGCTGAATTCTGTGCAACTTTAATGAAGACCTTGATGTGGCTTGAGTGGGTTGAGAGACGTTTTGGGGGTGAATTTATGGAAAAGATTTGGGCATCTATTGACTTATAGTGTTTGTTAGCAACATTAGCCTTAAAGCTCCAGGTTGAAACTTAAGAATCTGGACATTAAACATGTCTGATCAACTACATCTTGATTTTTCACTGAAACACTCCTTGAAAGCTGGCTTATGAACTCACTCTCTTGCTGCAGCTCTAGCCGGATAGTCTTATTGCCATATATGTTGCTGATGCTACAGTGCACATGAACAGCTGTGCCACCATTGTTCCCCCTTTCCCCCTTTTCCCGCAGTTTGATCATGCCAGTCGACGTGTAGCCATCTGAATGTGTGTAGTAGTTAAATCGGCCATTTGTCTCATTAATGGTGATGTTGAGGTCAGGCAGGTAGAACTCAATGGAGGGCTCAGGGTTCCCTGATGCCATGCAGACACACTGTACTCCCTCTCGTACTATAGTGCACTTGGAATCTTCCAGTAGAATGGGGGCAACTGCAGAGACAAAGGGAAAATATATGAAATATATTTACTTGTTCATATTTATCTACTTCCAGTTGGATCTTTCTACTCTCAAACACTTAAAGATAATGGATGTTTCTTTATGAAACCCAGTCTGCATTAAAGATTTATTGCTCAGGAGAGATTGGGCCTAGATGCTCAAAGCTTCCCTAAAAACCTAAGAATAATCTAAGCTTTGAATAAAGCTTTGCTCACTAGACGTTCCTTAGAAGATTCTCAAAAGTAACTACACACTTAATGAAAGTCATAAGCAAAGGTTTAGACAGCCCCAGTCTAATAATATTTTTTAATTAATATGCTATTGCTGGGCGGCACGGTGGCGCAGTGGGTAGCGCTGTCGCCTCACAGCAAGAATGGCCTGGGTTCGATTCCCGGCCGGGTGACCAGGGTCATTTCTGTGTGGAGATTGCCTGTTCTCCCCGTGTCTGCGTGGGTTTCCTCCCACAGTCCCAAAAAAAACATGCAGTCAGGCCAATTGGACATGCTAAAATTGCCCCTAGGTGTGAGTGTGTGTGTGACTGTGTATGTCTGTTTGTCTGCCCTGCGATGGACTGGCGACCTGTCCAGGGTGTATCCTGCCTTCCGCCCAATGACAGCTGGGATAGGCTCCAGCACCCCACCGCGACCCAGTAGGATAAGCGGTTTAGATGATGTATGTATGTATGCTATTGCTGGTGATAACAGAATACTTAATCTTAATCTCCAGTCTTTTTCTAACACTTCCAGCTCAGTTAGTTATGAAGTTACGAAGTTATCTTACACTCCACAGTGACGTTTACAGAGCTGCTGGCACGGCCATGTTCGTTCTCGGCCAGGCAGCGGTAAGTGCCATCGACCTGCGGCGTGATCTCCAGCAGTTCCAGTATGGACACCTCATCAGCTGTTATAGTTCCCACCAACTCCCCATCCTTTAGCCAGGTAAGTGTGGGTGCAGGACTGCCCTGAGTGGTGCAGTGGAGAGCTAGAGAGGAGCCCTCCTGCACCGTCAGAGAACCATTCACCCATGGCTCCCTCGGGGGATCTATGAACACCAACAAACCACACAAATGTGTATCAGAAACAGTTAAATCACAGAGCCAATGGGTTTTTTTCTGAAATATTTAGTTGGAGCATCTAGAGATCAAGACTAGAATTATGAATGGGTGTGTGAAATGTATGTTTGATTAATGGATAGACAGTGGTGTGCAAATTAAAGGAATGAAGGACCATTAAAAAGGGAACAAACAGACTTACACTTTACAGCCAGATACATTGAGGTGTTCATGATTCCATAGCCATTGTCCCCAACACAGGTGTATACGCCCTCCTTCTCAGGAGTCAGAGACTCCAGATAAAGCGAAGCATTTGAGGCGGTGTCTGACATCAACTCTTCATCTCCAAAAAGCCAGGAAATCCGTGGCACAGGGTTGCTGTCCACATCGCAGTGCAGTATAACCGAACTTCCCTCCATGACCTCCTGGGATACGTTCACCCACACTGTGCGAGGGGGATCTACAGGGAAAGAGAAAATCAGACAGAATATGGAATACATGGGCAGTTTTTTGACATATTTCACTGAAAATTCTTGTTTATTCAGCCAGGGAGGGTGAAGACTGCAGGTGTTTGCTCTAAGACAACTGAATCCTTCCATATTCTCAAAATCTCCCAAGTTTCTTAAACATGCTTTAAGTAGAATACTAATGAGTTGACTATGTGATTACATAGATGCTCTGACTGAATCAGCATGCACAACATAGTAATCTATGCCATTCAGTTCATCTGCCTGGGATCTGGGCCATCTGGATTACCCTAAACGTCCAGCTGCAGGTGGAATACAGCACAGATGGGATTTTCAGAGCTGTGCCTTACCTGCTCAGTGGTTTGGCATGAGTAAGAACAATGCTAAGTCTGCTAAAATCTACTGCCAATAGGGGTGGACTGATCAACGCTTAGTGAGACTGATTCAATTTCCAGTTTTCTGGCTTGTGACTGAAGATTGGTTGGTGTAGCTTCCTCCACTTCATTAGCTCTGATACTGTACTCAATTGGATGATGTCGTATCAGATTATTGCAAAAAACATTTTTTTTTCTGTATCAGATATTTCAAAAGCAGCCAAACTGAAGACATGTTCTCATTCCAGCACATGTGACATTAATTTGGCCCACATATTTCAGCAGATCGGCACTTATTCATTGACCAGATGGAAGGAGCATCGTCTGGTCGGCTGGTCTCTGGTCACATATTCAATACAGAAATATTTTAATCACTGAAATTTTTAAAATCTTTTGGATCTGTAGTCAATTGATCCTTCCATCCTGAATTAGCAGTACCCTGATCAAGGTCAAGAGCTGTGTCTATCTTTGAATTGTGGTTCTATAATGGTTCTATATAGAACCATGAAGAAATGGTTCTTCAGATTGATGGAGAATGTGCTGTGGATGGTTCTATATTGAACCTACACACACACACACACACATACTATGTGTATACATATATATATATATATATTTATGTGTGTGTGTGTGTGTATATATATATATATATATATATATATATATATTCAAAAAGGTCCATATACAACATTTTCCATCAATCTGAAGAACCATTCACGCAAAGGGTTCTTTCAGTGTTCATGGTTCTACAAGAACTATTTTCTTTACTAAAGAACTTTTGAAGAACCATCTGTTTTAGTGTGTAGGGCTGCCAAAATGTACTTTACAGGCTTTGAATATACATTCATATTTCTGAACTCATAGTACTCATTCTCGATTTCACCCTTGAAAATCATTATGTAAGCCTATTTTGGCATTCAAATTATTCAGGCAACCCCTAATTAGAAGTTGTGCTAATGCTTTAAATGACTTACACTTGATGTCCAGAGAGATGAGGCGCTCGTAGACAAAGCTTGTGTTGGGGTAGTGAACCCTGCAGCCCAGCAGCTGGCCATTATGAATAGGTCTTGGCGTGAAGGTGAGCGTGCTGGCCAGCACTGCAGTGTTGCTGTCCTCCACATAGTCTGAGGTGAAGAGAGGCTCAGGCAGGTAGTCTGTGTACATCCAGTGGATCTCTGGGATCATGTCTGGGCAGTTGTCCGGCGCATAGCATGTCAAGTCCAAGCTCATATCACTGATGATCTCTGCTGGCACGTCAATGTTGGGCTGATCTAAGAAAGAAGCAGAGGTCTCAGATGCTAATTTGATTTGTTTATGTTAGTTCAGGCATCACTTTTCATTTTCCATAAAAAAGACATATCTTACTTTACCAAGTTCAAGCCTGTTTCCCAAAGTGAGCATTAAGCAGTCGGCTACAAGAATACAGTGTTATTGCAAATAACAGATCATCACAGTCATGATGTTATTCACAATAACACACAACACTGAGTGTTCTATTGCTTTTATACACTTTTATACACACAATAATATACTAAAGTGGCAAATTAAAGTCACTTTGGCAGTTCCCCTCTTGTCACTGGAGTGGTACAAAAGTGGTACAAAAGTGTTCAAGGGTACAAAAAAAGTAGTTCCAACCAATGGAACTCTCAGGGCTTTCTTCAATTTCCTCCCCAATGATTTTCAGCAACTTAAAAAATACATCTGTAGTTTTTGTTAATTTTTATTTAACAGAATCTTTGTGTTTGTTGCATTTAAACTCTGTAACTATTGTACTAATACTCTTAATTCATTGTCAAGTTTTTATCTGAAACAAAAGGTTTTTTTATTTTGCCATGCCCAAAAATTTTCATGTTTCATCCTAGTGCTATTTAGGTAAATACAGGCAGCCAAGCTAACTTCCATTGGTTAGGCCTTAAAGACTGTACATATGATTTCCAGTGGGTGGGACCAAATATGTGAGAGCAACATCACTCTAAGAGGCTGTTATGCACCCAGGATCAACATGCATTTTTTCATTAGATCACATTTAATGCACATGAATGCATTTTATATATCTGCACACAATTACATAAGTGGATATTCCTCAATTTCAAAAGCAATTACAGCAGCTGAACAAAGTCTTCTCTTCGGGTATCAACGCATGAGAAACCATGTTTACAGTAGGTAAGCAAAAGTAAAACTAAAATAATATAATATGCTTTTTACACAACCAGGTAAGGTCAGGTCTCATCTTTTCACATTGAAAAGCATAAATGGAAACTGGCCAAAATGTGCCAGACCTGGACATGAAACACATATTAATGCAAGGTGTAAACAGTCTTTATGTCTTCTCGAAAGCCACTGATTGTGAACATTAGCAGTAGCCTAACCAATGGGTTACAGTAGTTATATATATTCAACACAGTTGCAGCTCTTTACTAAGAGAGTCACTGCTGTAAAACCACGACATGCAAGGTAAAATATATGCTAATGTCTGTTACGAACATCAAATAAAACATATGGAATGTATTTTACAATGTCTCTTTAATCTAGAATGGCCAAAAAATGTTCATGTGCACCAGCATTAGCTTGTATTAACATACTATAAGAAATCCCATGGGGTGCTTGTCGAAATTAGCATTACAGTAAAGTTCCAACAGATTAGAGCAGGAGTTCACTTTTCTACACAAAGTTGATGTGACTACAGGTATTAATTCCAAAAAAGCAGGAGAACACATGATCAATTGTTTGAAGACTAAGACCAACTGATTTGATGAGCAGAATCAAGTGTGCTCTAGCTTGTTTAGAATTAAAAAACACACAGCCACGCCAGCCCTGTGTGGATAAGATTGGACACCCCTGCTTTACAGTAACCTTTGCTGGTTCTTATCAAGTGTTGATTTGCCAAGTTAACAAAGTAATACAAATACAAAACAACACAGGTACAGCCCTTTTGAGCCAATCAGATTATGTGGTCAGAACAAACCACTGTATAATTTACAGTAAACATTCTAAGCCATAATCGACAGCCTGTCGTGTTCTAGTTAGAGGACTTACCCAAGACTTTGAGCTCAGTGAAATCTGGGTAGGTGTAGATGTTTGCTCCTCCTAGATCTGCTCTGAAGTAGTACCTCCCTGAATGTTCAGTTCCAACATTGTTGATCTGCAATGTGCAGTTTTTCTGCGATAAGTCACCCAGGAGCTTGGTCCGCCCTTTGTAGCTTTCATGCACAATTTCCGTGCGAGACTTATAAACCACTGGAGGGAAGAGTTGTGGGTATGGCTGGCCAAAGTACCAGATACCATGGGTGCCTCGGTAAGGCCTGACACCAGAGGGGTATGTGAACGTGCATGGAATCACCACACAAGAGTTAGTCATGGCTGAAATATCCCTGGGCATCCATACAGTCCACTGAGTACTTATATCTGTAAGAAAAGAGAAAGAGCTTAAATGAAAATGTTCTTCTCACTTCTCCACTGGCTCCATATGCTACAGTCCACAGCAAATAAAGAAACAGGTAAGTTTATTACCTCTTACAAGCAGCAGTAAGGGCAGCAGCAGCAGTTCCAAGCACTTCATGATCTTAGTTTATTGTAGGACCATTAACCTTAAAACATTTCAGGGTATATTTATTAGTCATCAAAGCACAAATGAAGCGAAATTTTACATATATGCTTGAGATCATTTTGGACACTATAAAAAATGTACACTGTACAATGGATAAATGGCAGGTATAAATAAATATTCATAAATATTTTCTAATAGTCTGGGCCACATCGCACAGCAACATCATACTAACATCCCCCTTTAATGATGACCTTAGGTTAGGTTATAACTACCAAGCTAACATAAGATCACTGAGTCTAGTGTTTACATTGAAAGATTCATCTACAACCCCATTTCCAAAAAAGTTGGGACGCTGTGCAAAATGTAAATAAAAGCAAACTGCAATGATATGCAAATCATCATAGGACATGCAAGTCCTATATTTCATAGAAAATAGTATAAAGACAACATACCAAATGTTGAAACTGAGAAATGGTATTATGTTTTGAAAAATATATGCCCATTTTGAATTTGATGCCTACAACATGTTCCAAAATTCCAGTCTTTCAGAAGTAAAGATGAGGAGGGGTTTCACCACTCTGTGAAAGACGGCATGATCAAATAGTGCAACAATTCAAGAATAATGTTTCTCAACATAAAATTGCAAAGAACTTTTGCTTTTCATCATCTATGGTATATAATAACATTAGAAGATTCAGAGAATCTGGAGAAATCTCTGTATGTAAGGGACAAGGCCAAAAACCAGTATTTGCTGGCTGTGATCTTTGGGCACTGCATTAAAAACAGACATGATTCTGTAGTGGAAATCACTGCATGGGCTCAGAAACACTTCTGAAAAACACTGTCTATGAAAACAGTTCGTTGCTGCATCCACAAATGCAAGTTAAAACACTAAAACGCAAAGAAGAAACCACATTTAAACAAGATCCAGAAACGCTGCCACCTTCTCTGGGCCCAAGCTCATTTAAAATGTACTGAGGGTAAGCGGAAAACTGTTCTGTGGTCCGACAAAACAACATTTGAATTTTTTTTGGATATCATGGACATTGTGTCCTCCGGGCTAAAGACCACTCAGCTTTTTATCACTGCACAGTTCAAAAGCCAGTATTCATGATGGTATAGTGGGGAATTAGTGCAAATGGCATGGGTGATGTGCACATCTGTGAAGGCACCATTAATGCTGAACAATATGCACATGTTTTGGCAACATATACTGCCATCCAGATGACGTCTTTTTCAGGGAAGGCCTTGATTATTTCAGCAAGACAATGTCAAACCACATCCTGCATGTATTACAACAGCATTGCTCCGTATTAAAAGAATCCGGGTGCTTAAATGGCCTGTCTGCTGTCCAGACCTGTCACCACTGAAAACATTTGGTGCATTATGAAATGAAAAATATGACAAAGGAGACCCTGAACCGTTGAGCAACTGAAATCCAATATCAAACAAGAATGAGTAAACATTTCACTTTCAAAACTACAGCAGTTTCCCCAGTACCCAAACGCTTACAGTGTTGTTAAAAGAAGAGGTGATGAAACACAGTGATAAACATGCCCCCATCCCATCTTTTTTGGAATGTGTTGTTGGCATCAAATACAAAATGAGCATATTCTTTTCAAAAAACAACAAAATTTCAACATTTGATATGTTGTCTTTGTAGTATTTTCATTTAAAAATATGGTTTATATGATTTGCATATCATTGCATTCTATTTTTATTTACATTCTGCACAGCGTCCCAACTTGGAAATGGGGTTGTAGTATCAGCACAGAATGCTGAATTAATTATTACACAAAACATAAGAATATAACTTTTGACATGATTAACTTGTTAGTCAACGTGTAAAAATCATCACAGTAATTTCACAGAGTCCATGACTATACTCGGAATGCCCCCTGTTTGTTTGGGGGCAATAGCAACAAACTTATAGGTAAGGTAAAGCAGATAAAATGGAAATAAACCCAGATTTATACATCTTCTTTGACATGTTTTTGAATGAAAACAGTACAAAGACAAGATATGGAATGTTTTACCTTATGAACCTCATTTGTTAATATATGCTCATTCTAAAATTGATAGCTGCAACATGTTTCAAAAAGTTGGGGAAAGGGGAAATGTGAGACTAGATACATTATGAATTAATAAAAAACAGGTGATGCAATCATGGTTTGGTATAAATGGAGCATCAAGCAAAGGCCTAGTTCTTTATCAGCCAACAGAAGAATGGCAAAAAAATCCCCTTTCAAACTAGATCATTTTTTATCTTCAGGCCATAAATGATTATTGAGTGTTGTTAAGTGGAAAGGTGATGTACACAGTAGTAAATAAGCTCCTGATCCAACGTTTTTGGAATGTGATGCAGCCATCAAATTTGGAATGGGTGTATATGTACCAATAAAATTAAGTTCATAAGGAAAAACGTAAAATATTGTACTTTTGTTCCAATTTTAATTAAGTACAGGTCATATAGAATGTACTAATAACTGCTTTTGGCATTTCATATAGCATCCCAACTTTTGTTGGTTTTGGGTTTGTATATAATAATAATATAGTACTGTAATTTAGGTATTGAAAACTTATTAACATTTAAAATGATTCTAATATGCTTCTCCTCTTCACAGGTTTGGAACATAAGAAGCTAATGAGCTGTTAAAAAAGCTTCAAAATGAGCTCCAGATTCTGCTGCATCCACAGTAAAGTTATCATGAAATTAATGTCCAGAATGTCTTGCATTTCAAAGTGTCACATCTCTGGCCTGGACTCTTCAGGCCTACTGATTACCGTCTCTGCCCTCCCTTTCATTACACTCACAGCTGCAGATCATTAGCTCTTTCCTTTTTAAAGCCTCAGTCAGACTTTCAGACTGTTTGTTTGTTGATTCTGGTTTGTGGATTTATTAAACTGCCTGTACTTGCATCCAGCATCTCTTCTGCTTTTGTAACACAAAAGTAGTGAAAAAATCCTGTGGCAGATCATTTTACAAAAACACTATGGCAAACAGAGCATTACAGTATGTTATCTATCATTTAATAACTTCATGATGTTTCCAAAATAATTATTTATGAATAAAAATGTTGAATAAAACATCTAAAAATGTTAGAGTCTAGTTTAATATTGAATTCAACATTGGAAAAGTTATTGCATATAAATAAAATAAAATTAGGAATTACAAAATGCACAAGTGATTCCCAACTTTTGAGTGATTGTGAATTTTTATTAGCACTGCGTAGTTCTTTGATGAAGTGTTTTCTGCCTTTTGCTTATTTGTTCACAATTTTAAGTCACATTGATGAAAACCACCTTGAACTGCTGGTTGAGAGTCAGACAGGCACTGACTTTATTCCCTCTCTCGTGCGCTCACTGTGGTACTCTCTCACTATAGTTCAGCTCAGCTGCCTTTATGACCGCTCTACAAAAAGACAACAGAAAAGTCAGACACAGGATCAACCAATGACATTAGCTTTACTCCGAGCAGAAAACACATACTCACTCACAGACACACACACACATACATCAGACAGTCCGCACCTGCTTCCTACAGAGCTGCAGTGTGTGGGAGAACAGAATTGCTCATTATAATGGCACAACGTCAGCCTCTGCGTCTCTGACACAAATACTGGTGGCACTGTTTGGTAAAATGACACATCATTCAGAGGTCATCAGCCAGAGCGGCACGGCGTCACCAACTGCTTCTGTTTATTTTACTTATGGGCTGAGGAGGCATGCTGTCAGAGTGAGTCCCCCGGTTTATGTCATGCATTTTCTTTTTTCTTTCTTACTCTGTCTCTCAGTCTATTTCTCTATCCCACCCTCTCTCCTTTCTTTCTTTCTTTCTTTCTTTCTTTCTTTCTTTCTTTCTCTTTCTTTCTTTCTTTCTTTCTCTCTCTCTCTCTTTCTCACTGATTTTCTCTGTGTCACAAGCACACGCACTCTTTAAGCACCCTTAAGAGCAGACGGGGGCCACAGATGGTGGGCCTTGGAATGGATTGTAGAAGAAATCTCTCCGATTACCATGTTTTAAAACTCCCGTCAAGATCAAACGCCTTATGCACTGATGAAAATGGAGAACTTTTGTTCATTTTTGGAAGGGAAAGAAGGGTACAAAGCTTGCTTGTCATTCCCTTACAAATAGTTACATACTGCGCTGAAATAGCCACTTCATCACAGACAAGCTGACCGGAGTTCATAAGCCAGATACACAGGACACATACAAAAGGATCCAGACACCCCTTCTATGTATCGAACTGAGTTACTTTAATATTACATAAAAACTTGACACATTTACATATATCCACTTATTCAGCATACAGCACTTAAGCTCCACCCATTTAAATTGACATTATAAGAAGTGTTTCAGCCTGGACTGCATTTTGAATGAGGCACAATACAGGGTAGTCAATCAGAATAGACCTCATTTACATGTTTCAGTCATTAAGGCATAGTGACAAAAACAGCCTGTTTAATTCTCGGGCAGTGGTTCCCCACCCAATCCACAGGACCCTCCAGACAGCTGACATTTTTCCTTCATCCCTATATGTTGCAAATTGGGTTGGAGCAAAAATGTGAACCCACTATTCTAGGATAAAGAGAGGCTGGAAAATGGTAATGTAAGGAAATTTTCGTACATACATCCACAAAAATGGCAAAAATAGAATTTTAAAAAGCTGCACCCGTTGCTGACACAGGTGTTCAACTGTGCAAATAAAGTTGGGTAAAATCTCCAGAGAAAGCCCTGATCAATGGAATGGGATACTTTGCAGCAGCTACACATGAGCCAAATATCACCATGTCCAATGCTAAGCATCAGATAGAGAGGTATAATGCCCCCAGCACTGGGCTGTAGAGCAGTGGAAATGCAGTGTCTGGAGGACCGTCCAGTATGCTGGGAGGAGATGGAATGGAGGTCCAGCATTGGTATCTGACCTCACGAATGCTCTTGTGGCTGAAAGCAATCAAATCTTATAATAACAAACTCCCTATGAATACCATTGATTTACGAACAAACGTCAGATGAGCAGGTGACCACAAACTTTTGAACATATAGCGTATGTAGACCGGGGTGTCCAATCTTATCTGCAAAGGGTCGGTGTAGCTGCAGATCTTCAGTCCAAACATGCTCAAATATTTGAGGACTGAGATGAACTGATTGAACAAGTGGAATCAGGTGTGTTCAAGCTTGTTTGGCTTACCTTGGCCATAGAATCTACCATAAACATTCTGAACAAGGCTGAAAATCCCAGGCCTTTGAAAGACCAAGACATGCCAAGACCAATATAGAACAGGTATTGTTCTAGGATAATCCTTTACTACCTAGTATGAAACCTTTACATTATGTTGTGGTTCTTTAAACTGTAAAAGATCTTCATGCTCATACATCACATTTGCAAATATTATTCGTTTTCTTCATCCTTTGAAAGTTTAGTTATGCAACCAAAAGTGGATCTTCTGTGGCCTCCATGCAAAGAACCCTAAAGGGCACCTTTATTTATGAAATCATTTGGCTGAAATTAAAATACTATTAATTTCTATTCCTGTAAGTTACAATTACTTCTTAAAACCAGTTCATGGAAGCAGTGCAAACTCCATGCATCATACCTACGAAGATCTAAACAGCAGACAGCTACAACCGAGAGAAAACATTAGTGTAGTTCAGGCAGTGAGACAATGCCCCAGCAAAACAAACAGAGCATTCATAGCAGACAAACAAGTCTCTCACATCATGACCAAAGCACTTGCCTCATACCAGCTCCAGCTCCCTGCTCTGCCCTGGCCTTCTGAAGGCTAAAGCACGGCTCTTCCAGCTCCGCTTCTCCAAAAGCCCCACTGCTGAAGGACAGGGACAGAGAAAGAAAGAGGGAGACAAAGAGATGGACAGGGAAAGATAGGGAGAGCATAAAGGGTGCATTAGCTGCGGACTTGTGTGAATGCATATCGTGGGCAGTAGTGAATATGCAGATATTTCTCTCCATGCTTCAAACCCACACCAGACATTCCACTCCGTGCTGTCTGTCAATCCACTCTGCCCATTAATGCCTCCTCAAAGCAGCCTTCCTGGGTAAGACTCGGGCCTACACCACTTTGCTCTTCATATACAAGCTCTACAGTGGTAAAAGGATCAGCACACACTGTAACACACTTTAAAATGTTTTAATCAACTTCATTTTAAAAATTCGGATCTCTTACACTCTAAATAAACAAAGGTTCCACAAAGGGTTTTTTATGTGAAGCACCATTTTTGATTCCCTAAAGAATCTTTCAATCCATGGTTCTTTAAATATCCATTTTTGTAAATGAGATGTGTGAGTGAAGAACTTTTTTAAAGCTTAAAGAGCTTCCAAATAATGTAAAGATTATAAGAAGAACCCTTGAATTGTTACATTGTGTGAAGGTGTCTAAAGCCCTTCAAAACTTCTTCACACTAACAAATCTCTTTTCCACACACTGGGCCTTGTCCACCAACCATTCTTTAGAAACAAATTCTTGTTAAAACCCACTTACACAGTTTTCACGAAGATTCTGACATTCACCAATGTTTTAAGTAAGAACAGAATCTACACACACTCAAAAGCATAAAGGGGCCAACAATTCTGTGGTTTAAGTACACGTCATGAATCTGATTTTTTGAATAGAATTTTTCTTAGGACATTTCTCAAGAACGTATTTCAGAAAAAATAGGAAGATATTGGTGAATGAGGCCCATTGTTCTTTATAAAACCAAAAGGGGTTCTTCTAAGGCATCCCTCAAAGAACCCACCTTCTTATAACAGTGTAGACTGAATAACAATAACAGTAACAATAACACTAAGTCACTTAAGTCACTTCAAAATGTATATTGTCTCTATATTTTGTGCATATCTTGTGTATATTTTGTGTATATTTAATATATTTCAGTTTGTTTTTCTCATATTTTTATTTTTACTTATTTGCTTTCTGCAGAGTGACTACCTGAGCCTCACCACAAGCATTTCAATGCATAAATGTCCTGACATGTTGTGCAAATCACAAATAAACTTGAAACTTGATAAATGGTTCCTGTTCTGCTTATAAAGGTGCTGCATGGTGTTGGATGTGGACTTTGGTAATGTATGTCGTTGTGATGTTCATGCATTAACACTATTTTTAATTGAATACCTTTTGTATAAGGCTGGAAGAATGTGTGGACTATTATAATAAATTGGGGTCCCCTAAAAAAGGATGAATACGAGCTTAAATTAAAATATCAACAATGCTGAATTCTTTTATTTAATCATGTGCATGTCTTTAGTCACAGTAGGCTGAAAAACTGTGGTAGGAGTGTGGGCTGTGGTTTTCTTACTTTAGTTCTGAGTTTAAACTCCTCAAACCTGAAGAAACTCAACCTAAATCAGAGGAACATAGGACTAAATATACTATACTAAAACTCAGAAGACATGTAGGCTCACTGGTGCTTTTGGATAGCTATATTTGCATTGTAGACATTGTGAGTCCTGGTTTCTATCACCACCACTAAAGAAATCAGAGTTGTTACATTTCTCTGCAATGCACCAATTTACATCAAACCACTCTCAATGACAGTGTTTAAATCTTAACCATTGAATTCTGTTGAATTTGTTTTAAAAACTCGATTGAATTCTACTTCTCTGTGATCAGAACATCCTGAGCAGAGGCCAAAAAGTGAACAACCATATGTGGTAAAGATGGAAGGCGATCAGTCAGAGTGAAAGTACAACAGGGAGCCTGTGCAAGTTCATGACACACAACATGCCACGGCAACCCCACACAGGGAAAAGTCCCTCCCACACAGACATTGCAGCACACAGCTCTATGAGGCTGTTTTTGCAACAAAGCAGCAACATGACCTTTTCCAATGACGCTTATCTGTCTGTCACTGAATGAAAGAGAGCCTAACCTTGACCACCAAACACGTGAGCAACTCCCAAGCTTGAACCATCCAATCAGAAGCAACTGTGCCCCTATATGAAGCAGCATGACTGTACAGTGGGGTGCAACTTCATCTCAGTCAAGGGTACAATACTTTTAATAAGATATTATGCATGGCATAATACATAATACAGACATCAACATGCCCTTTGGTGTGAAGGCCTCATTTAAAAGCAGGGCTCAATTTAATATCTGTGCTATGAATGTTTGTTTTGTGTTAAAAAGAATATAAGGATTTTTCCAGAACAGGTCCATGCACAGCTTGCTTTGCTGTTAGCGTGTGACGTGGACCCCATACGCCTGCACAGGTGCTCACTAAAATTACCAGAGGACCAGATGGTCCTAAAACATGACTGCTCCCTTGTGAAAGAAATAGGCAATGCATTTAGATCTACATTACAACGGAAGGAAATTAAAGGTTATATTATTATTATTATTATTATTATTATTATTATGAGCAGAGGTCTTGGGTTTTGTGACCAAACATTAAA